TGTTTTATACTTGGGGAGGGGGCTGGGATGGGAATATGGGATCTATGATCTAATCTGTGAAGAACTTTGAGTTGCATTTTTTTGTATGAAAAGTGCTATATAAATAAAGTTGATTTGATTTGAAGTTGACATAAAAACTGTGATTGAAAAGGATCAAATCTGAATCAGAAGGGTTTATGTGCGAGGACCACAGCAGTAAGAAATTGCTGGGGTACTTGGTGGAAAAAGAAAGATAAAAATAATAGATAAGAAAATATAGGAAGTAAGATTATAATCCTGATAAAATACTAATATAAAGTGGCAATACTTAGAGAAATGGCTACAGGACTGTGTACTAATCAGGGCAGATCAGTTCAGGTACAAACACAACACAGTCAGGTGACTGGGACCAAGTGACTGCAGAAGGCAGACCTAGGATTGTCGTTCATGAGTCCAACCGCAGAGGGTAAGAAACTGCTATTAGTCCGCAGGTCAGAGAGATTCTTACCCAGCCTGACTTGTTGCTTCCTGTTCATCAGAAAGTCTGTGATCCACCTGCAGATGGGGTCAGGCATGTTCACCTGGGACTGTTTGTGTTGGAGGAGGTCTGGGAGGATTTCTTGAGGCAGAGCTGAAGTCCATGAATAGGATCCTGTTGTCCAGACGCTGCAGGATGAAGTGCAGAGTCATGCTGATGGCATCATCTACAGACCTGTTGGCTCTGTAGGCAAACTGCAGGGAGTCCAGGAGGGAGGGTCTTGAAGTGGGGGAGAACCAGGTGCTCAGATGACTTCATGACCACAGATGTCAGAGCCACAGGTCTGCAGTCATTGAGTCCAGTGATACTTGTTTTTTTGGGGACAGGGACCATCCATCCATCCATCCATCCATTCCATCCATCCATCCATCCATCCATCCATCCATTTTCATCCACTTATCAGGAGGCAAGTCACGGGGGCAGCAGCCTAATTCGAGAGGCCCAGACTTCCCCCTCCCCAGCCATTTGGGCCAGCTCCTCCAGGGGAATCCCAAGGCAATCCCTGGCCAGGTGAGAGACATAGTCTCTCCAGCGTGTCCTGGGTCTTCCTTTAGGCCTCCTCCTGGTTGGATGTGCCCGGTATACCTCATCAGTGAGGCGTCCAGGAGGCTTCCTGATCAGATGCCCGAGCCACCTCAACTGGCTCCTCTTGATGTGGAGGAGCAGCAGGTCTACTCCGAGCCCCTCCCGGATGACCGAGCTTCTCACCCTATCTCTAAGGAAGAGCCCAGCCACTCTGCGGAGAAAACTCATTTCGGCCGCTTGTATCTGCGATCTCGTTCTTTTGGTCACTACCCAAAGCTCATGACAATAGGTGAGGGTATGAATGTCGATCGACCGGTTAATCAAGAGCTTCGCCTTCTGACTCAGCTCTCACTTCACCACGACAGACCGGTACAACGCCCGCATCACTGCAGATGCAGCACCAGCCGCCTATCGATCTCACGCTTCAGTTTTCCCTCACTCGTAAACAAGACCCCGAGATACTTAAACTCCTCCACTTAGGGCAGGACCTCATCCCTGACCCGGAGAAGGCATTCTACCCTTTTCCGAATCAAAACATTGAATTTTTTTGTTTTCTGATTAGATTTTTGTTTCTTTCAATTTTTGTTGTTGTATTTTATTCTTCGGTTTTGTGTTAAACGTGGTGTTCATTTAACCAGACAAGGAGAAGATGAAGAAAAATGGCAGTTTTAAGCGAGCTTTGCATTCTTCTTCCAGGACAAAAGAAGCAAGGGCGTGTCAAGGGAGTGGCCTGTGGAAACACATGCCACCCTTAGAATCTGATTGAGAATGCAGCAATCACCTTTATGTTGGTTTATAGCCCCAGGCCTACAGAACATTTATTTGTTATTATTTATTATTTTTTAATTTTGATATAAAAATAAATAGAGTTCCGGTCGATGAAAAAGAAAAAGAAGGGACATGGCCCAAGTGGAGCTCAGAAATTCACTAGCATGAAAACAACAAATGACCATAGGTGCCACCCAAGCGTAGACAAGCGCCCCACCTGTGCCACCCCATTTTAAAAGGCCTGTACACGCCACTGGAAAGACGGAGAATTAAACGTGGAGAAAATCACCATAAATCTGACCATGTGGTAAGTAGCAGCTATGCTGGGGAGAAGAGATTTTGCAGTGACGTCATGCATGCAACTTCTGATTTGCAGTTGTTTGGGTCCAGACTTCCCTTTCCCCAGCCACATAGGGGAAGGGGAAACTCTGGCCAGCAAAGAGACCTAGTCCCTCCAGCGTGTCCTGGGTTTAAGTCTCCTCCTGGTTGGACGTGCCTGGAAAACCTCACCAGGGAGGCTTCCAGGATGAAATGTAGAGTTAAAGCTGTTTTATTACCCACCGAGAAACTTATATAGGAAACATTTCACTAATTGGTATAATGAACTCAATTGAAATGTTCGCTTTGTGATGTGAGACGACTCTTGATTTGAGTCGGGATTTGGGGCTACATAAATAAACTGAATTGAATAAAACTCAATAATATTTTAAAGATTCTCCAACAGACAACTCTGCAAACCTTGGATAGTTTTTATTTAAGAGCCAATTTTCCAGATGCAGTCATTGAAAGCGGTGCCAAAAGAAACATGTAAACCACATGATTCATTCTCCGTCATCCCTGAATATTTTATTGCTTCAACCACTTTGTCAAGGACCACAGATCAGGAAAAGTAATCGATTTGTTCTCACTGACGTGGATTTCAGTTCAGTTCAGTTCACTTTATTTCAAACATATACATTCACCAACATTTCATAAAATCATTCCACGCAATTGTTTGAAAAGGAGTAGGGAGAAGTGTATACTTATTTAGCCCTACCCCCTCAGGTTTACATCCTCATCATCAAAATTTAAACAACAAAACAGTTACAATGCCTTAAAAAAAACACAAAAAAAAAAATAAATAAATAAAATTCTCATGTTCAACTAGAACTATATTTAGATTTTCTAATTTGTAGAATAGATTAAACATCAGTTTGCATGCCGTCCTGGGTTAATTGCATTTTCTTCATTCTTATACTTATTTAACATTTCTTTTTTGAGTTTTATTTTAAACTGGTTTACATTACTACTATCCTTTATTTCTTCTGTTAACTCATTCCAGAATTTAACGCCCGCTATTGAAATAGACATCCTTTTCAATGTTGTTCTTACTCTTTGTACTTTTAAATTCCACTTCCCTCTAAAATTATACCTCCCTTCTCTTTCTAAGAACCATTTACTTATTTCAATTGGGAGCATCCCTTTCCTTACCTTATATATTATTTGCACTGTTTTAAACTTGACCAGGTCCTGGAATTTTAAAGCTTGCGTCTTAATAAAGAGTGCGTTTGTGTGAGCCCTATACCCCTCCTGATTTATTAGTCTAATAGCCCTTTTCTGCATTATGATTATGGTCTGAATATTACTTTTATATGTGTTTCCCCAAACTTCTACACAATAACTCATGTATGGTAATATGAATGCACAATATAACATATAATGTGATTTGAAGAAGTAATTTCCTGTTTGGGCTTTTGCTGCGACTTCTGAGCTGATGTGGCTTCAGAGGCCCCTCGTTTGCAACAAACATTTTAAATTTTATAATCCCCGACTGCTTTTAATTCAAATCAAGCACTGACAATTTTTCATCATTTTCATGTCTTAGTCATGTTTATTTGGGCTGTTGTCATACACACCTTTGCTTAACATCTCATTTAGAGTTTTTCTATAAATTGTACACAGGAATGCTTTCGTTATTTTAGATGACATTTGGAGTCAGATAGCTGTTCATCAGAGCATATTTGACCTAATTTCTAAATGTGCTGGCCGTAGAGGATAACTTTTAGTTTTCATTTAACACTCCTTCTGTTCTCCCATCGAACAACAAAGGAAATAACAGAAAGAAATTCTTGTCCAAAGTCAAACAGACGATGAAGAGCAGGAAGTGCTTACAACCACACATCTCTACATCAGGCGGCAGCATCCTGCACGTTACCATAGCAACGCCCTCTGCACCAATGAGATGCAAGCTTTGCGTTTTGCTGTCTCTCCACAGTGTTTCTGTCTTTTTCATAACAGGGACGAAAGGAAATGTGAAAAAAAAGCCTCTGCACCACAAAAATGCACATGCACAAACATATGGGGGTTCCACTTTCAGTCAGTCAATGAGCATCTGCAGCACCACAAACGTGCGTGTGTGTGTGTGTGTGTGTGTGTGTGTGTGTGTGTGTGTGTGTGTGTGTGTGTCATCCTCGTGTCTTTAACTCAGACAAGGGTCTTACCACAGCCTGTAGATGAGCAGGTGTTTGCACAAGAAGCTACAGAAAAAACAAGAATAACTGCCAAATATGAGCAAAGTAAAACGAGTCAGTCATTCATATTTCATTCAATGATTTTATTCTATTTTATGTGTTTTAAATAGCTCTGTCTTTGATGGCATATGGCATGTTGACTCTACAGCATTTTACCATTAAATCAAACCAGAAATATGAATACATTTCAGCAGTTCATCTCTGCTCCAGATGATTGAATTAAGCTGTAAATCACATTTTATGCGATTATAAGGTAAAGAAGGTCTTCCAGTTAAAACCACCATAGACAGTTTTTAAATCGTTTGTGCATTTGATGTGTTATTAAATTAAAGAACACTACCAATGTTTAATTCCCTGCCTCTCCACAACTGAAAAACAAATGAGAAGAAACAAACCACCAGTGAACAGTTAATGATTACCTAGAGATAGCTGTGGAATAAAGCTTTCATTCATCAGCAGCACCAACGCTTATTTAGTTTTTAACACCAACTTCTCCTTTTAGTTCAAAACAATTTTTATTGCTTTCAGTAAAAAGCAAAAATAAATTTCAGTTTAGATTCACAGCAAAAAATAAAATCTGAGTTTTTCTTCTAAAATTAGGTTAGTTCCAAACACCTGATTGGTTTAGAAATTGACCAGAAAAAGAGAGGAATAAAAGATCATAATGAACTTTTTCTTACCATGTTTTCTTTATTTAAGGATGGATACGATGTTCCATATCTAGAATTTCCTCTGAGGCTGCTGCTCTCACAACCGCATGATTTAAACTTACTGTAAAGGAGGAAATGCGCTGCTATTCAGCGTGGGCAGCGAGGTGATGTAGATCAACTCCGGTTTAAGAGCAACCAGGAGCTTTCTCTTCCTCCTAAAAGGCCAGCAAGGTTTGGTTTTTATACAATTTGTGTGACTGACCAAGAACAAGTGGACAGGCAAAGGAGAAAAGTAGAAAACAAAATGGTGAAACTTCAAATATAAATCACAAACCAGCAAAACCAACAAAGTGAGGTAAAGATAAGGCAGTTTTATTTTAGTTTGGGAGGAGTTTACGCAAATTTCAACAAGGCTGAAAATATTACAGGTGTGTAAGTACACCATCTATTCCCTTAGCCTTCAGCAGCAATGACTTTATGGGATTTTTCACAAGTAAAATTAATATTATAATTAATATCTATTAGAAACAAAATCATTAGCATCCTCCCTAATGTGATTTCTTCTTCCTCCGTTAGTGAGGCAGCATCAGAGGTAACTGTAGAACCTCATCTGTGTTTGAACTGTTTTGATCCAGTTGAGTTTTCAGAGTTATCAAAAATATTAGCTTAATCTAAACCTTCAACATTTATTAAAGATGCATTTCCTTTGCATTACTGCCCCTATTTTGGATGAAAAAAAAATCTATCTATCCTTAGTAAATGAATGCATACCACAGGATTTTAACATTGCTGTAATCAAAACTCTACTTAAGAACCTCCTCTGGATCCAGATGACCCAATGAATTATAGACCAATATCTAACCTTCCATTTTTATCCAAAGTCCTTGAGAAAATAGTGGTCAATCAAGTATGTGAGCATCTAAACACTAATGATCTGTTTTCTAGGAATTTCTGTCTGGTTTTAGAGAGTATCACAGCACTGAAACTGCATTAGTGAGAGTTACAAATGATATTCTCATGGCCTCTGATAAGAATCTTGTGTCTTTTCTAGTCTTTTTAGATCTCAGTGCTGCTTTTGACACAGTTGATCACAATATTCTTTTAGAAAGGCTTGAACATGTTGTAGGGATCAAATGAACAGCACTAGGCTAGTTTAAATCATACCTGTCAGATTTAATTTTGTAAATATACATGACAAATCATCTTTATACTCCAGGGTTACTTCTGGAGTACCACAAGGTTCTGTGCTTGGACCAACTCTTTATACTACACACACACACACACACACACACACACACACACACACACACACACACACACACACACACACACACATATACCGTAAATCCTCTAATATTGGCCTGTATTCAATTAACGGCCGGGTATCATATTTTGGCTGGTGTCGGAGTCAGCGGAGGTGAATAATGGCCGGTATTTTATTGTGAACGAGTGGAATGTGGTAACAAGCAAGTGCGGGGGCGGTTGTGTCAACCGTCTCACTTTTGATTTGCCAGTGACAGACCGCGATTTGGCAGGTGCGGAGACGAAGAGGAGGCGAAAATTTGATATCAAGTTCAAAGAGAACGTGCTGATTATGCTGCAGAACACTGGGGAGCAGTAGCAGGGGTTGAATGAACTAGTCGACTTCAGTATAGTGACTTTTTATGCCTGTCATCGACTAGTCGCTGTCACGTGATAATGACCGGCAAGATGCAGCCCTCGGAAAAGACAGCAGCCTGCTGTCAGCAGGTGACAAGCTCCTGTGTGCTGTGCCAGAGCGTCGGTACTGACACCCGCCGTAAAATGGACATTTAACCAAATTGTGACGTTTACCCTCTTGCAATTTAACATTCCCCTCACCCCCATCCTAACCTTAACCAGCTTGCGCATGCAACGCAAAGCTCTGATTGTTGACGCGCTCCAGACATCTGCGTCCTGAGCACGGCCACAGTAACATTGTCTAATCAGGTGTCGCCACCTCAAAAACTAATTTAACACGCGATTGTTCATGTCTGCTCATTTCCTTTAATGTTTTCTGTCTTTTATTTGCGCCTGATGCGTTTCGCTGCTGTGGAGCGGGGCGCATCACCTTGTCCTCCGGTGACGCACCGATCACTGATGCGGCCGCCAAGCAGTGCGCACTCCGCTGTTTTTGCGGTCGGTAGATCTTTTAGAACTGCAGTTCAAAGGTAACTCATAAGGTGACTATACATGAACCCAGGTAGCAGTTTTTCTTTAGGACTGAGACGAGATGCAGGAAGATAATAAACAAACAGGACAGAAAAATAGTCAAATAAAAACAAGCTAGTTTTTGTACCTGGTGGTTGCAACAAACAGACACCATTGAAGGTAATCAGAAGTGAGGAACAGAAAATGAAATAATTATTTTAATGTTTAGACCAGCAGGAACTCCGAGAGGCTGCAGGCGCATCAGTGAGTCTGAGGCCACTGCGCAGGGGGAGGCGGGAGATGGCTGAAGCAGAAACTACCGTTGTTAAAAGAAATGTGTTTAACTTTGAAAATGTGGGCACAATTTTAATTGTCAAAAACTCCAGCGAACCATTAGTTCATTTTGCTCAAATAGAAATTGAGGCCTGCCTCTAATTCTGGTCCTTCTTCCAATAAAGGCCTGGAGCTTGATGAGCTTGAGTCAAATACAGGCCCGGGCCTGTATTAGAGGATTTACGGTATATATATACATATCAAATCAACGGCAGACTCGCCTCTGTCAGTGTGCCCCAGGACAGCTGTGGCTACTCATCACCACCAGGGTGTGAATGTGTGTGTGAATGAGTGATTACAAAGTACCTTGGGTGGTTCCAGGACTCTAGAAGGCTCTAAATCAGGTACAGGCCATTTACATTTTATAAGCTTGACCCTCCTATATTCCAGCCAGAATTGACAAAGCTCCTCAGATGGGAGGCAAAAAGGCTTCAAGAAACCAAAGAAGTCTAGTTGCCTTTATATAAAACTCTTTGGATCAAGTCAGATAAAATAACAGAAACAGTTTTTTTATGTTTTCATTGGAGATAAAATACCCTAAGTCAAACCAACATCAACAGTCCATTCATCCCAGGTGCGAGTTGTTAGAGGTAGGAGATCCTTGTGCCCCCGTAGCTCTAGTGGGTGAAGAGAGGGACATTAAAGGGTTAGAGTTTTCATTAGGAGCTGGAGCTGTGCCCCCACCCATTATGAAACCAGGCTGGGGGCTCATCATGCTGTATGTCAGCAGCTGGCTTCCTGCAGGGGGCGCTGTGACACCTGGTGGCACCCAAGCAGGTGTAGCTGGAGTGGTGAGCCAGTGACCTGCCCACTGGCTTCCCAGAGGTCCCTGTTGACCCCAGGGCACCGTGGTGGGAGAGAATGGGGGAGAGTTGTATGGAGAGCCCCCTACTGGCTGCATGGGGAACATGGAGAGAATCTGAGCCGTGGAGAGAGTTTGCCGAGGAGACTCTGAGAAAAGATGACATCTAATCAGTCATAAAACAGAAATTAAATGCAAAGATGTGAAGCAGCAGTTTTAGGAGGTTTAGAAATAAATTAGAAAGTGTCTTGTTAACAGCAACAACATTAATATTAGCAGATTTATGTTTGTTTATGACATAACTTAAAAAAATATTATATACTGCAGACACTTTTATTATGTGTGATTTGGACATTTAAATTGTATCTTAAAGTTTTTGATTAAATTGTATTTGAATAATTAGTGAACTTAGATTTTTTTTTCCATAATGTCCCACATTCAACACCACCATGCATGTTAACACAGTGTGGAGGCGCTGATGCCCTCCTTCAATAAAACACGAGCTACTGACTCACTGTAAAGAGAGGAAATGCTTGTGTTTTAATGACAAGCAGTCTGACATATTTAATGATGCTCATTTACATCTAAACTAGAATTGTTTTTTCTCCGCTAATTGAGTTTCATCCCCCCCTCCCCTAAATATTTAAATCCTGAGGTGTTTTTTTTTTGTTCTGTTTTCTTTAATTTTTTATTTTCTCTGTTTTTTGTATTCACATTATTTTTATTAAGTTTTGGTCCAATCTGAGTTCAAGCTGTATTGGTTTAAATAAAACTCTTCTTGTGATTCACATGGGTCTTCTTGATTTTTATCCATTGACAATTTATAAAAGATGGACGAACCCTCTGTGCCCTCATCCATTTCTGAAGAGCTGAATTTAAGCCCAGTGGGCGGTTCCCACCACCGCCATCGTGGCTGATCATGCATCTCATCACTCCCGGAAAATATATAAATTGAGCTGAGAGCAGGGCTGTGAGGGCGGGGGCAGATGATTGACACCCATAAAACTCTGAGCTGATGTAGCTATGAGCTAATTGAGCTAACTGATGCTAACAGAGTTTAGTGGGCATTTTTAACCGAAAACCACAGCTAAGCTATTCTGCTAACCCATCCAAGGCTGTAACTCTTAACATGAAGCAAAGACTGAGTAGCCTGGCCTGCCAGACTCCTCCTCTGTTTAATTCTGCACAGAGAAAGGGTTTGGGAACTCTCCTATTCAAATAACCCCACCCCGTGAGAATTCTAACCGAGCCAATAGGCGCTGAGTAGCTTACGTCACACACCACAACGCTGAGTTTGTCGAACATGGCGACTGAAGCAGAGTTTGCTGCGGCTCTTCCCACTGATCTACATTATTTGGACACAACAAGCAGAAGCACTAAAAGCCTTGTTTCTAAAGAAAGATGTTTGAGCCGTCGTCAGACTCCATTTTTGACTACAGCTAAAAAACTACAGCGTCGCGGACGTCACACACAGCGCCGGTCAGTTTCTCATAAACAACAAAGACAGCGGCGGAGTTTGCTGCGGCTCTTTCCTCTGTTCTAAATGACTCAAATGCCTTTAAAACCACAAGTAGAAGCGCTAAAAGCATTTCTGCTAAAAAATAAATAAATAAAAAATAATAAAAGATGTGTGCGCTATTGCCAGACGCTATTTTTTTTTTTTACTACAACTAGAGAAATACAGCATCGTGCAATACAGTCGAGATTTCTGTCTTTTTTCTGATTGGTTACTTTTGAGCTGCCTCGTCCTGCCCCTCTCTGCCTGTGAGTTACCAGACTAGTTATCTGTGCAGAATTAAACAGAGGGCGAGTCTGGCAGGCCAGGTTAAAGACTGAGGCCTTCATGGGGCAAGCAGGAGGGCAAGTCGCTGGCACTGATGACTCATCTGCTACCTGTCAATCAAATAGACACACCCTTAAGTAATCATAAATTCAAGCTTTACCCTGCCAGAAAAACTAGTATAGACCAGCGTAGCCGGTTATAAACATATGTTGTGTTTTGGTGCTGGTTTAGCTGATAGACCATCATTGCATACTGGACCTAGCCTAGTGAACTAGACCAAATTCTTGCTTTGCAAAGTTTGGTCTAGGCATGCTCCATTGGAACCACCGTAGCTCCTACCAGGACTCTGGCTGGCCAATCACAACTCTCTAGAGGGGTTTCAAACACATAAAGAGCTGTGAATGGTCCATAATGGTGGGCCAATCATAGTGCTCTATCTGCTTAGTGAACAAATCACAGAGCTTTATCCGCTTTGTGGGCCAATCAGGGCACTCTATATGCCTGGTGGGTGGGATGATGCAACAGAGTGAAACAAGAGGATGTCACATTCATTGTCCAGTGGAATGCGTAGATCATTTGAAAGACAACGGTAGAACCCGCCCCACAACCGAGAGCCGTCAATGGAGCGTGGCCAGACTAAATAATACATTTATTTAGTCTGGCTTGCCAGGCTATACTGGACCAGCATAGCCAGCCCCTAGTGGATCAGCAGGGAATGGCAATTTTTGTCACTTCTGCACTGGCTTCACTTTTGGCAGGCGGAGTTTGCCCCTTGCATTTATCCTGAAAGTTTGATAAATGTCAATTTTATTTGAAAAACAACACTCCTCAAGAATTCACTTTTTTTACATTTGGCGAGGATCTGGAAACAAGGAATTAAACTTAGTTGCGGCTGCAGCACATTTCAGCTGCTAAAATAAATAAATGTTTAAAAAGCTGTGACTTCATAGTGTACCATACTTTTACTTACTGTTTGTTTTATGAATATAAACCATCCATGTTTTTTCCACTGCTTTCCAACTTCAACAGAATGATTCTAAGTGGACATCAGGAAAATGAAGGAGAGCTCCACACCCTGTCCCTATAAATAAACCATCCATGTGAAAGAAAATTTTTCTGTCTAAAAATTTGTTCTATCATGTATCTTTATCTGAAATTGTTACTTTTCTAGCACTAAAGATGGGCAAAAAAATCCCAAGAGTCCAATTTTCACCAGGTTAACCATTTGAAGTGTGTGACATGTTAACACACAGGTGAGATCACAGAGAAGCTTTATAACAATAAAATAAATTGCCACATACTAATAAATCAAACATTGTCCATTCTACAGTAAAATGCAAAGTTCAGAAAAAAGTCCTTACATCAAGAAAATTATGACTGGATTTACAATCTTACAGCTAATCTGAGCGGGGTCAAAAGTGGATTGATACCATCCTACAACAATTATTTTTTTAAATATCACAGCAGTTCCTGTAAATGTTATTTTATGACCCTTTATACCAGCTTTTATTTCACTTTACACACATAATCTGTTAGAACTTTTACAAATTTGCTGCAGGGACACTTCCTTTGGCAAACAGAATAATGTGAAACCTCCAGTGTTTGTAAAATAGTGTTATAAAAGTTTTAAGAATACATTTCAACACCATACCATACCCTAACAAAGCTTGGGCAATGCATCCCTAAATGTTTACATTGTCCACATCATCGAAGATAAAACTGACAATTAGGTCAGCAGAATCCTAAAACTCAAACCTTTTCCCAATGTGACTGTGTAATGTCCCTTGTGATGCTAACCTGGCTGACTGGTGCAGGAGCTCTGGGCCAGAGCCAGAGGCTCTTCCAGCTGAGGTAAAAACACTTCCATCAGCTCGTTACCGGCTGAAACCTGCAAACGCAACAGAACAGCAGCTTTCAGTATATTTTTAGCATCTTAAGAACAACAAAGAGGAAGATAATTTTAGTTAGAGATTTGTGTTATCTAGATGTAGATGTACTGATTTATCATAAACTTGAGAATAACTGTCTCCAGGGCGACGGTGGCACAGGAGTCAAGTGCTCGCCCCGTAATCAGAAGGTTGCAGGTTTGAGCCCCGCTCAGTCTGTCATTGTCGTTGTGTCCTTGGGCAAGACACTTAACCCACCTTGCCTGCTGGTGGTGGTCGGAGGGACCGGTGGCTCCAGTGCTCGGCAGCCTCGCCTCTGTCAGTGTATCGCGTCATACCCCTGTCAAAACCCGTGCACGCGCATTGGGTCCACAGCGCGCGTGTGAACGGGACTCGCGAGCGAAAATATACATGGCAGCGCGCGTGTGAACGGGACTCGCGAGCGGAAATATACATGGCGAGAGGTCATTTGTGCACTGAGAGGGAGCAAACTGTGTCTGTGAGCGCACAAGGATGTGCACAAGTGACAAACCTGCGTGCGCGCGTTGTCAACGAGCACACGGCAGAGGAAAACGTGCGCGCGCGGCAGCCTCTGTGCGCGCTCGGCAGCCTCTCTGCGCGCTCGGTTTCTGACTCCTGCTCGCTCGGCTGTAAGGGTTTTGGCACTCTGGAGGCGTGGCCTGTGGCAGATCTTCTCTGTCCTCTGATTGGTTAGTGTACCCCGCACTTTACCCTCTACCTATCTATATAAAAAAGTCTGCTAGTCAAGTAGTCGCTGGCATAGCTCAGTTGGAAGAGCGGGTGACTCTCGCCCCGGAGGATCCAGGTTCGAGGCCGGGCAAGGAAAATGCAGTAGATGTCATGTTAATTTTTCTTAATTTCAGGTATTTTACAGTTGTGACCGTTCAACTGTCATTAAACGTCCGAATGTTTGCTGGGCAGTGTTTTAAAAAGTGCACATAAGCTAGATGGTTTTAACCATATAAAATTACATTTTTTGTGATACTGGAAAAATACATACTGAAATAAAACTACTGATTGAAAACTTTATGACTGTGGTTGTACAATATATGACTCACTAATACACTGCAAACTCCCTTAGAGTGGGGCTTCCAGAGAGAGAGAGAGAGAGAGAGAGAGAGAGAGAGAGAGAGAGACAGAGAGAGAGACAGAGAGAGAAAAGTTCTTGCCTCATTAATGAATTGTTTATTTTTTTCAGTATTTAATTGACAAATTATCCTTTCAAATAATTAATTGATGAGTTACATAATTGTCCATTTAGAATTGTTGAATGGACTGAGTCAAGTTTGGTGCACTTTATATATTTCAAAACATGTTTTTTTTTATTTTAATGATGCATATAAATAATTTAAATGTTAATTTAATGAAATATTTCTATTTTTTCATTACCTCACCCTTGTTTTGACAAAAACGGGACCTTGCTGGATAATATCATGGAGAAACTATTTGTTCACAGTACATGGCTCAGTGAGGATCTGTGTAAAGGAGGAGATACTCAGAAATCTGTCTGCAGATTGTTACAACCCAGACTGGAAGTGGTGGGCTGTAATAAGAAAGGAGACCAAACAGAGGAGTGGGGGTTCAACAACTGATTTATTTAACAAAAGTAAGGATTTACTAAAGCAAGTTAGTGAACAGAAAATGGCCATCTCAAGGTTTTACTCGGATGTCCCTCAGCAGGGTGCAGCACTGTTGAAGGTCATCTGAATGAAAGCTTGATATGCAGTTTCTTTATGAAAGTGTGTAAATATACAGTGTGGTTGCCGTACATATGTTGAGGTTCTCAGACATCAGGCTTCTTTGCCCAGGCCTTCACTAGTGGGCTATTTTAAAAGTTGGTAAGGAGAAAAACCACAGCATATAGCTGATTGTTTACAAATGCAAGGAGGGGAATAACAATCAAAATGCTTGTGTTCTTGGACCAGATGAATGGAGCGCTCCACATGCACTCAGAGATGTTATGGCTTCTGTTTCTATAACTTTACATGCAGACATTTGAGGTTTGCCAGAAAGGAAAGCTGGCCTGTACACTTTGCAGGGCACAATGTCATCAATGAAGAAACCCCTGTCTACCAAGATGACCATCTCTAGTTGTAGCATTTTCAACACACCAGATTCCCAGGTTGGTCGCTGATAGTTCCAGCATACAGTGCTGAGACAAAGGTCACTGGCCTATGTGGCACAATCCAAATGAGCCTCTTCAGAGTGCAGTTGAACTTGAGGAAAATATATGACTCTGGAAGAGAGGGGAATATGGCCATTGACACCTCAGATCAGTGCAGTCAAGAATTACTGGTGTTTGGGTAGTCCTGAACGTGTTGTGATGCCCCCACCATCTCATTGGGTTTTCATTTGTGTTTAATTGTGTTTTTCTTCTGTTGTAGGCAGCTGGTTAAGCAACCTTGGAGGCACCTGGGCTCAGGGTGTGGTGCTGCCTACAAAGCCTACTGTTTTTCTGCTTTCACTGGGTCTCTCCTGTGTGGTGGAGAGTCCTCACTGGCCATTTTCTGTTCACTAACTTGCTTTAGTAAATCCTTACTTTTGTTAAATAAATCAGTTGTTGAACCCCCACTCCTCTGTTTGGTCTCCTTTCTTATTACAGCCCACCACTTCCAGTCTGGGTTGTAACAATCTGCAGACAGATTTCTGAGTATCTCCTCCTTTACACAGATCCTCACTGAGCCATGTACTGTGAACAAATAGTTTCTCCATGATATTATCCAGCAAGGTCCCGTTTTTGTCAAAACAAGGGTGAGGTAATGAAAAAATAGAAATATTTCATTAAATTAACATTTAAATTATTTATATGCATCATTAAAATAAAAAAAAACATGTTTTGAAATATATAAAGTGCACCAAACTTGACTCAGTCCATTCAACAATTCTAAATGGACAATTATGTAACTCATCAATTAATTATTTGAAAGGATAATTTGTCAATTAAATACTGAAAAAAATAAACAATTCATTAATGAGGCAAGAACTTTTCTCTCTCTGTCTCTCTCTCTGTCTCTCTCTCTCTCTCTCTCTCTCTCTCTCTCTCTCTCTCTCTGGAAGCCCCACTCTAAGGGAGTTTGCAGTGTATTAGTGAGTCATATATTGTACAACCACAGTCATAAAGTTTTCAATCAGTAGTTTTATTTCAGTATGTATTTTTCCAGTATCACAAAAAATGTAATTTTATATGGTTAAAACCATCTAGCTTATGTGCACTTTTTAAAACACTGCCCAGCAAACATTCGGACGTTTAATGACAGTTGAACGGTCACAACTGTAAAATACCTGAAATTAAGAAAAATTAACATGACATCTACTGCATTTTCCTTGCCCGGCCTCGAACCTGGATCCTCCGGGGCGAGAGTCACCCGCTCTTCCAACTGAGCTATGCCAGCGACTACTTGACTAGCAGACTTTTTTATATAGATAGGTAGAGGGTAAAGTGCGGGGTACACTAACCAATCAGAGGACAGAGAAGATCTGCCACAGGCCACGCCTCCAGAGTGCCAAAACCCTTACAGCCGAGCGAGCAGGAGTCAGAAACCGAGCGCGCAGAGAGGCTGCCGAGCGCGCACAGAGGCTGCCGCGCGCGCACGTTTTCCTCTGCCGTGTGCTCGTTGACAACGCGCGCACGCAGGTTTGTCACTTGTGCACATCCTTGTGCGCTCACAGACACAGTTTGCTCCCTCTCAGTGCACAAATGACCTCTCGCCATGTATATTTCCGCTCGCGAGTCCCGTTCACACGCGCGCTGTGGACCCAATGCGCGTGCACGGGTTGTGGCACGCTTTAAACGCCATAGTCAGTGCGCCCCAGGGCAGCTGTGGCTACATCGTAGCTCATCCCCACCAGTGTGTGAATGTGTGTGTGAATGGGTGAATGACTGGTTGTGGTGTAAAGCACCTTGGGGGGTCCCAGGACTCTAGAAGGCGCTGTATCAAATACAGGCCATTTACCATCAATATTATTTCTAGTTCAGTTTAATATAACACCATGTGTTTGGTCACATTTAGCTAAGCATTGACATCTGATTCCTAAATCAGGGACCAATCAGGGACTTGCACACACCTGGGCTCTCACTTATCAACCACACACACATCTGTGCATATTGTGCATAGGAACAACATTGTGTGGTATTTACCATGTTTTACTTGTGTGTAGAAATGTTCCTAAATACAAGAACAGCTCTGACCATGCATACAAACAGCATCTAGTTGTAAAACACGGGGAACCACAACACTGCGTGTTCCTAATCCACAAATTATTTTCACCCAATAAGTCTGTGGAGAAACAGCTTCATCACATAACTAGTGTTGGAACTGATAAAAGACACCTGTGACCATAGACATTAGTACGTAGATGCCCCATTGGACGCTGGAGAGCGTAGCAGCATTGCCGCCATATTAGATGGGTTCCTCACTCTCCAAACCCAACTGGTCAACAGAGAGTGAGCAACTATGCCCCTACAGTTGCAACAACTGGTGCACTATTGAAAACGCATCACGTAGGACTGTTATTGACTTTTTTAGCCTACCTGTTGGGATTTTATATTTTAATTTATTTTATTTTATTGTTTTTGTGTTTTAACTGTCATTCCATACCATGTGAAAAATAATAAGAAAATGTGTTTTTAGCTGGGTGAACATGTTCCTCTGTAGAAATTAATGCACTGAGGGCGAATAGAGACCTACCAAAGATGGCGGCCTGCTGCTACACCAGCTCTAGCATCAGTCCACGGGATGTCTACGTGTATGATGTCTTTGCCTGTGACCAGCAGGAGTTTAACTTGTAGCATGGCTGATCTCCTGTTATTGGAGGATTTGGCAGAGCGTGCAGTGAGTGCACTGATCTCCACAAAAGACCAGGGGCCTCATTTATCAAGCTTGATTACGCACAAAACAGGGTCAGAAAACTGCGTAAGCAACTTTCCACGCAGACTTTGGAATTTATCAAAGAAAATTTAGCGGAAAAATGTGTGCAACTCTAAGTTGAGTAAGGACCTGGCTTACTCACATTTTGGACATGGAGAGCACCTGCAGTGCTGCTGCTGAGAAGGATAAAATTATGAAATCCTGCAGCATTATCACTTGTACTGCTTTGTTTTCACACAGAACAAGACCCCACACGCGCGCACGCGCACGTACACACACATGCCTACACACACACACACACACACACACACACACAAACACACACACGCACACACACAATACGCACAGAAGCACAGAATACGGAATGCAGAATATCAGCAGGGGGACAGATTGAGACAGAACGTCATGCGTCTGTGACAGTGTGTGTGTCCTGTCACTGTGACCCGATTGATGATGCGCCCTGGCTACTTGGACAAGGGAGATTGCTGTTTGGGTGACTGGTTAGCACGCATGGCTTTCACCTGGGGGTCTGGGGATCGAATCCCGATTGGACCATTTTTTTATATCTGCCACCTATCTCTCTGAAGAATTTACAACATTGACGGCTTCAGCAACGCTGTGCCACTCCGTGGATTTTCTCTTATTTGTTTTGAAAAAGCACTTCCTTTCATTTCTCCTCCTCACCCACAAGTACCTCAATTTCTGCTTCTGTGAAATTGCGCTTCCTTCATCTGCCTTGATCTACGGTCGCCATCGTCATTGGCGGAGCACTGCAACAGCCGGCTTATGTATATGCATGAGATCCACAAGGCACTTTGCACTGACTATTTATGGCAGTAAGTAGGCGTGGTGAGGGCGGGATGTGACTTAAAAGCAGTTGAGAACCTTTCTAGATAGTTTCTGATTCATGAAGCGGAGATTGCGTGCAGCTGTGCGTACTCCATGCTTGATAGATCACAAACCTGCTTGGCATAAGTAATTTTTTTCGCTGAGCTTAAGTACGATTTTAGTAAGGATTCTACGCAATGTTTGATAAATAAGACCCCAGCTCAGTGGCCTAGTGGTAGAGTGTCCGCCCTGGGACTGGGAGATCAGGGGTTCGATTCTTGGTCGGGTCATACCAAAGACTTTGAAAAAATGGGACCCAATGCCTCCCTGCTTGACACTCAGCATTAAGGGCTGGATTGGGGGGTTAAACCACCAAATGGTTCCTGAGCGCAGCTGTGTCTGCAGCTCACCGCTCCCCCAGGGGATGGGTCAGATGTGGAGAACAAATGTCGCACACACATCAGTGTGACAAGTGTGTGTGACAACTGATGGGACTTTAACTTTAAGAGATTCTTCTGGAGATATGCTGGGATTTGGGACCTTTTAAGGACTGAGAGACGAACTGCACAAATCCGATTCCAGTCCATTTTCAATTATTGACAACTTTAGGATGTTCTTGGTGCATAACTGCCACCAACTGGAGTGGAGCTTGACTCTAAATACTATTTATGTTTATATGAAAAACTAATAAATAATAATAATAATACAGAAATGCTCTGTTGGCCTGGTGAATGCTGCCACCTGCTGTTTTGTGGTTTATAACTCCAGCTTTTTGTCGACAACGTGAAGTCACTTTAAATGGAATTCAGTGGAGTGGCACCTGAGATGGCCAGTCAGATTCCACGGTTGTCATGTGCTACCCCAGGTCACTCCCTGGACACGCCCCTGTTCCTACACAGTAGTACTTTGTAGTAAGTGTGACTAATCGTGCAACATTTACCTGGTTTGTTTGCCTTGGTGAGGACTCTGGTCGTGGACTGAACACATCTTCAGGAGCTGCTCCCTGAACTGTAACCAGTGGCTTCTGTCATTTAAGAAAAATGTGCAAAAACTCCATTTTAATCAGGGCATTTCAGGATAAAAGTTAGGTGTTTAGGTAGGGAGTTCTTTCACCTCAGATGGAGTAGACAGACTGTCATTCAGAGCAACTAAAGAAACATTCTGAAAGAGAAAATAAAAGTCTGGACATCAAACCAAGACAACAGACCATCAACAACCCTCAAATTTTCTTCCTCACCTGGGTTTCTGTAGATTCACCCAAGGCCTCCGGCTCCTCTCTCTGGCAAACCTCTTTAATGTCAATAAGAACCGGATCGGCCTGGTATGGAAACAAATGAAACACCCCCATAACATGATGGTGACATCACTGACTGTCACCTGCAGGCACAGGTGATAACTAAGCTTAAATCTTTGCGCTGGTACCTGGTTGGCCATCTTGATGTAAAACAGCTCGTACGCATCCTGGTGTTGGTAGATGTAGGCCAGAGCTCTGGGGTCGGACTCATCTTTTGTCAGAGAGCTAATTCCCTTCCTGTCGTGTTCATAAATAACAATCTGAAACCAAATCAGAAGAATTCAGAGGTAAACAAATAAATTACTGAAACTGTTTAGGGGAAAAAATGCAGCTATTGAATCAGTAAGAGGAATAATTCACTGTTAGTGCTCACAACAGCTGTTAAAACAACATATCAGAGAAAGGGTGCAGAAATTATTGCTTCCTGTTTGTTTCAGTCACTAAATATTTGTCTTCAACACTTATAAACCTTTACTCGTTCTATTAACTAAAAAAGAGAAATTCTGGGACAGAAATGTCAACATTTAGCAAAAACGAGGAAACAAACAGAAGCGTTTTGATTCCAGGAATAATCCTGATAATCTCACAACTTCAGGACTGTGGGATGACACAGACGGGAGGGTTCGCTCACCCCCGTTCTTTCATCCAAGATTCTCAAACCACTGGAGGAAACTTTGAGCCAAATTCTCAGCTTGTGCTTCCCCTGTTTCCGTGCTGCTGCCTCACAACCCTAAAACACAAACACACGTTTAATTTAAAAAAACCTCTACAAAATAATCTGATTAATTAGGAGAGCAGACAACTCATGAACAAATGTGTCTTTTATCTTGTACAATGTCAACAGATCTGAGTTGGAATGAAGAGTTATCCCAGATTATATTGTGCCATTTGTGTGCATCTAACATCTTAGTGAGTGCTCATAAAAAATAAAAAGTTATCAAGACAGAAAATTAAATAAGAGCTCAGCTCTGTGAACGACTACAAAACCAAATAATCTGCATGCAAAGAAACAATTGCATGAGTCAGAAACATGCTGGAGTGACGTTCCAACCCTTAAATGCTTCTTTAGCACCATCGTGTGGAAAAACCAATCATAGCTGGGCCATGAAACCATGCACACAGCCCCAATTTAATATTACTGACTGAAATCATTCATGGTTTAGAAGACAGAGACCTTCCTGATACAAAAATACTCACCAAAAAATTAGATCGTTTAAGGTTTTTTGAAGGAATGCAGGTGCTGAGTTTACTCACAAACACATTTTGTATGATTGTGAGATCTCTGCACTCATGCATGTGAAGGTCAAAAAATAAAGATCTGGTGCAAAAGTTCATTTTATTTCAGTAACTAATTTTCAAAGGTTAAACTACTATATGAGATTACACGCAAAGCCAGATATTTCAAGCTTTTATTTGTGCTAATTGTGATATTTATGTCTATATTGTTAAAAGGTACAACGTGTCACCGTCTGATCACCTAATGAATCCAAAACACCTGCAAAGGGTTTCTGAGCCTTTAGATGGTCTCTCAGTCTAAGATGCATTAATTAAATAAATGAACTTAAGCACAATATTCAGACATTTCCAGTTTCACCTGTAAGTAGCTAAAACACATCAAATTACACCTGAATATTTGTAAAATCAGTTAAAATTGTGATGAAAAAACTGTCTTTCGGTGCTGTAGTGTCAACATTTTTCCGATTAACCTTCTGCACTCTGAACTTGTGACTCTAAAGCAGACTGACAGGATGTCATAAAGCTGCTGACACAACTCTATTGAAGAACATTTTGATGCGATGAGTTCATTGAAACCTCGACCTCTTAAAACAACTCACTCCAAGCCCTGACATCCACTGTTTACTTTTAATCTCTATAATTAAGGGAGAATTGTGAGAAAACATCAGATTAATAATCTGTTCTAATTACACAAGAGCAGACAGGGTGGGTTTATGTTTACCTTTAGTTTCATCATGGAGTCAAAGCACATCTTCTCCCCTTGTGCGACAGGAACCTGGTCTATGCCAATCAACTTGGCCTTGTAGCGAACCCCGTCGCCATGGAAACGGGACAGAGCATCACCGGGTGTTTCTGGGAAAGTACAAACTTCAGCAAACACACCTTTTTAAGAACGTGCTTGTATTCATGTATGTGTCTGTGATCATGTGACCTTGTTCAGGGTCACAGGAAGAATAACACATCATCACATTCAGGGCTTTATGCATGTTTTTACAACGCTTGCTTGTGACTCCTACAGGTTTTATATTCTCATAAAAACAGTTTCATCTGAAGGCATGTGAGACGAGGGGTCACTTTGTTGAGCAAAGGTTTGGATTTAATTTCTGCCCTAGGGAAGAGCTGAAATTCATACAGCAACATTAATCCTCTCACGTTTGGTTACATTAAAGGGTTTCCTGGAAGATTTTACTGAAATTGTGTTTTCCTCCTTCGTCAGCTGGATGAGCTGCAGGTGTGCACGAAGGAGGAACAAGGAAGAAGGCCACAGAAAGGATGATTACCTAAAAATGCTCTGACTTCCCATCAGAATAAAAAAAACTCTGGGTGTTAACTCTGTTTTCAGCATTTATTTTACATGCTGTAATTTAATCTAATCTAGTAAATAAACACCTGTTCTTATTTTCCAGAATAGTTTGCTTTTACAGGGAAATTAGAAGATTTTTTTTTCATGTTTTTATATGAATTAAAATGATCCTTGAGCACCCATTTTCGACAGATTGATAAGAATAACCAGGGGCGGATTTAGGACTGAAGAAGATCCGGGGCTTAACACACGCGGGCGCACACACACACACACACACACACACACACACACACACACACACACACACACACACACACACACGTAACACGCACCAGTCTTTTCATAAAACATTCGGGGCTTGAGCCCAAGTAGCCGGACCTAACGCCGCCCCTGAGATGAACAGAACCCTCATTCTGTATTTTGCTTTAGTCCAATGGAAATAAACCCATTAATTGATGAAAAATGAGAATTGATTTTGCTTCCTGTATAAAAGAGATCATTTTTCTTTGTAAATGAATCTGGAGGCATTTTCATACTGAGTTTATGCAGCATTTTTCCTCTGAGAGTAAACTCTTCTGCAGCCAAACACATTCCTACCTCTTGTTCTGGAAGGCAGCCCGGTTCTGACGGCAGTGTGGTCCGTCGCAGGAAGAGTCCTGGCTGTGTGCGCCGTTTCAGTCATGATGTTTTCTCTTTGGGAATTCTGTGAAGAAGGCCGTCACTAACAGCAGATTCTAATAATCGATGGCCGACCTTTGCTCTTCAGAGGAGAAAACGTTTTCTCCAACTCACCTGCTCAGAGCCCATCTCTGCTTTAACCCTGCTGCTCGACTCTAATGCAGAAGCTTGGGAGTCAAAGGTCAGGCTGCAGACTCACTGGTGATATATTAACATCCGCTGGGAGGCTCACATGCTTGGGAACTCTTCTTAGGGACTGAAGAGGCATCGTTAACAGGGATAGACCATCCGCATTGCAGAGCGAGTGCAGCAGAGGTCTTGCATTTCCCTCAAGGACAGGATCTTAAGTGGGATGTTCCTGAAATAACTACATAAAATAAAGAGTCCGACAGTAAAATCTTCAGGAACTTGCAGAAATGTGTCTGATAGAAACAACAAAAGTTTATTTTTAAAATTGTGAACCTTGAAAGAAATCAGATTAATATACAGGAAAGAATATTAAGGACTGAATGCACTTTGCGAACGTTCAGCAGGAATTTTCTACCAAGTGTAATGACCCACAAATCAAAGGGGGGAGGGTGGGAATGTGATGTTTAAGATAAACAAATAAATGTTTGTTTAAACCAGATTTTTACAAAAGCTCTAAAGCAAAGATCTTGCACATCCCCACTAGAAGCGGTGTTGCCTTTATCGTTTTCCATCATGTGAGCCACGTTCTGTTGGAGGTTTCTTCCTGTTGAAAGGGAGATTTTCTCTCCACTGTCACTGCATGCTTACGTAGTATGAGGACTTGTGTAAAGTCTCTGACACAACAAGTCAGTGACTCGATGCAATCTGCTGGGTTCCTTGTCAAGTCAAAAAAACTAGATTTTTTTTTTTGCTGGAATGAATTAAAAGAGAAAGAATTAGTTTGGAAAAATGTTTTACTCCATCTAAGACTTTTCCTTCTCAGCACTTTGGACAGTTTAGCACCCTAGTGGCACAGCAGGGCATTACAGTGTGTTTCCTTGGGCAAATGGATTGAGCTGGTGAGGCAGCTAGTAGCACTGGTGCCTCGCAGCAAGGTTGCAAGTTCAAACCCTGGCTGTGGCCTTTTGAATAAGCCTGTTTTCCTCATGCATAACCAAAAACACGCATGTTGTCCATAGGTGTGATTGGAGGTTTGGTGGACTGTGGCCTGTCCAGGGTGTCCCCCACCTCTCATGCTATTACAAAACTACCAAGCTTTCTCCATTTCTGTCACTTGTTAGTAAAAGTTGTTTCCGAAATATAAGAAAAATTGTTGAGTAAAATAAAATAAAAAGGCCGGACAAGTTGAGTGAAGCAACTACATTCAGCATTTTGTTATTATATTTTATCCACATGCAGCAACAGCTTCGCTCCATCCATCCACTTCTGTCGAAGCTCTGCGTGAAATTCACAACATGCTCTGGTTTGCTCTTTAAATTCCTCCACCAAATAAACTTAAGTCTTCCTTTTTTCCAAGCAGTCAAGATAATCCTGATATCATCACTGTGACGTCAAACACCTACGATTTTCTCAAACATCACAAATCTTATAAATCCAGATGGGAAAATGATCCACAAATGGTTTTCTCATGCATGAGGCTATTCAGGATTTTCTGATTTCAGAAGCTGGAGCTTAAAGCATCTAAAACCTGAACTTGATCATATTATAGTCTGTAAAAGCCTATTAAATATTTATTACATGCATTTAAGGACATTTGTTATTTTTTGCAACAGTGAAATCAAAGAACTTGCTTATTTTTGCAGTGTGAATATTTAAAATATAAGAATCTTCCTCCTGCTGTGATTTCACGCACATAAATTTCATAACTGCGTTGTTGGCTCTTTTTTAAAACACAGAAAAGGTTTATTTTTTACCTTTCATTTTCACTGCTTCACTACAAGTAAAGTAGGTCACATCTTGTTTGTATATTTTCTCTTCCTTCCATGAAGAGATCCTTTGTAAAACTGAGTTTCATTCATGTCATACATCACTGAATACGTTTACATGCAGCCAATATCCGGGTTATGATCGGGTTAAGGTCGGTATTCGGGTTTCTGAGTTGATCAGAATAACCCGTTTACAAGCATAAATAGAAAGAGTTACCCCTAACTTGGATAACCCGATTTAAATGCGGACGTTGGAGTAGCGTCAGGACGTATGGACTATGCGTCATTTCCGGTTCTTCTTGTTCCGGTGTCCATGAAAACAACAACATGTTTCCCAGTTCGGAAGAGATAGCGACTGCATTTGTTTGCGCTTTAGTTTCATCGTCACTCCAAAAGTGTGGTGCTGTGCCGCGACTCGCCATGTTGCTCCCAACTTGTTGTTTACTTCCGGTGTTCTGGCGCATACAAGACGTCTCGGTACTCAAAAGACCAAGATTCCTTGCGAACAGAGCATGCGCAGAACACACGCTTTGATGGGGATATCCCGATATGCGTTTACACGACCAAACATTTGGGTTAGAAAAGGGTTACCCCAGGTGTAGTAACCGGGTTTTTAAGAACCCGGTTATAAGCATATCCTGGTTTTTGGCGGTGTTTACATGGACCTGTGGAACCGGGTTATTGTGAAACGCACTCACTGATTGTATGCATGGACGTAATTTTCACTTTAGGAGTGGGGGGGACACGGGGGGGGGGGGGGTATCTTTACAGTATGCTCTAATGGGAAACAGGCTTCAACACAAACGGTTGTTTTCCGCTTGGTCCTAGAGCTCAACTAGTGTCAGTTTAATATAGCGTAATGTTGTTTTTGGATGGTAAAAAGTGCAGGGGTCAAAACGACTTTGGAAAAGGTGGAGGGGGGGGGGGCATGTCCCCCCTGTTCCCCCCAAAATTACGTCCATGATTGTATGTAGAAATATTTCTCAGGAAGTCTGAATAATCTGCTTAAACTTGTGTTTCATGTCAGATAAAGTCAGGAGCTCTTTTAAATTAGGGTTTTGTTTAAAGTCAAAAGTTTAGCTCTGATTTAGTGGAACATCAAAGACTTGCATAACTGGAGGATATAAAAACCAGATTTAACCAGCCTTACCAGATACCGTAAATAAGCTACAAAACTCCAAGTCAGGGAAAGGTTGGGTATTGTTGTCGTCATAGTACCCACAGGGTTTCAGCTCTTCTTTTCAACAAGAAGAGAAGGTTTTAGTTACGTTTTCCAAAAGCAATGGAGAACTTGTTACGTGAGAAAAACACTGCTGGGCTCTGGGAGCACAAATACTATGGGACAGGATAATAAAGTTTTGAAGATGAGTCACTCAAGTTAAAGGGAACACATGCAGTCTCGTGTCTCCATTTTGACCAGATGTTGAAGGGTCAAGCTGTACCTAAAAACTGACCATTGCTGGACGTTACAGTGTGAATGGGTGAATGACTGATTGTGTTGTAAAGTGCCTTGGGGGGTTCCAGGACTCTAGAAGACGCTATATCAAATGCAGCCATTTACCATTAGACATTCATTTATACAGTTTATCAGCAAAAACAGTTGATTTTGGGGTGACTTGTTTTTTACGTAACTTATGCTGTATTTACAGTACAGTATTTATTTTTTCAATCTCAATCTGTTCTTGATCCATTTGACATGGTTAAAATTACAGGTAGCATTTAGAACTTTTGCTCTATGTTATTATTCTAAAATTAAATAAAAAAAGGTTGCAGGGAAAGAAAAACATCAATTGAAGGTCAACATGAGGGCTGAAAAAAAGGAACTCTTGTGAAGTGGGGACTCGATACGTTTTAATAATAATAATGTTTTGGTTTCCAATGAAGTCCAGTAGGAGGAGTTACCAGGAGCATTCTGATTTCTTTAGAATTAGAAACCAAAAGAGTTTGTTTTTGCGGCTTATTAAGACATGTTGATCATTCAGGCATTCCCTTTCTTGCAGAGGTCGGAGGAAATAATAAGCTGCATAAATGAGTCATTAAAAGTTGTATTCAGCCTGCCGTAATGGAAATTACCGCTAGCTCATATTTGAACTCCTAATCTTGGTTTTGTGCATTCCTTCTTTTGTTAAGAGTTTGAAAGAAGTAGACGTCAGTACATGTGAAGTCTTTAAAGTCAGATGAGTTTATTTTTAAAATCTATTTCAAAATAAAAGTCATTTTAAGGGTGTATACAGAGACCAGGTAATCTTAAAACAAATGACTGAACACAGTTAAATTTGTTTCCATTTACTGTTAACTGCTGTTTGGAATTAATTTTTCAAACTTGCGGCTGACTTTCAATGACAACCAATGACGGTCTCACCAGATTAAAATTAGCCGTAACTGGTTTTAAACCACAGTCATGATGAGATTCCTGCATCTGGTTTGAGTTTCTACTGAATAACCTGACTGATCCTTCCTTAATCCTTTAAGCCGTGACTGACGGAAATCATTGTTGTGAACAAACGCAGTAAAGTTGCATTGTGGTTTTATTTTCTGGTGTTTCTAAAATCTGTGGCGGTACTTTGCTCTCGGAGAGGAACTTCCTTTGTGTTCATTTGGAGCTTCAAGCTTCATCGGTGATTGTCAGCAGGATCATTTGGGTTTTATTTTTCTAATGTATAAACACTGCATCAGAACATGAATGACCATCAGAACTTTTCTCCTCAGTAAGAAAATTACTTTAGTGTTTTATGGTCCGATCGGACACTCAGTCATGCTCAGGCATGCAGGAAGGAGGTTTTGTTAGCAAAGGCACTGACCCAGTAAACCACATTTATTACTAAGTGCTTGTGGCTAATTCCTCCTTCTTTATCCGACTAAAAACAAAGAAAAACATTTCAAATCACCAATTTCCTCACCTGGTGATGATCATCTGTCTTTGGGCCTTGTCCTGTGACGTTTCGACTCTCTTGGGATTTTGTTTAAGCTACTAGTGAATTTCATTGAGCTTCTATAATCTCATTTGATCAAGTTCTTCCGACATGTTGTGGTAAATGTCTAACTACTATCTGTTTGTTTAAATTATGACCATCAGTGTTGCTTTTGGACTGCATTTTGCTCCAATACCCAGGAGATCCTCTTGACTCATTTCCAGGAATCAGCAGAGTTCGAGAGTTCAGTTTTCCTCCTTCTCTGAGTTCCCTGAATGTATCATGCACACAAAAGAAACTTTGCATTTTTTCTGTGCATTGACAAAAATATCTCTTCTTATGTATTGGCTGTCATTTCTTTACCAACTGGACGGACATGACATGCAGGACCTGCTTAGATTGGAGGCACATGGCCACATACTTCCCTCAGTAGTGGGCAAATACCACACAATGTTGCACACAAACGTCAAATATGGACAGTTTAAAGCTGGGGTCCTTAGCGTGACGTCAGCTAGCAGAGGAGGAGAATTTTTTTTATTAGATTGTCTCCCGTCCCGGCTCCCCCTTTTCTTTCAAAAGGAGGTGAAAGCCATGCCTCATACCGTGCATGCACATAGCGCTAATGGTGGGCTGCTGTGGTAGCATGTTTCTGATATGTTCCTGCTCAGACACACCTGATTCTAACAGTTGCATGATCTCATCATGCCTTTATCAGGTCCTGCTGGAGCTGCTAATAACTCATTTTATTCAAATCTGCAGTCCTCAAACCTTTCACTCACGAGTCATGACACAATGCTAGCACACCCTGCTAACGCTACAACAGCAGGGCTTCCAACTCTCATGCATTGAGCGTGAGACACACACATCTGACCCTCTTCACATGCTCTCACGCAACCCCCCCAACGAAGGGAAACGACACGATTCCTTGACCCCACGCATGGAAAACTTCAAAAGTTAGCAGCCCCGCTACAGGTAGCGTAAGGTTGACTGCTACGCTAATCACATATAGCTCCTGTACACAAAAGAAAAATCCCTTTTCGTTATCTTTCCTCCTCTTCCACAGTTAGCCTAAAGTTTGCAGAATGACATTAATTCAAAAGCCCGTTTTAGAAGACACACCATGCCAGCAAATCAGCGTAATACTGTCACCACGGTGCATCTTATGAATGCGGCGTGGCAGCAGGGTGATGCGGGAATTTTCCAACATTTGTTCTGCCAAGCTTGGTATTGATATTACCACAATGCTGGACTCGTGAATGCATTTTGTGCCTTGGCGCAACAGAGAGGTGTCATGATCATATGTGGAATTGCTGCCGAGCTCCGGCAGGGAACTATACGTAAAATTAAACTAAACACGGCAGAAAGCTTTGCTTTTTAAACAGAATCAGCTGAGATGATAAACTGGAGTGATACAGAGCTCCAGGAGCTTCTCTCCCTAAGAGCTGGAGCTCAGATCACCAGGGCCAGGCACCTTCAGGAGCGTCTTGTTAAAAAAACTTAATCAGCGCGGCTTCGATCAAAATTAAAAGCAAGTTATGTCCAAGATAAACAGAAGTCTGCGGCAGCGCCGAGACCGCCCTCAAACCCCCTTTAAACCGCTACCCCCTTTACCTGACCACTTAAACCACCTAAGGCTTCCTGATGCCGGCTCAGCGTCACGGCTAACTGGCATTAGTGTTTTCTAAAAGGCAAGTTTTCCAAAGGTTGAGTTAGCATTCAAGCTAGGTTGTTGTGCTAAGCTGACTGACGTGTCTGTGTTACACCACAGTGCATGCTGGGAACTGGGACAAACTCTCTCCATCTGGTGGTCAAGCAAATCTATTGGTCAATGCTCCAGGACAGTGGTATTGGATTCCAGTTGTGGAGGACTGGTATCCAGCACGTTTTAGTGGTTTCTCTGCTCCAACACATTTGATTCAGTGAATCATCTGTGCAGCAGCTCGTCGGGTTCTGCAGAAGCCTGTTAATTACCTGCTGATTGAAACCAGGTGTGTTAAAAGTAAAATGTGCTGGATACCGGCCATCCAGGACCGGACTTGAAAACCCCTGCTCTAGGCTCATGTAAACAATTTGTTCTGCTGTAGAGGCCAGGGGGGAAAGAAATGATGAAAGATGACCTACTTTATGTCATAGAACAGGGTTAGATTGTCACATTTGAATATTTTTAAACTTTCTTTAAAACTTTTTAGACTCCTGTCTCGAGCTTAAAATATTCACTGTTCCTGATTCTTTAACCTTAACTCTTCTTAAAGCAGATCTGTTCATAAAACCTCTAAAATGCACAGATTTACTCTGAATCACAGAAGACACTCGTAGTTGTTCAGAGAAAAACACAAAGCTGCAAAATTCCACACCTGCTGCTTGAATATGTTCCCACTTTAGACTGCCGTCAACCCAAAAGTTAAAAAAAACAAACAGAAAAATGACTCAGTAGACTGCAGGACAATTATTAACGTGGAGGTTTTGATTATTTATGGTCATCTAAATAGTGGATTATTGACTACATTTAAAAAGCTGTTTACAGCAGCTGCAGTGTCGTCGCTGGAGGATGACCTGACTGCAACACATTTTGTTTTGTATCATCTGAATTATGAGACTCTATAAATAGTGACAGACATAAACAAAGTCTGTATTTATTGTTGTGGGAACACCAGAGAACCTTAACTGCAGCCTGATGGATCAAATATCCAGGAAAACACCTTTGCGATTGCCTTGTAGGGGTACTGTGACATCATTTTGGTGTGATTACTCACACAGCAGCATACTTTTACAGCTTGATCCCATTGCTGGGACCACAGACGTATAATGCACTTAACAGGCAATAAATACTTTACCTTTAAACATCTGAGTGCACTTTAAAGTGCTCAAAGAGGACTTGTGCAGCCAGTGATTCACATGGAAAGGACATTACGGTAAGTTTGGCATCACTGTGTTGTCTACCAGTCCCTTTTTAGTCTGCAGCAGAAGCAGAGGTTCATCTCTCATGAGGTGTTTTGGTTTTTTTTTTTATTTTGGTTGCAGACAGAAAGCGCGCTGTGGTGCTCCTCAGTATAAACACAAGCCATGCTGTAATGAATGTGTGATGATGGCTGCCCAGTGGGAGAAGGCTGGCTGCAGCCGCCTGCCGTCCATCAGCCTCCTGTTGTTGTTAGCAGTCGTTTACAGTCTTCTCTGTTTGGGACAAAGCTGCACTTTGGGAACAGACGTTCGTCACGGGGGAAAGTGTGGGCTGCAACATGGCTCTGGAGCAAACACTGGTGCTAATGTGTTTACAGCTCTGTCCCATTCTGCATCAGGTCAACGCTGAAGTAGAATCATAAGAGGACGTTAGTTTGAAACCAGTAATGACTTTCTGAGTTGGGATGCACAATGGAAATCTAAAGTCCGCCATAATCAGCTGGAAGGACTTTCTGGAGATCGTAGCGACATTTCCAAAAGAGAAAAATAAAAAGAGAAACTTGAAAGAGTTGTTGAAATATAAGAGACTCACATATGTTTAGTTGAGCCAATGAGCCACTTAAATAAAAGCTGTTTGACACTTCATAGTTTTAGGACTCGTGTAATTTTTTTAAATTTTGTTCCTTTTATCCTCTTCCTGTGGAATTCATTCTATTGAGTCCTGACTCATATTTCTGGATGTTTAAACATTTCCACATTTATTATAAAAGCAAATGAAAATAGAGATTCTTTCATTTATAACAGGATTTTTAGGGTAAATCTCTCCTAATCTGAGAAACAGAAACTTTTAACTGATAAGTGAATAAAACGAAGAATCTCGGTCGAGTTTGTTTACTTTTCAGATGACCTTCTGTGGTTGACGCAAACACACGTCTGTGATCACATCTGTGGATGTAAGGAAACTTTTTAATGTTTTAATTAATTATTTTCGCCTGTTCCTGTGAGAAGACCCAGCCCACCCGCTTGAGCTGTCGGGAGGGTGGGCTGGATCGTTGCGCCTACTTTAGGGACATCCCCCAGACTCAGCCCAGCTGTGCGCCCCGACGTTTGCATCTTTTACTGGAAAGCAGACGGGATGAGACTCCCACTGGACAGTCCCCTGTTGCCTTATCGTCTTCTGCAGGAGGCTAAAGAGGAAATGCGCGCTCAGAGCCACATCAGACCGATAGAAATGACGGAGGCGATGGAGAGCCCGAACTTTACGCATGGATCTATTTTCATTAACGAGTCTCATCTTCAACATTTAACCGGAAATCCTGGAACAAACTCGACAGAGATCGCTGTACCAATTTTCATGTTTGCTGGCGGGGCCATTGGGAACTTGATTGCAGTAATTGTCCTTTCAGGCTCGCGTCAAGAGAGAAAATCCTCCGCTTTCTACACGCTGGTGTGCGGCTTGGCGGTGACGGACCTGCTGGGCACCTGCTTGGCCATCCCGCTCACCATCGCCAACTACATGGACGCGCTTGTGCTGAGGAACCAGCGCGTCTGCGAGTTCCAATCCTTTGCGTTGCTGTTTTTTGCTTTAACCGGACTGAGCATCATCTGCACCATGGCGGCCGAGCGCTACCTGGCCATCTGCTGCCCCTACACTTACCACCGCTGGGGGGTGGGCCGACGCTTTGCGCAGAAGTTCCTCTTCTTTATTTACATCAGTCACGTTTTTTTCTGCTTTCTCCCAATGATGGGCATCGCGGAAAGCCAGCTGCAGCCGTCCGGCACCTGGTGCTTCATCGATTGGAGGACATCTGAGCCGGTGGCCACCGCTTACTCCGTCCTGTACGGTGTCGTGAGCCTGCTGCTGATTCTGGGCACCATCGTGCTGAACCTGGCGGTGTGTGGAGCGCTGCTGCTCATGCGCCGCAGGACCGTGCAGCGACCTGTCACCACGGGCAGCGTCCGGGAGAGGTGGAGAGCGCTGTCCTCGGACGCAGAGACGCAGATGATCACGGTGCTGGTGATGACCTCCGTGGTGGTTCTGTCTTGTTCTGCTCCGTTAGTGGTGAGTAATCGATTATCCAGTAAGTTATGTGAACAAAACTTTATTTTTCTTCCCAGAAGAGCAGATGCAACAACACATGATGACGCAGTTTAGATGTCATGTCATCGACGACGGGTGGGCACATGAGTGTTTGGGTTCAGATGGTTCAGATCAGTGAGGTCATTTAAAGGGGATGTTTTATGCATTTTGTTCTGCCATGTGGATGAAAACGTCCATCCATCCGTTTTCTGTCAGTGTCTGGTTATAGGAATTTTGTGCTTACACGTGCCTTTTCAAAGAAGTCCCGTTATGTGCAAAAGAAAGCTGCTGCTGGAGGAACAGTGTATCGACCATAACCATTATAGAAAAAGTCATGATGTGTCACTTTTAATCACTTTTTTCATTAAGTAGGTGTAAATCATTTATGATTTATTTTTACTTAAATGAGGTAAACAAGGTTTATTGACCATACATTAAAAAAAAGTGTAATAAAAAGCTGAAGCAACTGCATGTCATGGTCTGCGTCTCTCCTCATGTGTCTCCTTGTGTCTCCATTCCTCTGGTTTCTCCTTTTGTGTCTCATAGCGCCCTCATGTGTCCTTGTCTGCGTCTCATTTATGTGTCTCTTTGTGTGTTTCATGTGTCTCCTGTTTGCAGCCCTCCAGATCTTTCCTCCCAGGCCCTGTGTCCCTTCACGTTCTGTGTCCTTGTAGCTCCAGCCCTTTTTGTCCCCAGCTCCCTCCTGGTTTTCCTCATGTCTCTAAAGCTTGGTTTATGCTTGACGCATTCACTTTCCGCGCGGTGATGCGGCTCGCGGATGGAACGCGCTTCACAACTCGCATCGTTTATGGTTTGTGCAGCTCGTCTCTGCGGTGAGCCAATATTCTCCCAAACTGAACGTGGCAGCATGGAGCTCTACGGCATGCATCCAACACTACACCATAGTAGAAGTAGAAATGACTGTTTACAACATGGCATTCCAGCATTTATAACAGCGTTCTTGTCTTTTCCGACAGTGCGAGTTATTTCTCTACAAGAATTATTAACAACATGTTGATCACGGTCATCTCTGAGAGCTGAATCAAATGTCTGTATTTACGAATCTCTGCCATACTAGTTCTTGCCGTTCTGCCATGTTTTTCCGTGTCCGACCGTCCGCGTGGTTAGAAATTTTCCTAGGTGCGCGTTGCGGAAATTTTGGGCCGTGCGGAGGCGCGGTGGAGGGGCGTGGTTGTTAAAATGACGCAATTTCGCCGCGCGGACCTCGCGGACGGGTCAAGCATAAACCAACCTTTAGTCTCCTCACCTTAGTTTATATAGGTCTTTTATTTCAGTTGAGTGTGTGCGTGTTCTTCCCCAGCTCGGTGTGTGTGTGTGTGTGTGTGTGTGTGTGTGTGTGTGTGTGTGTGTGTGTGTGTGTGTGCGCGCGTGTCCCTCCCCAGCTCTGTGCGTGTGCGTGTCCTTCCCCAGCTCTGTGAGTGTGTGTGTGTGTGTGTGTGTGTGTGTGCGCGTGTCCTTCCCCAGCTCTGTGTGTGTGTGTGTGTGTGTGTGTGTGTGTGTGTGTGTGTGTGTGTGTGTGTGTGTGTGTGTGTGTGTGTGTGCGTGTCCTTCCCCAGCTCGGTGTGTGTGTGTGTGTGTGTGGGTGGGTGTGTGTGCGTGTCCTTCCCCAGCTCTGTGTGTGTGTGTGTGTGTGTGTGTGTGTGTGTGTGTGTGTGTGTGTGTGTGTGTGTGTGTGTGTGTGTGTGTGCGTGTGTGTGTGTGCGCGTGTGTGTGTGCGCGTGTCCTTCCCCAGCTCGGTATGTGTGTGTGTGTGTGTTTGTGTGTGTGGGTGTGTGTGCGTGTCCCTCCCCAGCTCTCTGTGTGTGTGTGTGTGTGTGTGTGTGTGTGTGTGTGTGTGTGTGTGTGTGTGTGTGTGTGTGTGTGTGTGTGTGTGTGTGTGTATGTGTGTGTGTGTGTGTGTGTGTGTGTGTGTGTCCTTTCCCAGTCAGGTCTGGTGTCCTCTGCTCCTCCTCTCTTTATTGCTCTCACCTGTGCCAGTTCCCCACACACCTGCTCCTTGTTTCAGTGTTGTTGTCGGTCCATTGTGATGTATTCTGTCAGTCTTCTCGTGTCTCTAGTGTTTTTGGATATCCAGATCATTTTCTGGATTTTCGGACTTTTGGCTTCCAGCCTTTTTTGGGTTTATTTTTTTTTATTCATCCTAAAATAAAGGATTTTTCTTAATCTTCATCCCTGCCTCGTGTCATCTGGGGTATCTGCATCTTGGGTCCTAACCATCCTCAAATCGTAACAGAATGGACCGACCAACCCAGGACCCAGTAGAACCTCCAGGTACTTCGACGCGCCAGCGGATGTACAATTTTTATGGTGACCCGGACTCCAGTCGGACCTTCATCTTGGACTTGGTGAGATTTTATGGCTCGAACGTTTTGGACACAGACTTGATTATTAATGTGGTGCTCCGCCTAAGGGGAAGAGCCCTGCTATGGGCCAGCAGTTACCTCGAGCAATATCCTTTAGAGTTGGAGTTTTGGGTTTTCGCAGAAGATCTGCTGGACGCTTGCTGCAGCCCACAAGCTCCCTCCTTACTCATCTCCCCACCTTCCTCCGGTCCAGACGGAACTATCAGCTCCTTTTTGATGGATCACTATCCGTCAGCAAGCGCCGTTGTAAGAGCATCTCAGCATCTTCGAAACGCCACACCTCCACATCTTCGCCTGGTCCTGACAGCGCCTTCTCCCCGTTTCTGACAGTCAGAACCGGCGTCATCTCATTCTCCCCTTTACGTGTTGATTCCGTCTCAGCACCTCAGATGAGCCAACCCTCCCCGTCACAGCAGCAAAGAGTCCAGGTTTCATCTCCAGATCAGCGTTGCTGGCGAGACACAGTTCCTCCTGACGCCACCTCCAGTCTTCAGGTGGGTCAGGTAGCTAAGGGAGCTGAATCCGCACCTCAAGGTCTGCACTCTTGGTCAGGAGATGTCCCAGAAACCTCCTCTTCTCCCGTGGTGGGCCAAACCCCCACACCCTCACCTGGTCCTGACAGTGCCACCACTTCCTCTCCGGTGGGCTGTAACTCGTCCTCTGTACCTGCCGACATCACCCCCGCACCTCCTAAGAGCCGACATCAACGTCGCCGCCATCACCAGCAGTCTCCTGAGGCTAGAGTTGTGCCGCCTGTCAAAGAGGCCCCTGCTCTGCAACCCAGGACTGAGCTCAAGAAACCATCTGAAGCCAGAGTTGTGCCGCCTAACCAAGAGGCCCCTGCTCTGCAACCCACGTCTGAGCTCCATCTCCTATCACCGCATTCTGCTCCAGCGGTGGTCCTGGAGGACGCAACACATCCTACTTTGGCGGTGGTCCGGAAGGATGCACCGCATCCGGTCCAGCCCGTCCACGAGGCTCCGGTCCAGCCCGTCCATGAGGCTCCGGTCCAGCCCGTCCACGAGACTCCGCCCAGTTCGATGCCTCCAGTCTCAACGTCCCCACACTCTTCAGAGTCCCCGTCTTCAGAGTCTCCAGTGTTCCAGTCTTCAGAGTCCCTTCTTCGTCGCCGGCCCCTGATACTCGCCTGTTCCCAGCTCCTGGTCCCCCGTCGCCGGCCCCCGAGACTCGCCTGTTCCCGGCTCCTGGTCCCCCGTCGCCGGCCCCCGAGACTCACCTGGTCCCGGCTCCTGGTTCCCCGTCGCCGGTTTCCCTGAGTCCCCTGGCCCCTCCTCGCCCACCCTTGTGGGTGGTTTTTGTTTGGTCCCTCCTCTCCCTCCCTGTGGTTTCTCGTGTCCTGTCTTGTCTTTGTCTTTTGTTTGTGGTTTTGTCTTCGTCTTGTGCGTCTGGTATCCGCCCTTGGGGGGGGGGGGGGGTACTGTCATGGTCTGCGTCTCTCCTCATGTGTCTCCTTGTGTCTCCATTCCTCTGGTTTCTCCTTTTGTGTCTCATAGCGCCCTCATGTGTCCTTGTCTGCGTCTCATTTATGTGTCTCTTTGTGTGTTTCATGTGTCTCCTGTTTGCAGCCCTCCAGATCTTTCCTCCCAGGCCCTGTGTCCCTTCACGTTCTGTGTCCTTGTAGCTCCAGCCCTTTTTGTCCCCAGCTCCCTCCTGGTTTTCCTCATGTCTCTAAAGCTTGGTTTATGCTTGACGCATTCACTTTCCGTGCGGTGATGCGGCTCGCGGATGGAACGCGCTTCACAACTCGCATCGTTTATGGTTTGTGCGGCTCGTCTCTGCGGTGAGCCAATATTCTCCCAAACTGAACGTGGCAGCATGGAGCTCTACGGCATGCATCCAACACTACACCATAGTAGAAGTAGAAATGACTGTTTACAACATGGCATTCCAGCATTTATAACAGCGTTCTTGTCTTTTCCGACAGTGCGAGTTATTTCTCTACAAGAATTATTAAGAACATGTTGATCACGGTCATCTCTGAGAGCTGAATCATACAAATGTCTATTTACGAATCTCTGCCATACTAGTTCTTGCCGTTCCGCCATGTTTTTCCGTGTCCGACCGTCCGCGTGGTTAGAAATTTTCCTAGGTGCGCGTTGCGGAAATTTTGGGCCGTGCGGAGGCGCGGTGGAGGGGCGTGGTTGTTAAAATGACGCAATTTCGCCGCGCGGACCTCGCGGACGCGTCAAGCATAAACCAACCTTTAGTCTCCTCACCTTAGTTTATATAGGTCTTTTATTTCAGTTGTGTGTGCGCGTGTTCTTCCCCAGCTCGGTGTGTGTGTGTGTGTGTGTGCGTGCGTGCGTGCGTGCGTGCGTGCGTGCATGCGTGTGTCCTTTCCCAGTCAAGTCTGGTGTCCTCCTCTGCTCCTTCTCTCTTTATTGCTTTCACCTGTGCCAGCTCCCCACACACCTGCTCCTCGTCTCCTATCACTCCAGCCCCAGTGTATAAAGCCCTCTACTTGTCTCTGTGTTGTTGTCGGTCCATTGTGATGTATTCTGTCTGTCTTCTCGTGTCTCTAGTGTTTTTGGATCTCCAGATCATTATCTGGATTTTTGGACTTTTGGCTTCCAGCCTTTTTCTGATTGTTTTTTTTTTTTGGTTCATCCTAAAATAAAGGATTTTTCCTAATCTTCATCCCTGCCTCGTGTCATCTGGGTTATCTGCATCTTGGGTCCTAACCATCCTCAAATCGTGATACTGCAGCTTATTCAGAATGCTGCTGCTAGAGTCTTAAGAAGAACCAGGAGAACCGAGCACATCACTCCTGTTCTTAAATCTCTACACTGGTTACCAGTAAACCACTGTCAAAGTGCTTCTAGTTTATAACTCACTCAATGGCATTGGGCAAAAATGTCAGATTTCCTTACAGTATAGATACCCAGGGCTCTGAGATCTTATAGGAAGCAGTCAGCTGGTAGAACCCCAGGTCAGAACCAAACACAGTGAAGCTGCTGCACACAGATGGATCTGCTTCCTCATGACCTCAAATCTGCCCCAACTCTAGAAACTTTTAAATCAAAAATATTTGAAGCCTTTGAATTAGGGCTGCACGAAATAAAAAAAACTGCAATATTCGATATCAGTGATTAATATTGCGATGACGATATTACTTGCGATAAATAAAAACTTACGTCTGGAACAAAAATAATCAAAAACAAAAAAATAAATAAATCATAAAAATGAGAAAAGCAAAAGATGTGAGGAAAGGGGAAAAAGAAAACGAACAAGAAAAGGCAATCAGTGGATCACGGGAAAAGCAGAATCAGCAGAAAGAGCAGAACAAAGCTAACTCAGGTGTTTGCTAACCATCAAAATTAAGGGCCATCTGCCTCAGGGGCGGGCATCTAGCCTATGAGAACCCATCCGATTGGCCAAATGGGTGAAGAGCTCTATTTTATTTGTTAAAAAAAAAGATCATGCATCCATTTGATTGACAGAATGCGTCAAGTGTAGCAAACATTTGAGCTGACCATTCATTGTGATATTTATCTGTTCTTCATTCATTGTGATATTTATCTGTTCTTTGCGATATGCATATTGTGCATGCTGATATCGCGATAATGATAAATTTACGATATGTCGTGCAGCCTTACTTTGAATGATTGTTGCACACTTTTCTTTTATTATTACACACACACACACACACACACACACACACACACACACACACACACACACACACACACACACACACACACACACACACACACACACACACACACTTTTGAAATCCCTTCCTTGGAAGTGCTTACACTATTACAACTATTGCATCATGGGAATTATTGACATTGAATGTTAATTCATGACCAGACCTGGCCTCAAAAGGTTTGAATTACACTTCAAATAAACACTATGTAGCTTTTTTGTTTTTAATTACAGATCTGGGCTGATTAGAGTCATTAGATCAACTCTATAATTAGTGTGAGTGTGGGCAAATGTTTGACATTATTAAAAACAAGACAGAGTTGTGGTAGCAATGAAAAATAATTTATTATTTTAATTCCAAGTTTAAAACATTTCTGTGTTCCTACATGTGGAGTCAGTTCCTAAGCCAGGTTTAGGCCACATACGCCACCGCTCTAGACTCATGTCACCCCAGACACACTTTAACACACCATCACTGAGCTTTAATTTGATCTTGTTTCAGGTGCGTATGTTTGCCAACCATTTCCAAGACGACCACAAAGCAGACCTGGCAGCCATCCGAATTGCCTCAGTGAACCCCATCCTGGACCCCTGGATCTACATCCTCCTACGGAGGTCCCTGTTCCGACGATTGCTCGGTTTATCCAGGAAGTGCAGCAGCACCCGCAGCATTTCCTCGCCCACACAGCAAATAGATCTGTTTCATTCAGATATGAGGCATGACCACGTGTTCACCCAGCTCATGTGCAACGCCAGCGTCATCACTCAGCTACCCGCTGTAACCAAATTCAGTCGTCAAGATGCAGAGAAGCTCTGACAGACATGAGCTTCTGCAGTCTGTGAGATACTGCTGCAGAGGAGGGAGGGAGGATCGTATGGGTCCACCGCTGAACCAGACCCTCACAGATCCAGTGAGGTTATTTATTAAACAACAACGGAGGAACACTCTGAATGTTGCAAGTATGGAAGTAGCTAAGTGTAATGATGACACTTGGCCTTTGCTCTGTGCCTCTCAGTATTTTTACAGTCTATTTGGCATTAAATGTCACAAAAACTCATCTTCTTACCGCTAACTGTTCGGATTTTTTGTTGTTGTTTATATAAAAAAAAATCCTGTTTAATAGTTGGGTTTTTGGAAGAAAAAAGTCTGTTCTTTTTCATTTTATCGTTTTATTTTTAAAACAAAAATTCACATTTAAAACATGAATTTGATGCACTGAAAAAATGCTGCTGAAGCTTTTTTACAATAAAGATTGTTGTTTAAATAAATCTGATCGTGTTTTAGGTGATCTCGTCACATTTTGGGAATCCCAGCTCTTTGCGGAGTGATGATGCAAAATTAACTACGATGTTTGTAACTATTAAATATTTTTCTTCTTGCTGAAGGTAGACCGGTTTTGTGTTTCAGATGCAGAAGGAAGCATTTTATACAGTGTGTATTCATCAAAATAGAACTTTTTGGATCACATTCAGGCTGTTTCACCAAAAACTCTGAAACACGCAGGATGTAAACAGCTGAATAAAGTTTCATCTGCAGAACGTTCCATGAAATCATTTACAAAATAACACCTAACAGAGAGTTTCTCTGAAAGATTTTCTATATGAAATCATATAGAAACAAACAAAAACATGCCTTTAAAAGGAGGATCAAGACCTAACCACTTGGCTTTAATGAATTTCATTTTGTTTTAGCTTAAACTTTATTCATTAATTTTATTCAAAACTTCTTTGTTTTTATTGCTATATTTTACTCAAGAATGTTTATGAACTCTTGTTGACTTTTCCTTTTATGCTCTGTATTTATTAATGAGTGTGATTTAGATTTAAAGACCAAGTTCACTGAGAAACCATTTTTGTTTTGTTATTGTTGATCAGTCATTCTGAGATTAACATGATGAGAGCTAAACATGTCTTCTACTCCTATTTCCTGCATTAGCCACTGATAGAAAATAAACAGGAAATGCTCTAAATTAATTCCATTAATTGATACTAGAGACCACATTTAGATTTACCATGATTTAACATTTAAGTTTAGAATTAGATTTAACATTTAAATCTAGATTCTAAATTTAGATTTACCACTTTATTTTAGGTTTAGTTAACAATTTTGATATGGATTTAATATTTAGAATTAATATTTACATTTAATGTTGATATCCATCCATCTTCTGAACTTTTCAATTAAAATGTGAAAGTTTGCATGAGTGAATTCAATTCAATTCAAGTGATGAATGACCCGCACTTGTATAGCACCTCTCAGAGTAAGGACTCCAAAGCGCTTTACACTACAGTGTATCATTCATCCATTCACACACACATTCACACACCGATGGTAATGAGCTACGATGTAGCCACAGCTGCGCTAGGGCGCACTGACAGAGGTGAAGATTCAAAGATACTTTATTAACCCCAGAGGGAAATTACAGTAAAATTCAAAACTTTATTTTATTTTTGCAACGATGTTGGGATTTTTTCACAGTTTTTATTATTTTTAAAAGCACTTTGTGTCTATTTTATCATAAAAAAAACTTATTTATAAATTAAACTTGAAATCTGTTGTGAATAGCAGTAACTCGTTGTTCCCAGTAGGGGGCAGAAAAGCAAACAGGAGCACACAATGCACATGACAACCTGCTGTTCCGGTTTGGCTTTGATTTGAACATTTTCTGACTGAACTAAAACCATGAAGTGTGTGTGAGGTCAAACCTGACATTTTAACAGAAAATCCACATGTCTAATAAACTTTTATAAGATCAGGCACAAACAAGCCCCAAACAGGATGTGGACAAACGGGAGAAACATTTCATTTTCCTGCACAACCCCTCTGCAGGACCACCTGAAGTGTAACTACAGATAGAATAAAACACATGCAGCACGTTCGAGTACCTTAATGCATTTATTTGCCAAAACATTTGAAAGTATCTAACGAACATAAGCAGACAAGACTGTGCACAGCTGCACCTCTGTACATATTTGTACCTAAACACCATAAATAAAAATCTATAAACATAGTTTAAGTAAAAATCCTGTTTCAAGATCCATTGATGACACAAAAATATTCATTTTACAAGTTTTGCAAATAATTCTCCCCCATTATTTTTACACTCATCATTCTTTACATCCAAGTGAAAAGATTTACAACAAAGAGCCGACCAGAGTGTTTAGTTTACGTTCCTCCCGTCAGCTCACTGTACAGAGCAGAAAAAAAAACACCTAAATTAAACACAAAACCCACATTTTATGAATATTGCACCTCAGCGACCTGCAAACGAGGCCTCTGCCCTGAGGTGCACCCACAAAAAAAAATAAAAATAAAAACAGAGAAAAACAGCAAAACTTCAGTGGCGGAGGCGGATTCATGCTGTGTGGGAGTCATTAAACAGGAGATTCACACTGCTGAGGCAAACATTTCTACTAGAACAGTTTTTTGTTTGTTTAATTTGTTAAACAAACTTCAGAAAATCATCATAAGTTGTAAAACATGTGAGACTGGTGAATTACGCCCTCAAGTGCTGCAAAATCCCATTGCTGTTTAGTTTTCAGTCAGGTGAGGAAGTAGAGAAACTCTAATTTAAATCAGATCAGATGGCCTCAGATCTGCTTTATATAATGATTTAACACATCATTAATTCTGTAGATCTGAAATTAAAATGATCTGTTTTGGTATGTTTAAATAACTAAAACCTCCCCATCATAATTAGAAATGTAGAGAACGCAAGTACGATAAATTAAGTACGTATTAAATACGATTACATTTGAACCATCAGAAGATTGTAGCTGATAAGTTTAAAAATAAACAAACTAAAACATGATAAAAATTCAATTTTTCTGAATGCATAGACTAAAATCATTATCCAAATCTTGTTTCTATGCTTTGTTTTTCCTTGCTGTCTGTTTTATAATTTAATATCCCCTAAAATAATCCCAAGACCTACAGTTAGTCTCAAAAAATATCAACATTTTAGATATTAGTTATTAATCAAAATATTTTTCTTTACAGATGTTTCTGCACTTCTGTTCATACAGCACCATACAAGCTGCTTTGTTCTTGTTGTCGTTTTTTTACAATTTTTAGGTAAGATTTGACTCCACATAAATGTGGTTTTTCAATTTCATTGAACAGTTTTTGAACAGGAACCGTTTAAAAGGTCTGATGAAAATCTAATACCACCGTCGTTTGATCTCAAACAAGGTTCAGCGGAGTATAAAAATACGTTTGTGCATTTAATACTAAATGTTAAAGAATTGATCACAAGGACAACATAAACAATACCATCAACTGTCAAATTCCTTTCAAAAACACGGATATTGACAAAATCTTAATCGTTACAATCAATAAGGATCAGGACACTACAGTCGTTTCTTTAATTGCACAAATTGAGGCTCTGGTTTCATGTGTGGCTCCTTTTAATCAAGTCCATCAGCAAAAAAGTTTTTTTGTTTTTACTTTAAAATCTAGAGGGCTCTGCCACTGAGGCTATGCAGCTATATAAACCCTGATCATCAGTTTGAAATAAAATCTGCCTCATTTTTAAAGTAACACTAAATAGTTTTTTTAACTTTAAGCTAGAGCTTTCACATTGATTCCAATGATTGTTGAGTTTGAATCTTGACCAGTTTCATATTTGACACCACTCTGTAGCCCTCTGCGGGCCAGATACTCCACTAGATAGTTCTGTGGAGCGAGTAGGTGCCCTATAGGAGGAGCTCTTTACCTGTTTTATGGCTATTAGCTGTGATGCTAGCAGTTAGTTTCTTTTTTTCAGTTCGACGATCATTACAAAAAGAACAGGAAGAAAAAGAAGTTTCCTTTTGTTGGTGGCATCATGGCGTAGTCTAGAAGCAGAAGTGAGAGAATAATGTCTTTGGAGAAAAAGCAAAGCGCTAAAACCAGAGTGAACATCGGCGCAGCTAGCTTGAAGGAGCTAAAGGAGGCTACAAAATCACAGACTGATGTCAACCTGGCTTTGTTTCTGCTGAACTTGTAAGTAATAATGTTTTTTGTCCAACAGTGTGGATCGTTTTACTTTGTGATTTATTTTAGTATTAGTTAGCTCATGTTAGTATTAGCGCTAGCTACAACAGGCTGCAGCAGGGTCGTTTACAACTGTTGTAATTCCACTTTCAACCAGTAGGGTGGAGGAGCAGGAAACTGCTCTTTGTTACTTTAACTGATTTTTTTATTGCAAAACCATGACAACCAACCAAACATCCCACAGATCCCTGCTGTTGTGATGCACATGACAGGGCTGCTCTGGGAATTATTTGTGTTACACGTTTTAATTAGAAGTGATAAAACTTCTGCTTTACTAGGGAGGAAAAACAAACAGCTGTGTAAGAAGTCACTGACCTTTCTGAATAACGGTCTCGCTCTTCTTCAAAGTCGCCTCTTTTTGTGCATTTTGGATTAATTTGTTTACTTAAAAATGCAGCAAAAGCCAATGAGTGTGTGGAAAAAAATCCACGAGACACACCAGCATCCAGACGCAGACATAAAAACGAGCTTTCATTTGGACCGTTTCTTCGTGAGGCACCGTATGAACCACCTTGTGATGTGAAAGCAGTCTGCTCCCGTTCAGAGGCTCCATAAGGCTGTTTTAGCAACAAAGCTACTTGGAAATAAATGCTAACGTCTGCATGACACAAAGGCACCAATATGGAGGGGTTTTTCTTATTCAGTAAGCTAGCTTGTAAATCAGCACTAAATTAAGAAGAAACTCCAGCTGATAACAGAAGTTCTCAGGCTTTTAAATCATGATGTAAAGATTGAAATAATAAGTGAAGCCTTTAAATAAAAACAGATAATCAGCCAAGTTAAAAGTTCTGGGAAGTAGAAGATTGATTTTAAAAGATCTGATTTCAGCATCCTAAAGCTCCGAAGCACAAATTACTTAAGTATTTGAATTCCTTCTTAATTTTCAAATGTAAACTTCATTCCAACACTGTTGAGATTGAATCCATGCAGCGAAAACCCAAAAAGTGTTGCTGTTGCAGAGAATGGCTGGATATGTTTAAAAAAGGACTAATAGTTACTTTTATCTTACTTAGTTACATATTTGTCCAAGTTGTAGTTCAAAACACTTTATCCTCCTATAAAATCACTTTAACAACAGTTACTAAAAGCTTGAACTAACTGCCATTCCCACTGAATAAACCCAAAGGGCAACAAGAATGAATCAGCTTTTTGTCTCACAATCGCACTTCCCGACGTTTACCTCGACTCAAGCCTGAACATTTATTCACAGTCGTTTGGTTTCTCCTCTAAACAAAACAAGTGCCTCATGAAGAAAAATGGTAATCCATCAAACGCCAAAATTATAGCTCGATTTGTCCGAATGTCTCTAAATTATACAAAACTGACTTTAATGGTTCCAGGTGATCAAACAGAACAGCACAGCAACCTTCTGTGGCACATTTATTATGTCTCATAAAGCTTCCCCTGACACCTGAAAGATCCTGATTTTCCTTTAAGCCATCCCATAGCGTCACTGAAAACTGAAATAAAGCAAAAACGTGACCTAAAGCAAGTCTGTGGAAAACTGAAGGTTTGAGAAAGAGGAGGATCATGGGAGGGTTCCCATCTCTGGCCCTTCACTACCCACTTATCTCCTACCACCACCAGCTCTCGCTGTCAGTCTCGGGTTTGGAGCAGGCGTGATGACCCATTACAGGGAGGGCGTCGGGCTTCACACAGGGGATCTCCATGACAGCGACCCACTCCAAGCCTCCTTCAGACCACATATTGGTGGTTGCTGCTGTGGTTTGTCGTGTAGGCCTGTCGGCTGTACTGGAAGTGATCGGTCAGCACGTTGTTCCAGTTCTGCTGCTGTTCTGAGCTATGAGAGAAAGGCACTGACCCGTTGGACTGGAGCTTCCCCAGCACCGGGTTGTCGAAGGACATCAGCTCCTGCTTGGTGCTCGGCAGCAGCTTCTTCTGCCTGTTGGCGTCATACTTGGCCTGATGGTAAAGAGGACGTACATAAGTTGATGTGAACGTACAACTCCTGATGGGCTAACATCCAGCAGCTCACCTTGTTGTAAAGAAAGACACCAACGATGGCCGTCATCATACCCAGGACGTTAGTGAGGGTGACCGGGTTGCGCAGCATAAACAAAGATATGCTGATGACCATGATCCTCTTGGTGGCGTTGGCGACAGCGTAGCTCAGCGGGCTGACCAGGTTCAGAATACTAAATGCGATCACATTCTGTGCAAAATTGCAGAAGCCGCTGATGAGGAGGAGGAAAAAGGTGCTCGTCCATTCCGAAGTGTCTGACTGAAAGAGAGAGTCATGTCAGACAGAGATAAGAATAATAATCATCATGATGACGATGATGATGATGACGACGATGATGACGATGTATAGCACCTCTCAGAGTCAGATGACTCCAGAGCTCTTTACACTGCAGTCATTCAAACACTGATGGGGATGAACTACAGCTGCCCTGGGGAGCACTGACAGAGGACTAGGGGTCGTTTCCACTATTGGGCCATTCCCATCTGTACCGGGTCGGCCCGGGCCGGGTAGCGTAGGTTGTTCACATATCTGGGTGGCCTGGTATTTTTCCGGGCCAACCGAGGCTCATTCTCAGCCCTCTTCTCGAGGGGGTCTGCTTCAGGCCGACCAGGGCCAACACACCCACTGCTGACAGCAAAGTCACACCTTCCATTAGAGCAAGCCTCTGATTGGTGGGTAGAATCAGCCCACATGGGCTTAAGGCAAGGATGTGTGGAATCAACCGGGCCAGGCTGGGGCCGACTGGGGCCGACTGGGGCTACCCAGCCCGGGCCGACCTGGTACCGATGGGAATGGCCCATATCAGTACTTCCAGGTAATTTTAATTTACGTGCATGTCTCCCCATTTCACCGGGCCAGCTCAAAAGAACCATTTTACAGTACATATACATCTGGGACGGCTCAGTCTAGCCCTGGTAGGGTTTATATCTGGGTTATCTGTGCGTTGCCCGCACTGAGCTGACCAGCTTTTTCAGACCTGCTCTCCCGCGGTCAGCTACGGACTGATTTTCTGGCTGAAGTTCACGCCTACCTACTAGTGGGAGCTTCTGACACCAGTGGCAGCTTCCTGCTACACGATTGATTAAAGATGATATAGAGGAGTAAACATCTTCTCTGACTGCAGCTCCGACGGCTGGAGCAGCCTGTCGGAGCTGCAGTACCGACCGTCTGCTCTGAGAGGAGCCCACGGCAGCACTTCTGCTCAGCGAGAGGAAGCTGTGTGCTTCATGTCAGAGTCTCCAAAACCAAAACTGCTCACACCTGCTTTTGTTTACTACTGTTTCATTTAGGAAGGACACCACGAACTTCTCCGCACCACTTTTGCCCTGCCCACATGCTCAAAGACGTCCATGTTCCTGAGAAGGCTGTGTGAAAAGAACCAGACCGTGCGGAGACAGAGAGACCCAACCAAGGCCAGACCGAGTCGACCCAGATGTAAAAGTTGTTTACTGGCCATTTCGGGAACCACCTACTACCTGAACAAGGGCATCAGAATATTCTGATTGGGCTGAAGGATTTTTGATCTGATAGGGCATTAATTCCGATTACTTGTGCTCATGTAAACGTAGCTCACCGACGCTGCTACAGGCGTTGCTACCTTCAAACATATTCTTAATATTAACACGTTTCTTATCCAGGTGCTTCCTGTAAAAGTCATGCTTCTGGCTGGATAAATGAAAGAAATGACTAATGGTTAACAGGTTTAATCTGAACACGTTTAGGACTAATGTTTTAAAGTCAGTGCGTCAGGATTCTTCTCTCTGCTTCCGGGTTCCTAATTACGGGTCACATTCCTGCTTTTTAAACCGACAGCATAACAGGTTAATCCCATATTAGTGTTTCTGAACATCACTGATGATGCTCAAGAGCAGATCTGGGTTTTTTATATTAATTCTTTAGGCTCGTGAAAACTCAACACTGCAGTCTTATGGAAAAACATTATTGCATTTAAGTAGGTGGACTTTGCCAAATTATACATTTAAAAACACTAAGATGGAGGTCTAATAATGCAAATAATACATTAAGCATAAAGAGAGTCCATTCTGTTAAGAAAAAAATCATAAATCTATAGAATGATGCACAGAACTGCATCAATAAATTATACACACTATTGTAATTATCAATGAAGTAAAAAAATAATATCAGTCTGGGGATAATTGTTTTACTGGACAACATCTGGGGCAGCTGAGATTGTGCCCCATAGCCCTAAAATAAATGATGTTGGTATGAAACTCACTCCAGATGCTCCGAGTTCACGTCTGACCCATACATTCATTTGTTAGAGAATAATACTTTGTTTATTTTTTTGTAAAACTAAAAACTAAAATCTTTGTCGACTAAAACAGACGAGGACTACAACGCATTTTCATCATAAAGACTAAAACTAAGATGCCCACCAAAAACAACACAGAGGTTGAAAATGATCGCATCAGAAGAAATATATATTTTTAGTCAAATATACCTATTTTTTTTATTTAGTCGCCTAAAAAAGGACTACAACTAAAACTAATTAACGACTAATTCTTGAATAAAGTAAAAAAGAGTAGAAGTAAAAAAAAACTTCATAAATTAAAACATCTTGTCTAAATGAAGACTGCATCCCACCCTTTTAAAGATTGAGTTACTCACTAGATCTCCGCTCACAAGAAACACAGAGAGGTCCACCAGAACCCAGGTGGGGAGCATGAAGATCATGGCGTTGAAGCCCAGGATGTTCAGAAGCCTCAGGTGGTGCACTCTGGTGTCCCGCAACACCTTTAAAATAAAAATAATATATATCAACAAAACAGCAAATAACAGACCTGACGATGATGAATCATCCAGTCATATTTCATGTTCTGAAGATTTCACGTCATGAACTGGACCTACATCTTCAAATTCTCCAGTAAACAAACCTCCTAATGTGCGTTTCGTTCCTCTATTAAGGAAACATTTGGTACTTTTCATGATGTTTTTCTTCCATTTACTAAAACATTCTTAAAAAGCCTTGAAACACCAACTGAAAACTGTATAAACGTTACTTAAACTGATTCACTGGGTACTCCTTGAACTATAAAGCAACCATGGGATGAGGTGAGATCACGAAGAGCATTTCAACATGCAGATAAATCACCTTTTTGGAGAAGATGTTCTGCAGAGAGAAGCAGAGCGTGGCAGCGAGGGCGCTGATTAATCCTGAAACATCAAAGGAAAGCTCTGTCGCCGTGGCCAGCAGCACTCCACCGATGATGGGGATGAGAGACACGTACACCTGCAACAAGATGAGAAACGCTTACAAACGTCACTTCATGCACCTGTTTCTGAGGAAACTCAGTTAAATAATCCAGGAGTGGGTCTGAACATGAGCACTAACAGAGGGAATGTTAAATCTACAAGAATCTGAAAATGTTGACTGAAGTAGGATAATAAACCCCGTATCAATAAAAGATCAGCAGAAAACTACAACCTGCAAACACATTAAAGCACATATGTCAGACACAAGGCCCGCGGGCCAAATGCGGTCCGCGGAGCATTTTTATGTGGCCCGCGAGATAAAAATCAAAAATATATTAAAACTGGCCCGCTGGCCGATTTTACCGCAAAGACTGCAACTCCCATGATGCTTTGCGGCGTTAGCGCGGAGCCGACGTGCCCCCTCCTTTGTGTTTTTTCAGCGCCTGCTGCCGGTGTCTGCAGCTCCGCTGTCTCGGACAAACTACACTCCTCTCACTCAGCGCCGAGTTCACTCAGCTATTTTCTGACGTTGAAGCCCAGAAATGTAGATTCTAGCCGCTCAGTAATGTGTTCACGACTGAAAGAGAAAGTTTTCCAACTAACATCCAGACAGAGCCGATATAAGTCCAGCGAGCAGCGACACGCTCAACCAGCATCTGTGGTTGCTGTCGTGTTTCCTCCCCGACACACAACAACGTGGTCAAGCTGCTCAGACATGTTCATCAGCACAAACCTACGTGAGCACCTGTTGTCATCTAATGTTGTCATTATTATGATGAAGATGAACAAACAACAGGAGTCTCCCCCTCAGCTCAGATCAACCCCATGATGCAGGTATCTGGCTGGAACAGGTGAGCATCACAGTAAACCAGTGGAGCAAACTGAGCTTTAAATATGTTGGTTTTATGCTCTTTTTCTGCTCCAAAACATGAAAGTTAACAGGTGAGATGTTGCATTTTCATTTAAGATAAAATGATATTTTTATTTTGTTGTTGGCCCGCGAGAAAAGATTTAACCTACAGTAAACAGGAAGTGGAAAGGCTGCAGATAGATGAATAGAATAGAAAATCCCTTTATTGTTCCTCAGTGGGGAAAGCTAGACATCACAGCAGCGATGACACGTATTACAGGAGAACAAAAGGAGAATAAAAAATAAGAAAAATGAATAAACAAGAAAACATAAATCCTGAATAGATTTTAAAAATGCTGAATATACCACAAGTAATGAATACCACTGATGCCTTTTATTTAAAACCGACTTGCTCGTGTGTAATTTGGTTATTCCACATTCAGTGTTAATGCAGAAATAAGTTTGTTTCCAAATTTAAAGGTTCAAAATTGCATATATGTTGATAAAGAAAATGTGCATATTTGCCGTCACTTTTTCAAAAAATATTAAGTTTGGCCCTCGACTCCGTCCCAGAGTTTCATTTTGGCCCCGTGTGAGTTTGTGTTTGACACCCCTGCGTTAAAGGGACACAGCCTCCTAAAAAAACACTTGTTTGATTCAAACTGAAAACATAAACTAGGTCAGAGGCAACGCTCAGAGAAACAAAGGGTCAGGAAAATGATCAGCTGTAGAGCAGCAGCCTACTACTTTACCACCTATTTCATCCTCAACTGTGGCTGATTATTAAAAATGTTCATTTAGAGCAACAAAATCACAAAGAATGAATTATAGATCAATACTTTCATTAAAACACATACAGCTTTGTTCTAATGGTGTTAAACAGCTTAATGCAGATCATTCAAGTATTAACAGGACATAATCAGCCACTCTGTCTGCTGAAAAGGTTGGAAACAGAAAATGAAGATGAAACTACAATTATATCAAGTCCCGAGCAGAAACCAGCTCCATTCTTCTGATTTATTTGCATGTTTCTAAAGGAGGAACGTGAGAAACGACCTGCAGCTCGTGTGAAACCTCATTGAGCAACTCACTGTGAAACTGTTTAGTTCTCTTTGCTTCAACCTCATTCCTGATTGATTCATGTGCACAAAATTAAAACTCAATCAAAGCAGATAGCATGATTTCACTCTTTGTATGTGTTCACTGGTGGTGAATACTAGCAAGTCATGGAGGGTCCTCACTATGATGGAAAGACAGACATCTGTGTGAGTGTGTGTGTGTGTGTGTGTGTGTGTGTGTGTGTGTGTGTGTGTGTGTGTGTGTGTGTGTGAGTGAGTGAGTGAGTGAGTGAGTGAGTGAGTGAGAGAGCGAGAGAGAGTGAGAGCGAGAGAGAGTGAGAGAGAGAGCGAGAGAGAGAGAGCGAGAGAGAGAGAGAGAGCGAGAGAGAGATGACTGCTTGTGCCTCATGCCAGGAGATAAGTTTAAAAAATTCGTTTTTTTCCTGAAAAATCAAAAGAATTTCAGGGAGTCTTTCATCATTGTTGTTGTGGAAACGGCACGGTGCTTAAAGGGGATTCCAGTATTCTCTAGATAAGATGTGTGAGCACAGGTTACATTATTTAGTTACATGAGCGTCCAACAAACTTCATGCAGGTTTCAAAAACACACACAGAGCTTCCTCCTTCTCCCCGGCCATGGACCCATCCTGTCTAAACACCAAACTGTTAGGTAAACATGACACGTCGATGTCAGACTCAAGTCTCCTTATCGCCGTAGCAACCACTGGCTGTAAAATATTCTATTAGAAGGTCAGAAAATTCAGCCCCATTTCAGACGTGAACACAGAAATCTGAAGATCAGCTCTAAAGAAGAAATTAGAAACCTTTCCAGCATACGTCTTATTTTAACAAAAATATGAAAGAAAGAAAATGATCTTTTAAAAAGCGCCTCTCTGGATAAACTTTTGAGGCACTTCACAAGAACAAAAAATTCAAAATACAAAAAAATCTTCAATGAAATGATTTAAAAATATGTTTAAGAAATAGAAGAAAATTATTAAATAAAGGTTTGTGATTAAAATCTACAAGGAAAGGAAGAGGGAAAATGAATAGGAAAGAGGGAAATCAGTGGATCGCGGAGAAAGGCAGAATAAGAAGGTGATGACCAAACCAGCTTGAAAAAGTTTGTCTTCAGCTGCTTTTCAAAGGAGACCACTGAGTCCACTGATCTCAGGCTCAGAGGGAGAGGTCTGGGGGCCACAGCAGCAAATGATCTGTCACCTTTGGTCTTTAGACTGGTGCACTGCACAACCAGTAGGCTTTGATCACTGGACCTCAGGGACCTGCTGGAGGTGTAGGGACTAAGAAGATCACCAATGTAAGATGGTGCTTGTCCATGTAAGGCCCTATAGACCAGAACCAGGATCTTGAAATGAACCAGTGAAGTTGACTGGCAGCCAGTGAAGCTGGAGGAGAAGCGGGGTGATGTGGGTGTGTTTGGAGGACTTGGTCAGAAGCCGAGCACAGGCATTCTGAACCACCTGTAGACGGTTCAGGGAGGTTCTGCTCAGACACGTGAAAAGAGAGTTACAGTAGTCTAAGCGTGAGGAGATGAAGGTGTGGATAACTGTCTCAAGTTCAGAGCGGGACAGAATGGGACTCAGCTTAGCAACGTTCCTGAGATGGAAAAAGGAAGAGCGAACAAGAGAACTGACATGAGAATCCAGGGTGAGAGCTGGGTCAAAGGTCATGCCAAGATTCCTGACAGGTTTGATGTGAGAAGAAAGCTGACCAAGAGAGTCTCCGACTTTGGGAACCAGCTTGTCTGGGGCACAGATGAAGATCTCAGTCTTATCTTCATTCAGCTGTAGAAAGCTCCCAGCCATCCAGGTTTTAATAGATCCTAAGCAGATGTGTGACAGCTGCAGCTTAGACATCTCAAGGGGCTTAAAGGTACAGTTGAATGTCATTAAGTCATTCCAGCAGGACTTGACCCATTTTTATGTTGCTGTTGGTATGTTGGTGTAGTGGAAAAAACAACAGAATAATAAAAAAATTGATAAAATAATAAATAACTGTAAAGCTTTTAGCACATCATGGACATAAAAGCTATTTTTCCACACTGAAGCCATTCAGGTTGTAAACTCCGACCGGTGAGATAATAATCAATACTTTTACAAAGGAACACTTCAGACTGAGCAACATATCCTTTCAAGAGCACACAGTAAGTGTATTTAGTAAAATATCCATTCGTTATCTCACCTGAATGAAAAATGAAGCTATCAGTTTACAGGAATGTCTTCATTTCATTTGTAGAACTGGAAAAAGGAAACTAAGATAATTATTTGTTCAGCTTTGTTTGCAAAAGATGTGTGTGAAATGTAACTAAAACCAACTGTTCATATACTAGTCTGCATTTAAGCAAAAGGAGCAGATATTAAATTTGTTTTAAACCTATTAAAAACTGACATATTTATCGCCTATTCTCTGCAACACACAATTAAAATAACAATAAATAGTTTTTTTAAACGTTAAGCTAGAGCTTTAACTTTGATCTCAGTGATTTGTGAGCTAGAAACTTGACCAGTTTTATATCCAAAAGCACTCAGCAGCCTTCTGCTGGCCAGAAACCGCACTAGATAGTTTAGTGGAGCGGGTAGGTGTTCTAGGGGGCGCTCTCTACCTGCTTTACAGCTGTTAGCTGTAACATTAGCATGTTAGCATTTTCAGTTTGCCGATCATCAATAAAAAGAAGATGTAGAAAAAGTGTCCAACAATGTGGATCTTTAACTTTGTGGCTTATTTTAGTATTAATTGGCTCGTGTTAGCGTTAGCTCGTTGTTAGCATTAGCTACAACAGGCTGCAGCGGGGTTGTTTACCATTTTTTAATTGCAAACCATCGACATATAAATATTGGACAATGGGTTTCCATAGACTCCAATAACACATTTTTGAAGATAAATGGGAGGTGGCCACCACCGCCATTTTGACCGTGTCACAGGTTCCGTCAAGCCCAGACAATTCCACAAAAGGGAAGAGAGGAGCTGAGGGTGGGGCTGTAAGGCTGGGATCAACTGACGACACCCGGTCGAACTAGCTACAAGCTAACCTGAAGCTAACCCAAAGCTTATGCGGAGGTGGGAGCTAAGCTAACGGAGGTAGCAACCTAGCTACAACCGGAGTTAACTGTGCACAACACCAGAGCTTCTGAGTCAGAGATATGCCGGGCTGACCGCTGAGTAAAACTGGGTGGAACACAGAGGTCTCCCGAGAGCTCCACAAGCCAGCAGCCGAACAGCAGACAAGCACCGCTGCGATCTGAGATGTGCAGAGCTGCCACTGGGGAGAACCGGGTGGAAAGGTTTCCATCCCAGAGCTCCACAAGCCGGCAGCCCGCACAGCAGACAGAAGCCGCGATCAGACAGAGATGGGCCGAGCTGCGGGGAGGGGAGAACAGGTGGAAAACAGAGGTCTCCCGAGAGCTCCACAAGCCGATAGTCGGAACCCAGCTCCACCAACATGTTATATTTCAACCCATTTTCTAAAGTGCAGCATTATGTTAAATGCACTGGGTTTTACCCTATTACATTTAAATTTCATGGTTAACAGTAGGGCTGAAACGATTCCTCGAGTACCTGGAATAATTCGAGTACAAAAAATCCTCGAGTCAAATTCTCTGCCTCGAGGATTCGTTTAATTCATATTTAATTAATTCATGGCTTTGCAGTCGCCCGTGGTCATGTTTCACCCAGACTAAAATAAGTGACGCACATGCCCACTGGACTGAATCGCACACGCGAGTAGCGAATGTAACTTAACTTTCTCTTAAGCTATGGCGGACAACGTGGACCCCGGTGGAGTGCGAAAAAGACAGAAAATGTCAAAGGTGTGGGACCATTTTTCACGTCGTAAGGTGGAAAACGTAGTCCAGTGTAAATACTGTAAAATGGATTTAGCCTACCACAACACCACTTCCTCCGTGCTGCAGCACATGTAAATGTCACTTCTGCAAGCGGACTCGGAGCCTCTACAAGATAGTGCATTAGCCTGTATTTCTATATATTCTGCGGACACTGTGCGACTTTTTCGTTTGTAGCACTCAGTTTCAGCTCACACCGTACGTCTGGTAGCAACACGTCGGACTTAAAATGTGCTTAAAAAATAGCATTTTTACACAAAACTTTTTATTGTGTTATTGATGTTTGTTGTCCCTCGGGGTTGCTGCAGGAGGACACGGGTATTTATGAGTGGCGGAGGAAAACGAAAGAAAGTAAATAAATGTTTTGTGATCAGTATAATTTGACAAAACCACGGCAAACATGCTTTCTCGACAATTCTTGTTATTGTGTGAGAAAAAAGTGTAGAAATTAAAATGGATGTGTGTTAATAGGGAAACAGCCGGCGAGCTGTTTGCGCATGCGCCTTGAGCGGTTCTGGTTCTGTTTGGGCCGCAGCCGCTCGCAGCGCTACTTCAACAGTTATCCTCCTAGTTTCTGTCTGGCTTGCAGGCTAGCAGATTCTCGCATGAGGGGAAAATCGGCTCAGGTTGTTTACTTATTTTTTTGCACAGGCATTTGTTTACTGTGAAGTTAAGTTGAAGTGCTGATGTTTTGCAAACTAATTTTGAATAAAACTTGAAGAATAACTGGCAATTGCTCATTTTAAGAGGTATTTCATATTTTATAACATGCTATTTGATATAATGGTTTACAAACACAAAAGGGTAATTTATTAGAGTACTGGATTAATCGAAAAAAAGATTCGATAGAGTACTCGATTACAAAAATATTCGATAGCTGCAGCCCTAGTTAACAGTACATGTTAAAATCTAAGCTCAGCTCGGCAGTGACCTAAAATACATAAATATAATTTTACTTACCAAAAAAAATGAAGTGGAGACTCCTTGGACGCTCTATTAGTGCAATTAATGCCACAGCAAGTCATTTTGTCGAACAATTGCACAAAAAATATCCAAAAAAGAATACACAAACACAGAGACCCAAAATCCCGGAGCAGTTTCCAAGCCAGGCCGAGGCTCTACTGAGGCCTTTCCACGGAGCTAGCTCTGTGGTCACGTGGGTCTGATGCTCATTAATTATAAAGAATTTTAGGCTTTTAATACACTTAAACAGAAGAGTGAGAAAAAAATTCACCCCCCTCAGAGTTGTCATGAGTGTAAACTAGATAATTTAAACAAAAAACATGTTTTGGAACCAGGCTGTAAACATGTTTATTTCTGCTGTGAAGTTGGTATTTTAAACATGGGAGTCAATGAGGATTTGCTCGCTTCTGACACCAGCCCCCAGTGGATGAGGGTGGAACTGCAATTTTTGTCACTTCCGCGTTGGCCTCAATTTTTCACCTGCGTTGTGGGGGCTTGTTGCAAACCAGTACAGTGGAGGAGCAGGAAACAGCTCGGTGTTACTTTCAACAGGCTGCAGCTTCAGAAACATTTCCTTTGTGTTCAGCTCTCTAACAGCAGGTCTGCGTCCACAACACAGAATGCTTGGACAAGTTTGGACTGCACACAGGTAGAATGTGGCTTGACACCGGAGGGGTTACACGTATAACGAGAGGAGATACAGGTCAGCACCGTCACGTCGCAGAGAGAATACAAAAAGATTCTGAGCAGGTCAGAGCTGGATGATTAGACACAGGTGTCCATAACCTGTATAAAGCACCATAATACGTACTCCATGCTAATATATGACTTAAGAATCATTCCAATTTATCTAAAAGGAACAATTCCCCCTTCTCTTTGTCCGAAGAGTTCTGTACATTTTCGTGCAGAATAAAAGTCTAATGCTAAAGCTCTGTTATGTAACTTTATGATCATAAAATTAAAGACAAATTTAAAAAATGATATCCTGTCCCATTTATTGTGTTTTCCCAAACCTTTGGTATCAGTGATAGCATATTTCACAATACCCTCATATTTGCATTTAATGCAGCATCCTTTTAAAGATGAAAGCATCATTTCACCCCGACTGGTTAAAGCAGAACTACTGGTTCTACCAGTGCAGATTCCTCACACGGTGTTCCAGAATACATTCACTTCAAAATTAACACGTATTTGCATCGGCCATTGAGAAATTTAGCAGATGAATGCAGCGATTGATTTGAATGCAATCTTCTCCCCCTTTGCTCCCACTTTCCTACATGATATCTGAACAGCGGCCACTAAGGCCCCTGCAGATGGTGGTAATATGAGACGTGGTACCCAGAAGGCTCCAGTGCCACATCACCACTGCAGGCTGAAACAGAGCAGGCTGTGTTTTATGAACCGAGCATGCTCACCTTTGTAGTTTGCTTCTCCCTCATGATAATCCTTGATAGCAGCACGACCCATATTGGCATCGTGGCTTTGACTGTGAAAGAAACAGAAAGAGAGGGCCAACGTCAGTTTAAGAAACAACATCAGAGGTTAACAGCAGCAGATATGTGAAACGTAACGTTTGCGCTATTTGATATTTTTACATCCGGGACAGGCCCAAGTTCCTGTTAAACACTACACGTGTCACTCCTGAACTCACGCTCAGGCTGTGACAAACACTGACTGCTGTGATTTATCTACAGCTCTGCACACACGGTACTTCATAGATCTGATGTGATGTAAACTCACCGAACCAGATTAAACAGTGTCACAGCAGAACAAAAATCTGAATAACTGCTCGTGATGCACGAAAACAAGCTCATTATCAAGATAAAGAAAAATGTGAGATGGTCCATGTAGCCCTTGAATCAGTCTTAGAAGGTCAGAGGGCATCTGAAACGTCTGACGAGATAAAGTTTAATCACATTTACAATGATAGCACAGAAGTAGCTTTGAAAAGAATATGAACCATAAACAGCCTGTTTGTTGTAGAACGCTTTTGAAAAGGCCCAACTTAAGTTTGGAGAAATGGAGAGTAGTTCAGACCAGACTGATAAGCTAACTGCTAGTTGGTGGAGGCAGTTACATAGTGGATTACTATGATTATTTTTTTTATGAATCTCACAAATGTCACATTGGCTTTATTCCAACATTATTTATAAATATGATCCTTTAAAAGGGTTTGAAAACAACTTTATGACAGAACAGAAACGTCTGAAAAGCACTGAACTTTTCTGAGGCTCACAATGGCCCAGGAGCCCTGACTAATGGAAACAAAAACCCAGTAATAAAGCCCTGCAATGGAAAGTCTGGTACTCCCCGACCAGTCAGTCGGGACGTGAATATTGATTGAGCTGTGTGCTGATTGGATGTGTACAGCTCTGTGCAGTATCAGGATAAATGGTAAAAATCACCTCTGTCAGTGCACCCCAGGGCAGCTGTGGCTACATCGTAGCTCATCACCATCAGTGTGTGAATGTGTGTGTGAATGGATGAATGATACACTGTAGTGTAAAGCGCTTTGGAGTCCTTACTCTAAGAGGCGCTATACAAGTGCGGGTCATTTATCATCATTAACGGCCTGTATTTAAGTAGCGCCTTCTTAGGGTTCTACAACCCCCCAAAGCGCTTCACAATCAAATAAGTCATTCACACGCTGGTGGGGATGAGCTACGATGTGGCTACAGCTGCCCTGGGGCGCACTGACAAAGGCGCGGCAAGACGAACACTGATGCCACCGGTCCCGCCGACCACCACCAGCAGGCAAGGTGGGTTAAACGTCTTGCCCAAGGACACAAAAGCAGCCTTCTCTGGTGGGAGAGAGACACTAGAGCCCTTTACAGACAGACATTCTGGAACATTTGCGGACAATTCAATCCGGTTTTTAACCGGAACTGTGTTTTCAGACACACCACTTTTGTACCGGAACTTGTCCTTTCGGCTGCGTTCACACAGCAGGGAAAAGTTCCAGATGTCTGACGGCGGCGAGGGGTGGGATGGGGGGGGGGGGGGGGAATCGGACTTATGTTAAGAAGAAGAAAATATCATTTCTATAGCGCCTCTCAAGATAAAAATCACGAGGCGCTTAAACATAAGTCTGCGCGCACGAATATGCATAAGATACCTGGATGATGAAGCTCAATGGTTAAAGGAATCACTGAAGCGGTGTGAAGCGCTCCGTCGCGCGTCTAGACGGTACCGTAGGAGGCGAGCTGCCGTGGTTTGCCGCATGCTACAGCAGCGGGCTATCTAGGTGTGCACAGCGTCCCCCGGTCCCCTCCTCCTCCCCCTCCCTCTTGTCCGGAACTTTACCTCACCAGTCTGAAGCAGCCACCCTGTCCGTAACAAGTCCGGACCTGTTACTAGGGGCTTCGTCCGGATAAATTCCGGAACACGTTGTCCGGATGTTTGTATTCAGACAGAAAGATCTTACGGACAGATTCCGGAACATTTACGTTTTTCATGGCCTGTCTGAAGGGGGCTTAGGACTCCTTCAAAATATTATATTATATTATATTATATTATATAGTGAAATATTTTCTCAACTTCTGGTCAGAATTTCACATTTCCTTCTGGATTACTGTGTAATGCAAAACTTGAATTATCTACAGCAGGTAAGATACCTTTCACACACACCACTTAAAATATATGAGCTAATATTTTAGGAGGGACATTCTCAGACTGTCCGTCAGTATAAATCTTAAACTATAACCATCTTATCACGAGTTCTATCCGATTGTAGCTTTGTTTCTAGTAGCAGCTGCATACAGACATTTTTTAAACCACATTCTTGGCTGAATTGGGAAATTATGCAAAAGATCTGCTAAAAAGCATTCTTATGCACCAAAGTGATCCTCTATGAAGGGTTTTCACAAAGGTTAGACATGCAGTTCATTCATAAAAAATATGTAAAGTGGCAAGTAGAGAAAAAATACTAAAGATCTCTTTGGTACCCTGAAAAATTAGGAATCAAATAAAAAAGTGTTAAAATAACACAAACACCGATCAAAAACTAGTTTGTAGTCTGCAACTGTTAAAGGTTTGGTCTAAGAAAGGGAAAAGTTTGTGTCCCTGACACTGGTCTAAAAATAACCAGAAACTGGATTAAAAACGGAGCCAGTCTCCAAATAAAAATGTTTAAGAGCCTTCAGAAAGTCTAGAAAATTATTGTTTAAGGTCACTTGATAAAGAAAGTCTGGGCTTCCAGATAGAGCTATCCATAAGCATATGCTTTCTTCACAGAATAAATAGTTTGGATGACTAAATAAAAATCCTCCATACAAATCCATGTGATTATGGATAAGAAATATTTAGAAGTTCCCTTTGATAGATATCAAAGGGTAGTATATATCAAATATCCCTTGTGTGTATACATATACATACATATGCACACACATATATATACAGGTAGTGTTTGAGCGGAGGTGGGGGTCTCCCTCCTTTGAGCGCCCTGACTTAGTGGCTGTGGAAGACCTGATGATGTCGGGGCTGACGGCTCCTCTGATGGCGTTTCTGAGACTTACCTTACTTGGCTCATCTGGACTCAGCCGAATATAAATTTTTACTGGTGTGTGTGTGTGTGTGTGTGTGTGTGTGTGTGTGTGTGTGTGTGTGTTAGTTAATGTTTTTAAACTGTTGTGAGAATTTGGGGTCATTTTAATTCTGTAAAGCACTCTGAGTGGCACTTTGCTTGAAAAGCGCTTTATAAATAAAATCGGATTGATTGAAGGACATACATCTATTTTTGCTTGTCTCTTATTTTATCTTTCTTTTTGCACCAAGTTCCGCAGAAATTTCCTAATTTTGTGATTTCTCGGCAATAAAACTTTTTTGATTCCGATAGCTATCTACTATAATTCACCCAGATGTTAAACGCTCATTTAAACTTTTACCTTAATTGCTCATACAAAACTATCTCAGTTAGTAGAATTTTTATTTTCTTCATGTGGCATTCTGACTAGAAACGAGTGTGATTTGATTATATACCACAACGCTCTGCCCATCTACAAAAGAATGGATTCGGTGATGAACCTCCCCCCCACCCCGTGACGTTTTAGGGCTTTTAATTCAGTTGGCTAGCAAGCTAACAGCTGCTAGTTGTACTTTGAAAGCAGATAATTTTAATCCAAATGTTCAATATAAAGTTATTGGCTTCGTAGACGCCCCTCTGTTTAATATTTAGGCTCACAAATCCATTGAATGTTATTATTTGGCAAGCGTTAGCCCCCAGTGCTAACATCAGCTGACGGAAAAGACACATCAGTTACCCTGGCAGAAGGGCTCCAGGTGTCCGCGCACTTTTATTCAAAATGAATACAAAACAGCTGTACTCACCAGTGTGCGCATATGAAACGGGCACCTTCCATATGCTGAAGTGAGCCGACACGGATGCGAAGTATTTTCCAAAAGCTAAGGGCAAGATGTACCACCGGTAGTACCTGCTCGGCAGTTCTGTTTTGGGGACTCCCCATGCCCGCAACAGCGGCGGCAGGAAGACGACTACCGAAATGATGTGAAACAGTGAGACGGTGACCGGGTACGGGAATCCATTGAGGATTATCTTGTTTACAATGTTACCTCCCGAGCTCACCGTGTACCAAAATACACACAGGACAACTATCCGGATCCCTTCCCTGACCGGGGTCCGCTCCACCGTAGCCATCTTCCAGCGCGGAGTGACGAGTCACCACCGGTGCTATGTGCTGGTACAGTGGGAAGGGCTCAGCTCGGCTTAGGTGTTGTGCCTCAAAATGTATCACCGCCACAAGAAGTGCCCGATGGCTAGTTTATTTTGGAAGTAATGCACGGGGCCGTATTTTAGGTAAATGTTTAAAGCAGTTATCGAAGATGTTTTGTTCAATATGCATGATGTTTTTTATGGAAGTTTGTCTGACAAGCCAGGCTATGAATGTCAGTCACTTAACTTTACTCTCAAAATGACATATTTTCAGATTTTTTTTTGTCAAAGAAGCATTACTCATAAATAATTGTACAGAGAGAGCACACATACGTGCTAAAACTAGATAAAAAGCCCGTTGTCACTTTTTGCAGAGCGAGCAAACTAAAAAAAATCTACCACGGGGTACTGATTAAGGAAGGGTGATTGTTTCAGCAGAACATCCACAGAAATTAATGGATAAGAGGCTTGGTTTCCGGTCCGTGCTTTTCAAAATAAGATGCTCATGCATAGCCAAAAAAATAAAAACCCCATTAAATACACAAATCCCACACGTTTAAAAATGACAACCTCACTCTTTTATTATTTTATGTTAACATAATAAACTCTAATAATAATACGTATATAGTAATTATTTTGGGGTTTGTTCAAACAAAAGGTCTAAATAGATTATACGGCTTCCCACAAGTTAAAAATAATATTGAAAGGACTGCTGTCATGTACTTCACCTAGCATGTAAAATAAGTTATAAAATCTTCCCAGCAATAGATTTAAAGATTAGCCAATTACCCATCCAATTAATACTTTATAAATCCACTTTGAAATAAAATCAGTACACATTGTCAGAGTCTAAAAGTGAATGTCTGCCCAAAAAAGTATTAAAAGACAACAACACATTCATCAAACATAAAACAAACACATTTCAAATAAGTCTGTTCTATTTTCCAAATGGCAGTCACATCTAATAGTGCTTGTCAGAATCAGAAGGGTCAGTTGACATGTGTGTGAGAAATCACAGCATTAGGACATTTCTGCAGTACTTGGTGCAAAAAGGAAAGAAAAAATAAGAGATAAGCAAATATAGGAAATAAGAACATTATCACAATAAAAATAATAATATAAAGTAGCAATAATTAGAGAAATTACTACTATATACAAGACAGTGTACTGATCAGAACGTAATTATTCAGGTACAAACACAACACAGGGTCATGTGGCTGAAACCAAGTGACTGGAGTGGGCAGCCTTAGTTAGGATTGTCATTCATGAGTCCAACTGCAGAGGAGAAGAAACTATTCTAGTGGCGAAAGGTTCTGGTTTGAATGGATCTGAACCTCCTGCCAGATGGGAGCGAGTATAAGAGACTGTGGGTGACACGGGTCAGTGTTTAACATGAGAGCATTTGTTCAAAAAGACGTGCTGAATTTTCCAACAATAGATTATTATTGTTACTATTGGTGATAAGGGTGTATACTGAAGATAGCTGTTCACCCTGCATCAACATTTGCCTTATTTTAGATGCCTCCTAGGCAATTGCTATATAAAAAAATATTAGATATGTACCAGTTTTGAAATGTACCACCCATCCTGTGTAAAATCCAAAATTTTACCTGAGAGAAAATGTTATGAAAATGTATAAATTAAATTAATAATGATGTGAATGTAGAAGCAGGGACATCGATACAGTCACATTTCTGGATCATGTATTTACATTGTGTTTGATCTCTAAATGTTAATTATCAGAGTTCATCATACATCTATTAAAGCTTTTATAGCGAATCTACAGAACAAGCTAAGTTTTGGACACAAACACCATCATGGAACACTCACTCCTCCCCTCGAGTATCTTCCCTGACAGAACCAGAAACCTGTAATGCCGGAGGAAACAAGATAACACTGAACACCAGTCACCGTTTTCTAGAACAAAAAGTCTTTTGTTGTCCGTGACTTCAAATGGTGTTTTTCTTTTTGGGACTCATAGTTTGTCCTAAAGTTGAAGTGGCAGCCGGCTGTTCCTCCTTCTCTCAGTGTGGTTACATGCGCACTGACTGGCATTTAAGTCTATCCAGGTCGATTTTATTGCAGTAAACTGGGAGTCTTTATCCTAGTTAACCAGCCTCTCAATTAACGTTCGTTCCACTCCGGTACACTTCCGGAATGCGAGCGTAGTTCGGCTAACCTGTTAGCTTATAGCAACACAAGCAGTAAACAGAGGCTGGCAGGAGTGAAGCAGATGGAAGTGAAACATAATGGCTGAAGGAATGTACAACAACAATGCTGCAGCACAGTTTATTTCGTACATACTGTACTGTTTTATGGTGCTACGTGTGTTGCTTTGTGACAATGTCAGAAGACGCTTCTGCGGTCTCGTCACTTCTGGAATGCAAGCATCTAACCTGCATTAACTCGGCTGGCGTGTTTACATGCACCGTGTACTCGGATTGCTACAGCATTATCTGGGTGTTTCTGCTCGATTAGAAAGAGTTCACTTTCAGCCAGACTAACACGTTTACATGGATAAAAAAAGACGAGTCTTTTTAAGGGCAACACTTTGGTTTACTGATGTGCATGTAGACACACTGACTGATATTATTGAGCAGAGAATCTCTCACACCAGTGGTGTTCTGTAGCTAAATTCGCGAGTGTGTAATGAAAGAAGGACCCAGGGAAGCGTGGCGGTTCGAGAGAACCACTTTATTAATTTCTTTTTTGTTTTGTTTTTTTATCTCCACAATATATTTATAACTATACGATGTTGGAATGTTCTTAAGAGGCATAAAAAATGTTTAAAGCTAATTTAATTTCCAAATTTGCTACAGCAGCTTTAAATGTAAAAAATAAAATCCATAATTTGTTTCCTCCTCTCACATTGTAGAAACACCGAATTCACAAACTTACAAAATAAAAGCTGAATACACAGTTAAAGCTCCAACACGCCCATGAAGGCAGCATGTTATTAAAACTTCAACAAGCTTGTTCTGAAGGTAATTGCTGCTTTCCATGAGAACAAGAACCTCAGATGTAATCCAGACAGACATAGGGAAGTATTTTCAGTCGGCTCTCACTTCCATCTCGCTCTAAGTGCATGCACTTTGTCCAGTCATACCAGTTACCCTTTGAGTCGTAGCAACCGTTAACTCCAGACCACTTTTGCATGTGTAATTTCTGCAGGTCTTCACTCCTAATTTCTCTGCTAACACCAGGTAACTCCTTGGGTGGATGGTCTGATACGTTGTGTGTTTTCTTGCCGTCTTCAAACCAGCGTTCCTCCTTTTTCAAAATCTCTGATGTCATGAAAAATGGTGCTCCATGAGCTTGGACACCTGACAAAGTCAACACATTGCTTTGCTGACTGAGGTATGAATAGATCGTTTGACTCTTTGAACTCTGCTGAAATAGACTTGGGGTGACAGATTGGTTCTGGACTTTATGTCTGTGGTGCCCTGAGATGTTCCCATCCCAGAAAGATTCCTTATTATAAGAGGGTTTGATTTTCCCTGTTACAGGTTCAAATGTGACTCTTCTTTCTTTTACCATCTCTGTCTTAGCTTGGCCTTCTGCTAGTGGTCTTTCCAAAGGCTCCATGTAATCTTTAGACCTGTACTTTTGTTGCTTTGGTTTCTTCATAATCCCAGTAGGACCATCTTTTACCAAACCGACATCTTCACAGCAACAGGAGGTAGCTGAATGAGTCTGAGTCTCCACAATCCCAGTTCTTAAACTGGGGTGGTAAATGTTCTGGATTTGGGCACCAGCTGGTTTGACAAAAGTTTCCTGCTTTTGAGATCCAGTATGAGAAGACTGTAGGTGTCTTGGCGAACACTGGCCCCCAGTGGCAGCTTGTCCCTGTTGCAGAACTGATGCTTTGTCCAGACTGGAGAGGTTAGGGTGGTCGCTTTTAGGGGCGCTTGGATAGAGTTTTGCAGCATGAATGGGGATTTTAATCCCCTTGTTTTTGTCTGTAGGCTGAGATGTTTCCCCATCTAAAGAATAATGCGTGTGAACATTATTAGCGCGTCCACCTAATCCACAATGACGGAGCTGTGTTGAGTTTTGCGTTTGATGATCAAAAGTGGTTGGGAGTATTTTAGCTTGTTGGGGTTGTCCGTCCTTCTGGTCCTCCTTACGTTCTCTGATGCTTAGTTCTTCCACACTTGGGGCGCAGTTGTTAAAGTCACACCTCGTCTTCAACTCTGGGCCCGTTTTACCCAGCGATGCAATGGCTGCTGGAGGACAGATACAGGGACGAATGACTCCGTTGGAAGACCACGATGCACCAATGAGTCCTCTGGTCAAAAATTCACCCTTTCCTGGCTCAATGAATTTTTGCCAGTTCCGTAAGAGCTTCTTGGCTCGTTTTGCGAGGACTTCGTCCTTGGTTTTCCTTCGGACATCGTTAATTATCTTCCCAAGTCGTGTTTCCTAAACGAGAATGATGTGACTTGACTTATGAAGAGTTGGATAAAACCTACTAATTTATTTATTTAATATTTAGAACTACCTCTAGTGCGTCTCTGGTGATAGGATACTTTTCCAAAACAGAAATCACCTCCAAGACTACTGCCATGTTGCAAATCTGTGAAGAAAACACAAGCCCTCATGCAGAATGGTGTTTACCACGTCCAAGTCCAGCAGTTCATCAAAGGATACTGCTAAACCTCATCCTCTACTCGTAGTAGCAGTCAGATGTGAACGACGGAAGGGAAAATGAACTGTACTAAGAAGGGGTCATAATTTGAATACACTTTCAAATCTGCACCTGTTAAATACTGATACTAGTTTCGGAACATGAGGCTACAGAAATGCAAATGTATTTAATCCCAATTGTAGACAGAAATGTGGCATTCTTGGTTGTCTGTTTAATTTAATCTGGGGAAAGTCAACTTTACATTTCAGCTATGTAAGGAAGTAACTTGAACAAACAGAAGATTTCCATTCTTTCAGTGCAGCGCTACAGAGTATTTATATCTGTTTACTGTAATTCTATATAGAATAATATGAAATTTCATCTTCCATTATCTTTAAATAATCACTTTTATTATGATTAATTTTATATTCTAAAGACATTTGAGGATCATTAGTTAAAGTAGACTAGCTTTTATGCCAGAATGAACCACAGGACAGAGTTTTGCAGACTAACTAAAACTCCGCTGATCAGGTATAAAACTGAAAACGAGTGGGAATATAAACAAAGGTGCGTTTGCGATTCTTCTACTTTTGCTAAATAAAAGAGGGGGAAAAAAACAACTTGCATGGAACTCACGTTGCTCTGGGCATCGATGGCCAGCAGCAGCCGGTCTCTCATCGCCTGTGGTGTGGATGTAGCGGCAGACATCGCCTTGTGAAGTCTTGGGTTTAACGGACGGCTGTGGGAATCCCAACGAGGCTCACGTGCAGCCTGCTGCTGCACGCCCCACCCCTGTCCGTGAAGAGCGTGACGCGAGACTTTTTCTTTTTTTACGTTGCCTACAGTACCACCACTCAGATAAAAAAAAATATATATATATTATCTCATAATTATGACTTAGATATTTCATAATAATTATGAAATATCTAAGTCATAATTATGAGATAATAATATTTTTATCTGAGTGGCGGGAATGGGCTTCCACAGTATGTATGAAGAACTGACTGAAAAAAGAAACTTGAAGACTGCCTTGAAATTCCAAAATTCACAAAATTTAATAACGCAAAAATCTAAGAATAAACAGAACAACGAAAAAAATGCCTGGGGAGTTTCCACTAAAAATAAAGATTAAAAAAAAGAAAAAAATACACCACATCATTCTGAATAAAATGCCTTCAGAATCTAGCTTATGATAAGCATGCACTAATTATTCTATAGTTAAATCATGACTCTTATTATAGTCCAAAACAACATTAATGTCTGTTTGTTTGCTATCTTCAGTTCTAAAACTTCAACACCCACTCATTTGGGACTATAGTCACATTTCCTACAGCAAACTGACTAGACTTCATGCATGGATTGGATTCTGAACTAAATGACAAAGAAAGTAAAAATAACATTGATAATAAAAACACTATATCCTCTTCCTAGGGTCATCAGGGCATTTATAAATCGTTTTTTTAAATATGAAAGAGATTGTTTTTGTGGTTTATTGGAGTCCAAATGATTTTTTTAACTGAATAAATCTTAATCCAGACACTTCTCTTACTGTTAGAGATTGCAGCAAGGTTCCGTTAAACCGATCCATTGATAGAACATGGTGTGATTAGGTGTACGCCAATCCCAGTTTAACGATGTTAGAGGACAGATGTTGTACAGGTTAGGGCTGGATGATATGGAAAAAAAGTATGTTGATAAAAAAATGTTTTATATTGATCAATATCAATAATTATTGAAAAGTATTTTATAAATTGTAGAAAATATATTTTACGTGCAGTCCTGGCCATTTTATTTTAGTATTTTCATTTTTTTCTCCGCCTCTTCATGCTGCCTCATGTTCTGCTTTGGTTTGAGAGGGGAGGGCCTGGTGCCCGAGTCTGTGGTTTTGATTGGCTAGGAGGAAGTAGTGAGCCTAGCACACTGCTACCTGATAGGTTATAATGAAAAAAGGAAACTTTTTTAATCGAAGTTTTATTGACCTTTTTTCGACATGTCTATCGATAGATATATTGAACTATTGATTTATCGTCCAGCCCTATCTACCTACCTGCATGTGCTAAGTGGTGGGACCCAAACACAGGGGAGCAGGCAGACTGACGGGCAAAATAACTGTTTAATAAGAATAATGGCAGAATGATGCAGGAAGACAAGATGATGATCTGACAAAGACAAGCACAAACAGAGGGTTTAAAAACATGAGGGTAATCAGGAATCAGGTGGGCAGGATAACGAGGGTGACAAGTAACACGGTAACAGGTGAGCCCAATAAACATGGGAGACAGGACTACACATCAATGGGAGAAGGAGTAGATCTAGAGGACCCTGCCCAGGCCTCTGCCGCTACCTGCTCTTGTTCATCAAATTACTTTTATGTGTAATAATATAAAGTTGTGTTTAAACCCCTAAAATGGAGAGTTTTGCTTTTTAAATCTTGTAAATTTCTGTTAAAAAAGGAAAAGAACAATAGTATTGATGTTTGTTAATTACACAGAGAAACAGTAAATACCGGTACACGACCTGCTGTTGTACTTTTCTGCATCAGGAACAAAATAAAATCTTTTTTTCCACTTCAATCTTTTTGTCTTTACTCAGATTCATGAATTAAATACAATGATTTATCAGCAGCTAGAAAGCACCAGAAACCTTACCCCAAATTCTTATTCACCAGCAAAGTAAAGGATATCTCTTATTTAAAATATTTACAGTCTTTACCCCAACAGAATTTTTCTTTGAATTAACCGAGCCCCAGAAATCCATGACGGGGTGAACACTGGGAATCTGGAGTAATCGATGTGATCGTCTACTCTGGTCTGTTTAGAAAACTACTTCCTGTTTCAAAGTCCAGACTCCTGCTGAATGCTGCTGGAGCAGAGTGGAGGAAACTGTTGTTGTTAGCAGACATGCAGGAGTCTGTGGAGTCCCTGGTCAGACTACTGGAGTCATACAGAGGAAGAGATAAAGTCGTGAGTCTTCATCAAAGCTCAATTTACTTACAGGAGTCTGTGGTTTATGTGTTAGCTCAGCTACAGTAGAAATTCACTGATTACAGATGGACCCTCCCCTGTGTGTGTGTGTGTGTGTGTGTGTGTGTGTGTGTGTGTGTGTGTGTGTGTGTGTGTGTGTGTGTGTGTGTGTGTGTGTGTGTGTGTGTGTGGTCAATATACTAACTGTCTTTTATACTGTATTCGATCTATTTTCAATATTTCTTTACTCCAACCTCATTAGACAAAAGTAATTGATAAAGATAATTGGATAAATTGTCTTGCGGGATTTTGGAATTCATTAAACTCCTTAATAGACTTTTTCTGTATGAAATAAATCCTGAAGTAAATTAAACAAGCACAATAAAACTTTTAATTTTCTCGTAGGGAATATAAATCTTTATTTGGTAGTAGTAGTTTTTTTATTTCAATTTTTTAGATGCATTTAGAATTAGAGTTAGGATTACCAATTAAATGTGACAATGTTGGCATTTGTAATCCTTTTCATGCCTGCATGTGCAGATCAGGACTGTCTGTTACGGCTCCCAGCTGGTTGGAGGAGTTCTTACCAAAAAGGGGGAAACAGACCTTTCTTCTCAGCAGCTTGGGAAAAGTTTGTTGCTGTTTTCTGCTCAGCTCAGCCACTGCAGGACCGTTCTGAGGCTGTTTGATGATCTCTCTATGCTGGCGTACTCTCACAGCTATGGGCTTGGTGCTTCAGTAAGTAAAAACAACACTCAGGCATCCTAATAATCCCTTCCTCTTTTATCTCCTCTAACTATTTTATAATAAAATGATGAAATTACTTAGAATTTACAGTGTATTTGTTTTGGCCTGTAAATGGTAAATGGTCTATATTTGATATAGCACCTTCTAGAGTCCTGGGAACCCCTAAAGGCTCTTTACAACACAATCAGTCATTCACCCATTCGCACACACATTCACACCCTGGTGGGGATGAGCTACATTGTAGCCACAGCTGCCCTGGGGCACACTGACGGAGGCGAGGCTGCCATACCACCGATGCACCACCGATCACTCTGAACACCACCAGCAAGCAAGGTGGGTTAAGTGTCTTGCCCAAGGACACAACGACAGCTACAGACTGAGCGTGGCTCGAACCTGCAACCTTCCGATTACGGGACAAACACTTAACTCCTGTGCCACTGTCGCCCACGTTTGACGGGACTGACCTGCTTAACGTTTAGTGCACCTCTGTCTCAGGAGGAGGATGCAGGGGTTCGCTGGATATCGGTGCTGACCAATGTGGCTGACCAGCTCTACTACCCATGTGAACACGTTGCCTGGGCTGCCGATGCTGAGCTGATTAAAGTGCGGTCAGATAAGTGGTGGTTGTTCAGTACTGTGCTGTGGGGAACCTCGCTGATTCTGGGAATCCTCGGGTAGGAACTTAAATCCTACAGTATTCTAACCAGCCATTCATTGTACTCATGAAAAACATCCAGTTCAGCTTTTACTTTGAAATATCTAAAATCAGTCAAGTTATTTGTATACTAGCTAAAACTTTCACGCTTGTTTTAACTTTTACTACTGTTATTTAAATATTTTATAGGCAAGCAAAGTGTGCATCTTAAAATAGCTTAGAAAGTGATTTGTGTACTTGGGCATTAACCAGCCGTTAGACGGCTTTAGTGGGACTCGAGGAGTCATGTGGTGTTTATGTTGATTTTCTGTAGATCATTAAGGGTTCTGCTGCTGTTGAAGAGGAAGTTGAAGGAGTACGGGAGGAACGGAGAAAGCAGCAGGTCAAAATACACAAACATTAGCATGCTTGAAGTATAAATGTGTTTGATTGTAGCAGCTAACTGTAGTTTTGTGGGAAAACTGCCTGTTTTCTCCTGCAGACACTCTCAGCTCTGCAGACAGATGCGAGGGGAGCTGCTTTCCATCATTAGCAGCGCAGCTGACCTCAGTAACGCCGTTCACTGGATGCCACCTGGCTTCCTTTGGGCAGGATGCTTCCCCAGCTGGCTGGTGGGCTTGCTGGGCACCACTTCCTCTGTAATCGGTTTGATCCAGATGAACACCAGTGGCAGCGAGCAGCCTGACAGCACCGGGTCGTCATAACGATGAAGAGCAGATGTGACCTTTTCTACTAAATGGAAGTTGGTGGGAAGAAACTGTTGAAGATCTTTGATTTGATTAGCTCATTTTGTTTGGGATGTCTCGCTGTGTTGTAGGTGAATAAATAGAACACGTTTGTGGCTAACAATCTAAAATTTAGAAAGGGAGAAAAAGAAACATTTCAGATTTACTCTTTTAAATGTCGTCATATTTTAATTTTATGACAGTCCATCCATCCATTTGAATCCGCTTATCCGGAGTCGGGTCACGGGGGCAGCAGCCTAAGCTGAGAGGCCCAGACTTCCCTCTCCCCAGCCACTTGGGCCAGCTCCTCCGGGGAATCCCAAGGCGTTCCCTGGCCAGGTGAGAGACATGGTGTCGTGGCTCTCTCTTTAGGCCTCCTCCCAGTTGGACGTGCCCGGAAAACCTCACCAGGGAGGTATCCAGGAGGCATCCTGACCAGATGCCCGAGCCACCTCAACTGGCTCCTCTCGATGTGCAGTAGCAGTGGATCTACTCTGGGCCCCTTCTGGATGACCGAGCTTCTCACCCTAAGGGAGAGCCCAGCCACTCTGCAGAGAAAACTCATTTTGGCCGCTTGTATCCGCAATCTCGTTCTTTCAGTCACTACCCAAATCTCGTGACCATAGGTGAGGGTAGGAACGTAGATCGACCGGTAAATTGAGAGCTTCGCCTTCTGGCTCAGCTTTCTCTCGACTACGACGGACCGGTACAACGCCCGCATCTCTGCAGACGCAGTGCCAGGCTGCCTATCGATCTCACGCTCCAGTTTTCCCTCACTCGTGAACAAGACCCCGAGATACTTAAACTCCTCCACTTGAGGCAGGACCTCATCCCTGACCCAGAGAAGGCATTCTACCCTTTTCCGAATCAAGACCATGGTCTTTTCTCTTTTATGACATTGACTTGCAATATTTGATTATATTAATCATTTTTTTGTTCAAATTTATCATTTTTTGTTATAAGGAATCAAATTGTGTCATTATTTTAACTATGTATTTACATGTCATTTGTACTTTTAACATGTAGGTTAGCTCAGTGTATTTTACACACTAATTTGTCTTTTTAAGAAAACAACAAATACGCTGTCGTTTTCATTTTCAAGTCACTGTAGTTTTGCACCAAATAATAAAATATTAGGCACCTTTTTGTTTATCCAACCTGTTTTCTACTTGCATCCATAGCAGAGGTAATAATTTTATTTCCCTTTCTCAGGGGCATGGGAGTAAATTGGAGCACAGAGGCATAAACTTAAAGCTCAGAAAATGTGTACTCCTAATTAGGGATGTGTATTGGTGAAATTATGGAGATAATATATGTATCACGATACATTCAGTCAGAAGATATTAACGATTTTTTTAGTCTGAAATTATTATAGGAATATTCAGTTAACAGTCCAAACCAATACATGTTTAACATGGGGTATCTGAACCATGATAGGGAGATTTACATTTCAGTGGTGGAAACAAAACGCACTGCTACCAACTAGTGGTCGATGTTTGAATTGCACCTAAATGTTTGCATACAAATTCTTCCAAAAATTAGATACACAGCTTTTGAATATCGATATAATATTGCTGGAAAAAATATCATGATACACTGCCATATCGATATTTTCTTACATCCCTACTCCTAATAATGCCCCAAACGGGCAAAAACTGGTGGCAGAAATTCTGTAAACTGCGTTCAAATCTCCAAACTTGTTCTTTTTCTTTTGAGTGAATAATCTGATTTATATGACCGCAAGTGATTTTAAGTTATCCTTCAGCTTTGGATTTGTCCTGACCTGTAAAATCAAATGCAGAAAAATATTTGCATTAATAAAACAACCCAAGTCAAACCAGCATATTTTGTTGAATATTGTTTTGCTGGTAAGAAATGAACTCTTATGTAATCCAACAATAGCATTTGCTAAAAGAGATGTTGATGTGTTTTTGATCATTTGAAAATTTTCAGCTTTTGACATTGAATTCTGAATAAGAATATTTTATTTGACGCTCATTTCTTTAAAAATATTTTAATAAATGTTGAATAAAACGTTCCAAAAATTATATTTGAATGTTCAACTTTGTTTCCGATTCAGGTTCTTAGTATGAACAAAAAACATTTTTTGTTGTTAAATGTTTAAACGTCCTAAAATGGGAAAAAAATAAAAAAGTATTTAAAAAAAGCGGAAATCTTTTTCTTCTTCTTCTTCTTTCGATCAATATATCGGTGTTTGATTAAACAGGACTTGGTCGTTTTGTCTTTTGTGTGATCGTTGCCTGTACACAGAGCCTCTGTGTGTGGATTCCTTTTAAAATTTTGAAAAAAAGCCCATTAAAGAGCTTATATGAGGGGGATTCAATCATAAACTCTAATTAACTCTGGGTGTTTGTTGATTTGACTTGTTGCTATGTAATTTGCTGTATCTGGATTTATTGAGGTTGACTGAGACTCAGACACATCATGTCATGGTTGTCTCATCTGTCTGCAGAAGCAGGTGTAGCTGCTACAGTTAGAGCATTTTTTGCTTCTTGTATTGCAGCTCCCAGCTTATCTTGAGACCCGCTCTACAGATTGCTTTGCACATTTGCATTGACTTCATTGAGTCCTGCATGACAGTCATCAACAGATTTTTTGCCACTTAGGTCCACTTACAATTGCAAGTCAACCTCAGCTTCATAATTGTAAGTATTGATATGTATTGTTTTTATGGTTTTTCCCTCGTTCCATCTGATAAACCCTGCCCTCTTTATTCTCATGACATTGGCAGATTCTCACTGAAGGCATCAAAACTATGAATGAACACATGTGGAGTTATGTATTCAACCAAAAGCGGTGAAATACCAGTTGTTTTTCAGCTGCTACTCAAAATTTGTTATCAGAAAAAGACAAGTTAGCACATGTATTATATTACAATGATAATAAAATGAGACACATTTTGCAGGACTAGCAGAGCAAATTCTATTGAGACCTCTATTGTTTTTTTACATGCAATAATTTTAAATGCAGGTGTGTATAATGTGAATATTTCCTTTTTTTGTGTGTGTATAGTGAGAATGCTGCCCAATCTTTTTTTCGTAACCCAGTTTGTGTGTTGAAGATGTTTAAATAGATAAAACTCAGCAAAGGCCAATGACTATCAGTTTCATAGGCACAGTTTTGGAGTATTATGAGCTGACATGTCAAATCATGTACGTTTTATACACTCTTTGTCCGTCATTCTACACATTAAATCGTGCTTTCTGGAAAGTGCTAATAAATAAGATCAGAATAAACAATGTGTAGTTAAACGTCATTATCCCCAACTGTCTTCATTATTGAAGCATGTCCAAATTTAAAAATCAATGTTTAAATTCAAAGAGACATTGGTGCATTTATTATTGCATTTACTTTAATAAAGTACAACGAATCCAAGTGTTAGTTATTCCCACAGACATTGATTCCGCCCTTCTTTGAGCTTTGACTACATCGAGCTTCCGTAGATGAGAGTGAGAATGTTTCCATAGCGACCATTTCTAGAGGCCGTCTACGGAATAACTTAGCTTGGACATAAGGTAACAGGTAATGACACCAATATCGTAATAATTTTAAATCCGTCTGGGAACTACTAATAACGCATTAAGTAAAATATTAATTATTTATTTGTTAACTAGCTGTTAGCCACTAGCGGTTGTCGTGTTAGCTTGTTGCTAACATTCAGCTAAAGAGGCTAGACCGTGGTTACGTTTACATAAACAGAAGTTTGCAGATATTATTCTCCATCCAGCTTTATTATTTAAGTACTTTTCAAGACTAATGAAGCGCCGAACAGATTATAAACAAAGCATAAACATGGTTGTTTTAAAAAGACACGGATAGAACAAAAATACCATATTTCAAAGCACATTTGCTCTGTCCCCTCATAATTCAATTCAATTCAATTCAAAAATACTTTATTAATCCCAGAGGGAAATTGATTGCTTTTAAATTAATTAATTTAATCAAATCATATAAAGCTAGCAAACGTTTCAGGTTTACGATTCTTTTATTTTTTTTTTTTATCATCATTGACTCTAAACGGGAAGAAATAGTTTTGATTTGTTGGAAACATTATTTGGTTATGTTTTCATCTATAATCTCAAATATGACACATTGAGCTTTCTAGGTAACATCACTCTCAATAATGACATGTTTTCCTTTCAGGTCAGCATGTCTTTCAGAGACCTAAGAAGTGAGTGCGTGTTATTTTCCATATTTATATAATGTAACACACATTTTTTCAAGTGATTGGACCCTGAATTTGTTATTTGCAGATTTCACAGAGATGATGAGGGCCTTGGGCTACCATCGCTTGATCTCTATGGAGAATTTCAGGACACCAAACTTTGCGCTGGTGTCAGAAATCCTCATATGGCTTGTAAAGAGGTATGGCATCACACTTTTAAATAAATTACATAATTGTCTAAACATCTTCAGTTTTTTGCACAAATATTTAATTCCTAATTTTATCACTACTTTATTTGGATTTGTTCCTGGTTTTTCATCAAATATTCCAAGATTAAAAAATCTAAATACTTTTTTTGTAATTTTGTTCCTGTTCACTTTCTTTCCTCTTGTAGATATGATCCTCACAGTGATATTCCCACTGATGTCGATACAGAGTCAGACAGAATATTCTTCATCAAGGCTGTGGCTCAATTTATGGTGACATTTTTTTTACAGATTATCTTCTGTATTCTTGCCCACCCAAATTCAAAGTCTGTTTTAACTTTTGTCTAATCTGCTCACAGGCTACAAAGGCTCACATTAAGTTAAACACCAAGCGTCTTTATCAGGCGGATGGCTACGCAGTAAAAGAGATGCTAAAGATCACCTCGATGATCTACAATGCTATGAAAACCAAAGAGATGGCTCAGGAAGATGTAGTGGAAGAAGATAACAAGTTTAAGTTTGACCTCAGCTCAAGGGTGAGCTTGTCTGCGAGTAATTTTACACACATGTTCCTGTATCCTCAGTTATTTATGAACATATTAGTAAACAGTAAGGTGTCAGGAGTTTGGTACATTATGAATAAATTGGGAACTTAAGACAGTTTAAATAAAACAATCAAAGCACAACTTATTGACAGTATTACTTATTGACAGTATTACTTATTGACATTATTACTTACTGACAGTATTACAGGCACACACAATCTCATAACAGGAGTTTGTGTCAGGGTAGTTTTTATTGCATCAAAACTGTATCAAGTTATTAAAAATAAGTCTCCGTGGCTGAACAGGGAGAGCAGCAGGTGAGTGGTTCGATCCCAGGCCTTGGCAGACCACGTGTTGATGTGTCCTTGGGAAAGGTACTGAACTCTGAAATTTCCCCCCCTGGGGTGCTGTACAAACGACAGCCCACTGCTCTTCAGGGATGCAGGGAATCATTTCTCCAAGAGGGATCAATAAAGAATCAAGATCAATGCTTGGAAGCAGAAAAATTGGCCTAATGTAAAGGTACAATATGTAAGAATTTTTGTTTGTAAATGAGAACTTGTTCTCAAGCATTTTACCAGGTTAAATGAAGAAAAAAATCATGTTACTGTGAAATTATCAAAAACTAATGTCTCAATCATGCTGGAAAGAAGGTTACATTGAAACAGATTTCCTTCTCAGCTGGCTGGATGGAGGCCAGCTTTTCTCCTTTAAAAGTCTTTGTTTACAATCCATGAGCCTGCTGGGTAGCTGAGTGCGCCAGCTAACACTGCTGCATCAGCATTTTTAATTCAACACCTGCCAACAAAAACCTCCAGACTTGTGGACATATGTTAGCCAGTAAATGGCAGTCACTTTTATTGCCCACACATTTTACGCTCCGAAGACTTGTGTGAAAGATGAGTGCTTATTAGCTCTCACGTTGTCTCTGCTGCAGATTTCAGACCTTAAAGCAGTTCGTCAGCTTGCATCTGAAGTCACATCCAAAGGAGCATCTCTGTACGACTTACTGGGAAAAGAAGTGGACCTAAGGGTAAAGGAAAACAAACCATACCTTGCAGTTTTAAACATCTTTAAAAAGTTTTTATTTGATTAGAAAAAGACAATTAGATTTTAATTGTTGACGGACTTCTTTTCTAATTGACAGGCAGCGAGAATGGCTGCCATTGCTCGACCTCTTGAGATTAACGAGACTGAAAAAGCCCTGAGAGCTGCCATCAAGAAAGTTCAGGTCTGTATTTTAAATTATTGTTTTGTTTTGTTATCTTTTCAACACTTGACTTCACACGGAAAATGTTTTTTAATCTTTGATGAGCTGTAGTGCTGAATCTGGTGCTAAATCCTTGTGTTGAAGGAAAGTGTGGAAAAGACCAAAGAGATGCTGAATAATGTCGTGTTGGATGAGACCAGTCTGGATGCCAAGATTGAAAAGAAGAAACAGGACCTGGAGCGGCATCAGAAGAGGCTGCAGACCCTGCAGAGTGTCCGGTCAGTTTTCACATTTAGATGTTTCAACCAACTTTTTAAAGGTTCATTTCACAGAAAAATATTTTTTTTAATTGTTATTTCTGATTATAATCAATCACTCAGATCAGAGTTTTTCATGCAGGCTGATAGTCTTCTACCCCATCTCCTCCATTAGCTTCTGAATTTCTGATCTCTTTGGAGGAAACTGTTTAACCCTCCCACTGTCATAATGGGTGTGACCTCAAGGGATACACTATCAATCCTGCTCAATGGTCAACTTTCCTCGCGCGGTGACCCATAAAGACAGTGGGAGGGTTAAACAGTGCTACCAAGATTTTCATTTTTATTTTTCTCAGAAATGGTTAGTCCCTTTAAAATTAATGTTGCTTTTTTTTGACACATTTTAAACTAAATCCAAGATTTCTGAGAACAGCTGACATTTAGGGAAACATCATGTAATAGTCTCACGTCAACATATCTCATAAATAGTTATTTGGAGCCAGATTTTAGATTAACTATACCTTTCTGTTCATAAATATGACATATTATAACTTTTGTTCTTAAATAAATGGTCTACACATGTCAAAAACATGTTTATGAAGTTATTTACTCCAAACCAGTTTCACTTACGTGTGTGGAACGCTGAATTTTTTTAAAAATTATTCCTGAATATAATCGGCCACTCAGTTTTTCCAGTAGGCTGAACATGAAAATAGTCTCCTACAGCTGTCTCCTGCGTTAGCGTCTGATAGAAAATAAGACGGTGAAATAGGGCTGCAACAAACGATTATTTGGATAATCGATTAATCGGATGGGGTCTCGACACGATTAATCGATTAATCGGATTACATAGGGACATTTTTAAAAACTGCTAGGGAAACGTTATTTTTCTCCTTCCTTCACTTTATTAAACACAGCATTATTAGAAAACAGTTCAATAGCAGAAAAACAACATGCCATCACCTAAATTGTCTTATAAGGTGTATAGACAGAGACCCTAAGCTACACCTATCTGTGACCTAAAATGCTTGGTCCAAGTTAAACAGCTTAAAGAGCAAGTCAACCCCTACCAGAGTCTAACTCCACTCCTGCTTTATGTTTGAAAAATGCAACACATGCTGTTGCCTGGCAGACCGAGAGGGCGGAGCCGCTAACAAATACACACACACTCAGGCTCACGACAGCATTGTGACATCATAATGTACCAGTTTACATCATAGCATACTTCTTAGCCAATAGCGGTGGCAGATTTAAATTAAAATACAGTGCAGAGTTTTTACCTGACAACGGCACAACACTGCCAGTTTTAGGCAGAATATTTAAATTTGAACTAAGATGCACTGAAGTGCCAAATTATTGACGACACGTGTCTGCAGCACGATTAGACACTCGTTTATTTAGTTTATCAGCAAAAAAAAAAGTTTATTTGGGGGTGACTTGCTCTTTAATTACAATTTTATGGACTTTTTTTTACGAGCTTAGGGCATGTCTAGCCTGTGTAATAATCCGGGGCTTGGATGAATCACTTTTGAAAAGTTTTTAACTTACCCGGACACCGAGCTCTCTCCTTCCTCGCTGATGATTCTGACATGCTTGCGTTTAAGACGCTGCATCATCACCGTAGTATCCCCGTGCCATGCTGTCTGACCTACAAACGTTGAATGTCTTCGCCTGATTTAACTGAAAATGCTCCCAAACTTTAGAAGTTTTTACTTTTTTGGAGTCTCGCTGCTTCTGCCATGTTCCTCTTACAAACACCTGCCGGCTCTCCACCGGTCTGCGGGCAACGGCGGGCGGGAGGGGAGGGGGCTTTTGGAAGAGTTGCGCAACACAACGAATCGATGACGCAATTCGTTGCCAACGCTTTTAGTAATCGATTTTCATCGAATTTATCGATTCGTTGTTGCAGCCCTACGGCGAAACTCTAGGATTTGAAAAGCCTGACAAACACAGTCAAAAAATCAGTGGTGGGAACCTCCCATTTATGGCTTCAACCTGCCGCCCACGGAACAATGGGCTGGCTACATCCATACTTTTACATGTCAACGCTTATGTCAGGGAAGGCTGTTGTTGGTTTAGCATCCACGAAGCAGCAGAGAATGTCTCGACTAGTAGAAGCTAACCGTTAGCATTAGCAACTCCACCACACAGCAGAACTTATCCAAGCATGTGTTATTTGTGGAGATAAAATATCTACATTGCAAATCAAATGGAGTCTGTGGTAGAGTCGTGATGCTGTTAGCCAATCAGAGACAAGATGTCATAATATCAGGAAATAAGACTCTAAATCCTGCCGTCTCAAGCTACTTTCTGTTCCAGCTGAATTCTGTCTTCAAACAGGTGCACCGGAGCTCTTTTTCCCCAGAGAATTACTAACTTTTTCCACTAAGGACCACTAAAATGCATTCAAAATATGAGTAAAGTTGACCTTTAAACATAATCTTACTAGACATGCTTTTGATTTTCTCATCCTAATCCCTTAGGCCAGCATACATGGATGAATATGAGAAGATAGAAGAAGATCTGCAGAAACAGTATGAGATTTATGTGGAAAAGTTTAGGAACCTCAACTTCTTGGAATCTCAGCTGGATGAATTTTACAGACTGGAACAGGAACGATTTGAGGTGCGTGAAATAAACAAACACAACTAGGAACATATTGTTGTTCTGGAATTGTCTAAACCTTTCTTGTATTCACTCCCTAGTGTATCTATGGAAAATATCAGTAACAAACTACAACTATGTCTGCACAACCTGTCTCAATAAAATCAGATTCTTTCATAAATCACGATGAGATTATAAGAGATGGTCAATTGAAAGTCCTGTGGTAATAATGTTTTTTTACTTGTGTGTTGTGCAGGAAGCTGAAAACAATCTGAGGATAGTGCAGCACAAACTGAGGGAGAAGGAGAGAGATCTGATGAGAGGATCCTGTGAGAAAATCAAACACACACTAAATGCTTACTCAAACCCATTTGTCCAGTCCCAAAACTCTTGTCTTTTGTCTCTGGCAGTGAAAGATGAGGACTCTGACTTGGATGTTCTAGAGGACGAAGGGTCAGACAGCGACCTTGAAGAATCTCGACCCTCTAAGCCACGACTCATCAGAAATGGACTCATGGCAGGTACGCAAACAGGCTATGACTGTGGTAAGCCTGACATATCTGGCTTTTACTTAAGCCATCATAATCTAAGAGTGTAAACAGTGTGGAGGGACTGAAGCTGACCTTCTCACCCAAGATGGACCAGGCTGCAAAGATGTATATAAATGTTCCAAGTGAAAATGTAGATTCTTAAGAGCAGGCTCACTGAGAAACCTTTTTTTTACTTAACATTTTTGAAAATGACTCTGAATATAACATGCAGGCTCAACCTGAAAATAGTCTCCTACACCTATCTCCTGCATTTGCTTCTGATAGAAAATGGATGGAAAAAGGTTGGAATCAGAAAAGCCTGACAGATCTATGTCACACTGTCACTTAACGTTCATGGACTCGCCCATCTGGACTCACAGCGGGGAAGGCTGCTGTTGTTTAGCATTCAGGAAAGAGCAGAGCTTGTCTTGGCAAGTAGAAGTGAACCGTTAGCATTAGCAACTCCACCACACAGCAGAACTCCTTAAGTCTTGTGTTATCTGTGGAGATCAAACATCAACGTTGCACAGCAAACAGAGTCAGTGGTAGAGTCATGTTGCTGTTAGCCAATCAGTGGAGAGATGTCCAAATTTCAGGACAAGACTCCAAAGCCTTCTCCTACTTTCTACTCCGGCTAATTTCTTTATCCTCAATCAGGTGCACCGGAGCTTTTGTTCCCCAGAGAACAACTTACAAGGCATTAATTCCCACTAGAGACCGCTGAACATGTATTAAAAACTTGTTCTTTAATTCTATGCCCAGAGCTTTGATTAAATTCTTGTTCAGAATCCTTTTCTCTTACAAATTCGTAACTGCTTGTTGTTTTTTCTCCTTCTCAGGGAGAGGAGGACATTTTATCGGTAACATGCAAGGTGGTGACAGTGATGAGGTCAGTAATATCTTAGACTTTCTAATATTCCTCCATTTTTGTACTTCAAGTCTTTCTGTTTGCCACTAGCACCTCTAAGTGGTTCTCGCTGTGACTGACTCTCAGCCCATCTTAATTGTCAGTCTGCTCTCCTGTATCCTATCATGGCTTCAGATTCATTTTTTATTTCTGTTTGGTTTCAAACTTTTCCTTCCACTGAAATTTTTGTAACTTATCTGTGTTTGTTGTTTTCTTGTTGTCATTCACGTGGTTTTTAAAAGGTGTTTTTATCAGCCTCCACAAGGTCAACCCGCCATCACTTAAAACAGCAGAAAGCAAAGGTTTGTGGAGGCCATGGATCCCATCGACCTGCCTTTGTTCCCTTCCTATGTTCCACTCTCCACATCACAGTTTGTGAACAGTAGATCCTCATCTGTGTGGTCAGTGGTAGCTAGTGAAAAAAAAAATCTAGGTGGCGTTATGTGTGAAAAGATTTTCCCTTGAATCCATTTTAATATTACAATTGAACTGTTGGAAAATGAATACAGTTTCAAAACAATCTTTTATTTCCCTTCTCTAAATAAACTGATTTACAGATAAAGCCAAAGTAAAATTTACAGATGAATTAGACTATAATAATACTCAAATACACAAGCCTACCATGAACACCTTTCTACAAAGCATGAGCAATTGCAGTCATTTTTGGCCTTATTCACATTTTATTTTGACATTAATTTGTTTTCCAGCTTGAGTTTTCTGCATCAGTGTGTCTTAATTAATCAAAGCATGCACACCTCAAAGCGCAATACTCAGTTCCACCAGAAGGCGACGCTAACAGAACATAGAAATTTAGTTAGATATCCTGTTTTGACAATTTAAATCACATACAATAAGAACAAATAAACACACTTTACAGCAGAAGGTACATGTTTGATGTTAGCGCTACCTATATAAACCAGCAGTGAGTGAGTGAGTGAGTGAGTGAGTGAGTGAGTGAGTGAGTGAGTGAGAGTGAGAGGGAGAAGATCCAGCCCCTTCTAGCATTCTAGCTAGCTATTTCCTGTAGCATGGTCACTATTGGCTGGAGACATAAAATTATGTGATGCGTATTGGTCAAAAATGCCCCAGTTCTCTCTAGCAACCACCCACGATTGGCTGTTTTGCTGCAGTTCAGGGGCCCAGTCCCCCTGCAGTGATATTAGTGAGGCTGTTTGATGAGAGACTGCTGGTGAAAATGATGAGTAAATCATTCAAATTGCATTTTTTGTAAATATTTGGATATGTGTTGTAGGGGGGATTTTATTTTATTTTTTAATTTTTTTTACACATTTTAGAATTTTTTTCTCCATTTACGTCAGGGAGGATGTGGAAGAGCCGCCACTGTCTGTGGTGTTGTTCTATGCAGATAAAAAACATTAGGTGTGTGTTGTGTTAAATTGTGCTATTTGCTTATTAGACTGTGCCATGTGAAGCAGTAAGGCATTAGCTGTTCTTGTGTTTAGTTGGACACAAAACTCCTCCTGGCTTCTGTTCCTTTAAGTGTTTTTGTGGATAAATACTTCAGACAACTAACATTAAAACTGGATTCTTGAAAACAGACTTGAGCTTTTGGGTGATTACTTATTGTGTTTTTTATGTTTGCTGTACATTTCAGACTGAAGATAGTGAGATTGATGTGGATGATGATGATGAGGAAGACGATGAAGGTGAAGAGGAGGAGAGCATTGATGACAGTTTGAACGGCCTGCTGTCGAGGGGTAACCATCCTTCCATAGGAGGCACAAGATCCCCTCTGCTGGAGGAAAGTGACAATGACTTCTGAGATATGAGCAGTTTCCATGTGCCAGCTCCAGTTAGTTCATGTTGTCACATCTCAGAAACATATGTGAGCAAGTCCTATTTACAATATAGCTTCTATTCGTTAATATAAATAAAGTTATTTTATTTTAAAATGTGCTTGTGTGTTGGTGTTTTTTTCCGCCTGACAGCACGATGGATTTGAAGTGTCAAACTTAAAAAAACTATCAACAGCAGATGAATTTTATCTGAAAGTCCATCCATCCATTTTTAGCCGCTTTTCCGGAGTTGGGTCGCGAGGGCAGTAGCCTAAGCAGAGAGGCCCAGACTTCCCTCTCCCCAGCTACTTGGTCCAGCTCCTCCGGGGGAATCCCAAGGTGTTCCCTGGCCAGCCGAGAGACATAGTCCCTCCAGAGTGTCCTGGGTCTTCCCTTGGGTATCCTCCCAGTTGGACGTGCCCGGAAAACCTCAAAAGGGAGGGCATCCAGGAGGCATCCTGACCAGATGCCCGAGCCACCTCAACTGGCTTCTCTCGATGTAGAGGAACAGTGGGTCTACTCCGAGCCCCTCCCAGATGACCGAGCTTCTCACCCTATCTCTAAGGGAGAGCCCAGCCACCCTACGGAGAAAACTCATTTCAGCCGCTTGTATTTGCAATCTTGTTCCTTTGATCACTACCTAATGCTGGTGACCATAGGGTAAGAAACCACATTGTTCCCTCTGAATCCGAGGTTCAAGAATCTGGCTGACTCTCCTCTCCAGAACCCCTGAATAGACCTTACCAGGGAGGCTCAGGAGTGTGATCCCCCTGTAGTTGGAACACACACTGCGGCCCCCCTTTTTAAATAGGGGAACCACCATCCCAGTCAACCAATCCATGGAACTGTCCCCGATGTCCACGCGATACTGCATAGCTGCATCAACCAACAGCCCCACAACATCCAGAGCCTTAAGGAACTCTGGGCCTATCTCATCCACCGCTGGGACCATGCCACCGAAGAGTTTTTTTGACGACAATATCCTGGTAGAATGGAGAGTCCAACCCAAAGTCCCCAGCCTCCATTTCCTCACTGGAAGATGTGCCGGTGGGATTGAGGAGGTCTTTGAAGTAATCCACCCACCAATCCACAATGTCCCAAGTAACGGTCAGCAGCACACCGTCACCACTGTAAACAGTGTTGGTAATACACTGCTTTGCCCTCCTGAGATGCTGGATGGTGAACCAGATTCTCCTGGAAGCCATACGGAAGTTTTGCTCCATGGTCTCACCAAACTCCTCCCACGCCAGGGTTTTTTGCCTTTGCGACCACCTGAACCGCATTCCGATTGGACTGTCTGTACCTATCAGCTGCCTCTGGAGTCCCACAGGCCAAAAATACCTAATAGGAATCTTTATTCAGCTAGACAGCACCCCTAACTCCCGGTGTCCACCAGCGGGTTCAGGGGTTGCCACCACGACAAGCACCGACAACCCTGCAGCCGCAGCTCCGATAAGCCACCTCAACAATGGAAGCATGAGACATGGCCCACTTAGACTCAATGTCCCCCGCTTCCCTCGGGACATGTTTCGAAATTTTGTTGGAGGTGGGAATTGAAGCTCCTTCTGACAGGAGACTCCACCAGACTCTCACATGTTTGGGCCTGCCAGGTCTGACCGGCTTCTTCCCCCACCATCAAAGCCTACTCACCACCAGGTAGTGGTTAGTTGACAGCTCAGCCCCTCTCCCTCTCTTCACCCGAGTGTCCGAGACACGTGGCCATAGATCAAATGAAACGACAACAAAGTCGATTGTTGAACTGCGCCCTAAGGTATCCTGGTGCCAAGAGCCCATCTAGACACCTTTATGCTTGAACATGATGTTCATTATGGACAATCCATAATGTGCACAGAAGTCCAGTAACTGAACACCGCTCAGATTTGAAGAAGGGGGTGCAGTTCCTCCCAACCACACCTTTCCAGGTCTCACTGTTTTTGCTCACATGAGTGTTAAAGTCCCTCAGCAGAACTAGGGAGTCACAAGAAGGAGCGCTCTCCAGCACCCCCTCCAAGGACTCCAAAAAGGGTGGGTGGTTTGAGCTGCAGTTTGGTGCATAAGCACAAACTACAGTCAGGACCAATAGCATTGTGCGTTTTATGTATTTCTCCAGGTATACCTTCTAGTTTTCGGGGGAGAGATTCAAGATGGCGGAGTGAGCAGGTGGAAACTTGGCAGGTCTGATAAAACGGTGGGTTTTAAATGTCCTGAGAAGTTATTCTCTGATAAACAGTTATTCAGAAAGGAAACTGAAAGGAAAGTGGAACCCCTGGAACATAGTTTTTGAAGAGTTATTGGACAGATAAAGCAGCAAACGCAAAACATCAAATGACTAACATGGCGGAGCTAATAGGTAGCCTTTCCGACCATGACTACAACCTCGCGGCAATGAAAGAAGCATGTGCAGACGAAGACATAGAGGAGATGGAGCATCAACAGATAGCAGCAAGACTCACTGGTGATCACACACCAATAAAAAGCCCCAATCCAAAAAAAAAATGACAAATAAAGCTACCGGGAAACAGGTGAGCAATGAAAATATGAAGCCCTGCTGGCCTTTACAGAAAGATTTGATCTGCTAGACAAAAATCTGAAAGCTTTTGACCTTAGGATAGAGGCAAATACAAAGGCAACTGAAGAAAACAAAAAGGAAACAGACAAGCTCAAAACAAAGATGGAGGCATTAATGAAGGAAAACAAAGAACTGAAGGAAAGATGTCTGGAAAACTCAAGATACCGATGAAGATGGGACCTCCGACTACTTGGCCTGGCAGAAAAAGGATGAAAATACACGGGAGAGAGTGCTTCCTGACGAGAGTCATTCCTGTGTGTAATGTTAATAAATAATAGTATGTTGGGTTATGTAAATTGCTTTAAGAGCCATTTATTATTAACACCACTTGTAACCAATAAGCTGTGATACTCTTTAAATCTAGAATATAACTTTGCCTGGTCTTTATTTGTGTTAGTCAGAAGATTCTAGGATTCTTTTATTCATTAGGGAATTGTACACACTTCGTTTTGATTCAAGAAACAGTCAGGTTTATAAAAATAAGAATTTATTTTACAAACAATTAAGACTTGTCAAATTGTTTAAACTATTATTTACTGTGAGTGGATGCGAACTAAAGGATGGTGTCTGGAACTTATGTGTAAATATAAAGTAATCAGAATCTCAGAGAGCGGAGTTCTGGATTTAAAAGAATTTGGTTTGCAAATAAGCTGTTTCTTATTAAAAGCATCAAGACGCACTCTGTCTGAAGTGTCTTCCTCGCCCGTTCTGGAGACCCCCGTCTGGATCCGAGATGTCAGGAGGAGTGATGACCCCAAGCACGAGATGGGTGGAGAAACCTTAGTGCGACCAGGTCGGTCCTGAGATGTCTCCGGGTCACAGCTACTGATGACACTGTTGCGTCTTAAAGAGGAGTTTTGCAACATCAGCTTTGTTCTGCAGGAAACTATCTTGTTGTTATCAGCTTCGCAGGTGCGAAAAAGGTTAAAAAGATTTTGACCATGTGTCAAAATTCTTGCTGGTTAAAGAGGTTTTGCGACAGATGGCCGGTCTGAAGCTCGCTCTAGAACTGAAGGGAAGACCAGAGTAATCTAGTTTTAATATATTGATGTTATGGATAAATGGCCAGCCAAAAGTTGACAAGTTTGAGGATGTTACCAAGCATCTCAGAGACACACCCTCTTTGATCTGGAGACTCTGAATCTGGGTAAAAGGTTAACTATGTGTCATGCGTTAACTTACCTTTACTCTGTCCTTGTGTGAGGGCAAATGGTGATGACTTCGTCCAGTAAACATGCTAAGCATATATCATTAAGCACAGATTAATGAACATTTCATTGTTTTATAATTATTCTAAGTAGCAATAAACAAACGTTTATTTAATGATTATCTTTAATTATAAAAATCTTCTTTTCTTCTGATCTTCTGTGAATCGAGGAGTTTATTTCATGAGTTCCTCTGTAATGGACCTTGGAGGAGAGAATGTTATTGTTTATCTTTTAATATTTCTGTCAGGCTCTGACTCCAGCTGGTGTGAGGAAGGCAGGCTCTGATTTAAAGGGACTACGTGCAGACTTTCAGTCTTCTGTGCGGGAAATAATGTAGGTTGGAGTCGTAGCCAGGTTAAGTTGACCTGGCTGTAGATCCTGACCTGTGGGTCTTATTTCTGGCCATTTCGTGACATTACATGTGTCAGTGGAAAAGCTGCAGCTCATGGTGGATACAGTACATCGACACAGGAAGAAGGGCGACGCTGCAAACAACAGGCTGCCAAGACCGATCATCATTCAATATTGGAGAAGCCCTAAATGTGATTTCAGTTTTTTCAAAGGCATCTGGTTTGAACCTAAATCTGAAGAAATTTGAAACTTTACTTCTCTATGATTGTTTGGAAACCAATATGAAGACCATTCCAGTGAAAAGAGAAGTTAAGTATCTAGGAATTTACTTAAACAAAGATATTAAAATTAGAGGGACAAAAAATGTGAAAGATCAACTTGATGTGATGTCTAGAAAACTGCATCACTGGTTAACAAGAGGTCTTACAATTTTTGGACATAATTTGTTATCTAAATCAGAAGGTGTCTCAAAGATGGTCTATCCATTATATTCTTTTTATATTACCCCGCAGAGTATCAAAAAGATTAATTCAAAAATAAATAATTTCATTTGGTGCAATAAAACACACTATATTAAAAAATCACAACTGGTTAAAGACTATGCTAAAGGAGGAATTAAGACGATTGATTTCCCATCTATGGTAGGAGTTTTCAAAATAAATTGGCTAAAAGCTTATCTTTTAAAACCTGACTCAATATGGTTCCATATCCCAAGGAATATATTTAAAAAGGTGGAAGGGTTGAAGTTCCTTTTGAAATGTGATTTTGACATATCGAGGTTGCCTATCAAGCTGTCAGAATATCACAAACAAATATTGTTTTACTGGAAGATGGTGTTTAATCACAACTGTACTCCCCATGGCTCCACCTTGTGGAATAATAGGACAATGACAATAACCAGGAAATTCATTATTTACAGATAAGTGGTAAGAAAAAGGAATTATTTTTGTTACAGATTTACTAGATTCAAAAGGTCAGTGTCGAAATAAAGGCTTTTAATGGAAAATATAATATCCAATGTTCACTTAGAGAATACAACAAAATTTGTAAAGCAATCCCTTCGCCCTTGTTGCATTTGATACAACATCATTTAATGTATGCTCAAAGTCAAATAACTTTACCTTTGTTACAGTTAAAACAGATTCCTTTAATGAATAAAAAGTGTTGTAACAAAACCATAAATAAACTGTTTAAAGAAATTTCATTTCGTGAATTTAACAAAGACATAAAACTAAAGGGATGTAATATTAAGATAAATCAGAAATATATAAACTGCATGTTTCAAATGGTCTATCCCCCCAAAGATTAAGGAAATGCAGTTTAAAATAATAAATGGATATTACACAATCCCGCCTACTTGCCCGTTGACTGCTGGAGATAGGCACCAGCCCCCCCGCGGCCCTACGTGGACTAAGCGGGTTCAGAAGAGTGATGGATGGATGGATGGATGGATGGATGGATGATATTACACAGCAGCTCAAATGCTTAAAAAACGATTCGGTTTTGAGGAAACCATGTGGTTTTTGTTTACAAGAAGAAGAGAGTGTTGAACATTTATTTATTTATTTAATTTCTTGTTCAGTAACATCTATTTTAGCTGGATATGGTAAACTGGGTGGGAATAACAATTAACAGAAAGAGTCTGATGACAGTAACACAGGTTTTGTATTATGATGACAGTCTGTCAAAATAACTTGAAATACTGAGTAATATTGTTATACTTGTTGGAAAATACCACCTTCATAAATGTAAATGGTGTAATGAAAATCGTTCCTTAAACGTCCTAAAGGTTGAACTGATATCACTGTATGCATCTTTAGCTCATTTAAAAAACTGCAAGTATGCTGACCAGACATGTGAAAATATGAACCAGTACTTATCCTTTTAAACAATGTGTCAAAACTTTGATACCCAGAAAGCATTTCGTTTTTTTTTCATAGAAAAGATTCACACTGCTTGAAATTTTTTTCGAAATAAGTGAGAATATGGCCTTGAAAATGTTGTTTTTTTTTTCTTTTCTTTATGGCAGTTTTTTTTTATTTTTTATTTTGTGTGTGTGTGTGTGTGTGTGTGTGTGTGTGTGTGTGTGTGTGTGTGTGTGTGTGTGTGTGTGTGTGTGTGTGTGTGTGTGTGTGTGTGAAAACATAGTTTTGTTTTGTTTAATTGCAAGAGATCTTTTAGTTCTAAATTCTGGCTTAACACAAGCGATGCTGTACTGTCGTTTCCCTGTAAGAGTTTGTAAGTATGTAAACTAAAAAAAAAAAAGAAAAAAAAACCCTTCTAGTTTCAGGTGTCGGCTCGGGACACCGGTCATATTTTTTTAATCAAAGCAAGATCGGGGCCTGTTGATGACATCATCACTACGCGCCCTTGTTAGGGGTGGAGGTGGCGGATGCCTCTTCAAAACAGTAAATTGTTGTTTCCTGGTTTTCGTCTCCTATCGGTAGGAATAATTTACCTGTACGATTTCGCGTTGTGACTACTGCAAATATGTTATAAATGAAATAGTTTAATGAACAATCGGCCCTTAACTAGCGTGAAAATCGGTTTTACTCGGCTAACTTCAACCAGCTAATGCTAAGTAGCTACTTAGTCAAGCACAGAAGAGACATGTTGAAAATAGATGTTTAATTGGTAACGGTACTGTTATTTTTGCCGCATGTTTATCTGTTTCCTAACCCGTGTTTAGGGGGTGAGAGATTTACAAACTTTGTGAAGCCCACAGTGTTAAAGTAATCTTAATGTCGCTTAGCTGCACATCTGGCTAAAATAACTCTGGTTTATCTTTGATATTATGAGAACAGTGCCTTAACTTGTCCCAGTGTCTAGATGTAGATGATAAAGAATAAAAATAAATTTTAATAATTGATTACATTTTTTAAACGCTGGCTGTATTGGTGTATTATTTTTTTTATTATCTGTTATTTTGTTTGTTTCTCTCACCCCCAGCTGAAATAGCAGCTGTTGGGATGCCCAAAAAGTTCCAGGGGGAAAACTCTAAGGCGGCCACAGCCAGAGCCCGAAAGGCTGAAGCCAAGGCTGTCGCAGATGCCCGCAAGAAGCAGCAGGAGGAGGATGCCCTCTGGCAAGAAACAGACAAACATGTTCTCAAGAAAGAGCAGAGAAAAGTGAGCAGTCATATTTAAACTCATCAGATTAACATCAACAATTTTTAACAAATGTTGGATATTTATGTTGGAAACTCTACATGAATAACATCTGCAACTTTTAATCTCTCAAACTGTTTTCTGTCCCTGCAGGATGGGAAGGAGAAGAAGAGGATGGAGCTCTTGGAGAGGAAAAAGGAAAACCAGCGACTTCTGGATGAGGAGAGTTCCCATCTAAAAGGCAAATCTCAGAAGGAGGCTGGATCTGGTGGAAAAGTGACCCGTGCCCAAATTGAGCAGATGCTTCAGAACGAACAGGAAGAGCAACAGGAGATCAAACAGAAAGGTAAAGTTCAGCTTAGAGGTGCTGATCTAAGTCTCTTGAATTACGAAACTGTTCATTCCTACAGAGAAAAGCCATTTGGAGACCCCGTTGGAGGAGAATATCAACAGAGTTATAGCTGATGAAGGATCTGTGGAAGCCAGAACAATAGAGGACGCCATCGCTGTGCTCAGGTACAAATATGTGACATGTTTTCACTTTCATTACGCTGATCTTATTACTTTGCTTTCTTGGTGACCACTGTTTTCTCTCTCCCAGCACTGAATCAGAGGACCTGGACCGCCACCCGGAGCGGAGGATGAAAGCTGCATTTGCTTCCTATGAGGAAGCAAACATGCCTCGTCTAAAACAGGAGAACCCCAACATGCGGCTGTCACAGCTGAAGCAACAGCTGAAGAAGGAATGGAATAAATCTCCAGAAAACCCCCTGAACCAGCGTTTTGCCACCTACAACACAAAGTGATTTCTTTTTTTCTTGCCATAACATTTGACAACTCAGCTTGGGCACATTGGAGACTTCTATTGGAAAAAAAAAAAAATTTCAGTGAATAATGTGCTGCTGATGAGAACTTCATCTGGAGGTTTCATGTGTCAGAGGACACAACTTTGTTCTTCCATTGGCTAGCAAGAAAAATCAAGTTTTTTTCATATCGAGTTAACGACTCATCATCATATTTGTGTGCATAGACTCTAATGAAGCATTCGAACATCTAATTAATTAACTTGCATCTTTTTTTCTAACCCATCTGGGTAGGTGGGACTCCAGATGTTGTGAGAGTAACTTATTAAAGTTCATCTCTAAATCGCCAACATCTTGTGTTGCTTTTGTCTTCACAGCCCAGTATGTTTTAAGGAGCTTGATCACATCCTGTCAGATACAGCAGATGCTGCTTTGTGCACATTTTTCCTAGAATAGTGCAGACACGACCAATATGTGGCCCGTTGGTGACACTTGAAGTAATTTTATGCGGTCCCCCAAGTAACATTTCTAGAAAAAGTCACATAGATTGACACTTTTTAACATTTATGTTCAGATTTTTACTGAAAAGATGTATATTTAGCACAAATAAATAAATCAATAAAATCATTTTTGTTTATTTTTTTTTACAATAAAAAAATCTAATTTTTGTCCCAGAAAGACATGATTTTGGCCCTTGTGTTGAAATATTTGGACACTTCTGGAAAAGACGACTGAGATAATTAAAAAAAAGTTTTATTAAATGTAGCGATGTACCGATAGTAAATTTTGGGCCAATAACAATATCTGATATTAGTATAGCTGCTATGGCCAATAACCGATATTTGCTGATACTGATATGTGTGTGTGTTTATATATATATGTATATATATATATATATACATATATGTATATATATATGCTGATGATTATACTTCTGTTATCAACAGATTTTGTATAGACAGAAAGTCATACAAGCTGAATTTTCAAATGCCTTGCGTTATACACACGCACACACACATACACACATTAACATTTACTCTTCTGAGATGATTACCATTAGCCTGGCAAGCCAGACTTAATAGATTATTTGCAAAGCAAGAACTTGTTCTAGTTCACTAGGCTAGATAACCATCATTGTCTCATGAGACCCCCCCCCCCCCCCCCCCCACTGAAACAGATACACAAACAGAAACGAGATGAAATTTTGCTTGTAAATGTTGCCCAGTTTTACTCATCGTACCGATATCAATGTATTAAAAAGTGATTAACATTGGCTGATACCAATATTGATGCTGATATATCAAGCATCCCTTATGAAACGGTCACTTTGGTAAGTGCATAATAGTTAGCACAATTCCTGATGAAGGTCTCTGATCGAAAGCTTGACCAATAAACTTCTACATCGCAGATTGTTTAAGTGCATAATTGTTAAAATAGACTTGTCTTCTCTTAAATATCAAAAGAATTTATGCTAGTTGATGTTTAAATTGCACTGCTGAATTGGAGATGAACACAAATCAACACTGTTGTTTTTTTAATACTTAACTCTTTCATATAAATGTGCTTTTGTTGGTAAAAACAAGTTAAAAAGCGCGGACAGTGGTGCCACATTTTGTCTGAAAGATGCAGATCTTTGGTATCCACTGGTCTAGAAAAGCCTCTTTAGTCTGGATTCACCACGGCGAGCATTATGTTTGTTTTTGAAGTTTTCCTCCATCTATTCAGCCAGCCTCATGGGCCATTACTCTGCTACAACTGAAAACTTGTTTTAATATAAGCTACCGTATATAATTATTTTAATTACCACTGTGTTATTCCAGTTTAAATGGACATGTGACAGGCCAGTGTTGCTGCTCTTCACAAAGGTTTTGTATTTTCCAGCGTATGGAGCTGCTGAGGCAGCAACCCCAGGCTTTAGAGGGTTGTGCAGTTCAGTGGGCTGATTCTGCCTGAGAATAACTCAATATGTTTTAAATAAATCATTTAAATTAAAATCAGTACTAAAATATAAAAAGTCAATCATTTTAGCTGCATAAAGTATAATTCTTTAGTTCTTTTTGTTTATCCTAAAGAATAAAATCAAAATATTAGTTTTTATTTACTAACAGCAGCCAAAATCTAGAATATTGCATAATTCTCACCTCAAAACCGTAAAAGCACATGGGTATCTTTTAAAAGCAGTGGTGTGTTTGAATGCACCTGTTTATAAAGTGATGGCTGATTTGCTTCCTGCAGTTTCGTTTGTCAGATCTTCTAAGACACCGGCCTTGATTCATTCAGAACCAGGATTAAAAATGGACACTTTTGTCCTGTGGGTTCTTGTGGCGGAAGAGATAAGAGAGCATGCGAAGGCCTTTGAACCACACGCTTCAATGGCAACTTCAAATGACCTTTTATATCTCACTTAGCAATGAATGCTAACAGTTCCTCTCATTTCCTTTTCCAGCCAACCTGATCCCTCCCAGTTTTTAGCCACGTTTTTTTAATGGTTCCATCTGATGTTCCAGATTTGTTTGTTTTCCACCTGCACCCTCCCACTCCGCTCCATTTGCATGGCAACCCTCCACCAGCCAGCTGCTGCTTGTGTCTTTCTTCGTGTTGAATTCTAATCATTACTTTCAAAGGAGAGCATTTCGTAAGGCTTCTTTATCAAGTGGTCATCCCGGGAGGAGGGAATTCACTCAGGCTGCTCTTCTTAAGACGTCTGCTGGGGTTCACTTTCTATTTGTGACCTGCTTCTTCAAGTTTGGACAGAAAGGCACATGCAGGAAAAAGGTAAAAAAGGTAAGAATGGTGGTGGAGATTACAGACAATTACAGATTACTGTAAGCAGAACCAAAATAAGTTTAATTTATCAGTTCAAATGGTCGATAAAGATCACTTTTTGTCGTTTTGTTCATGGTTGTTTCATCTATTTACATGCGGAAGGATTTCTTGTGGCATCATTTAAAAACTTTTTTTAGGGAACAATTCTGTGTTATTTGAGTGTAAATTGACTCAAAATGACATTTTGATTAATTTTTATAATTACAAAAAGGGCTTTGTTTATTTCACACAAGTTAAATTGATGTGTGAAGCTGATCTGTTTCCTCTCTGCATTTCTGATCTCCAATCTCAGTAAACACGCTCGATTTTGTGTGTGTGTGTGTGTGTGTGTGTGGTGGGGGGGGGGGTCACACCTGCATTTGACAGAATGATTGTTTTTTAATCTCCATTTTCCTGAAACACTCAATCTGGGGTTAAATAGATAGTTTATTTTACAAAAGAGCCTTCTGGCAGTAAATAATCATCTTATTTCCGAGCATAAAGGAAAATCTGTTGGCTCGTTCTTTATTGTAATGAGAATAATTTAAACTCTTTTCTAAATGTATATTTGATGACTGCAAATATGAAACATTTGTTTCTTTAGTAAACATTTGAGGTGTTTTATAGTTTTTTAGTTGTGTGTTGTTGTTTTTTTATTTTAGCTTTAATAGTTTGTATATATAGTTTGTAACAGCGTATCTCATGGTAACAATCATGAGGCGCTTCACAAGAACAAAGAAAAATAAAAAAAAATTTAAATATAAAATGAAAAAAAAAAATTTAATTTGTGATTAAACTAATACATTTATAATAATAATAATACATTAATAAATTTGTCCATACGCTTTGCAGTGAAGCCATGAGGTTGATTCTGGTTAAACCCACCAATGCAACAAGACGTCTTGACTCAACAGGTGAAGTCTTCCGAGATGGAGATCATGAACATTTTACTACAGGAGGTCCTGAGAAGAAGCATGATCCATACTCTGAAACGTCAGGTGACACATCCTCGTCCCCACCAGAGAAAAGTCAGGGTTTTGCTTCGTCTAAAGGACTCAGTCCCCCGAGAAGTTCAGCTCAGCTGGGAACCCAGAACCTCACCCTGTCACAGCTGAGTGACCAGGACTGGCTGCTGCTTTGTGACCAGGTCAGGAGCGCAGATAATCCACCCTCCGGAGGAAGAGCGTGTGTTTGTCCTTGTCCTGATGTGCACCAGTGTTCTGAGACTTCTAGTTTTCTACCACACTCAAATCGAGGCTCTCTTAAAGAGAGCCTCTCCAGGGTGAGAAATAAGAGGAGCATTTCATCAGCTCACACACAACTTTTCTCCCAAAGCACCCACCGTTCCACCACTCATTCTCCACAGCAAAAAAACCACAAAGATCTTCAAAAACTTGCAGCAATCCACCCAACAAATACTGTCATGCCTCAGAGCGCTGACCAAGAAGGTCAGAAAAAACAGCCTTGCTGTCATCCTAAACTGAAGGACTGCACCCAACTGACTTGTCCAAATGTGTTCAACATTCCTCTAAAATCCATTGAATGTGAGACAAATAAGCCGCTTCAGAAACAGCCTCAACTCTCGGTAATCAACTGGAAAGAGATTTTTGGTAAAGAACCACTGTTGGTGCAGCAACACCAAACAAAAGACTCTCGCTGTTCGGTAACTGGTGACCAAACATGCAAGCCATCCGGAGATCCGTCCTTCGTACTCAAATGCCGTCATCTCCCTTATTGTCGCCCGGCCAACACGCAGAAATCACAGAAACCTGCCAGTCAAAAAAGTCTAAAATCTGTCTCCACCAGCCAGTGCAGCTTGCTCGACAACCAGGATGTAGTGGAGGACGAAACAAGACCGCAAGAAAGCCAGGTACCAAACTGATGAGTAATTGTAAACCATATGTCTCATATACAACTATATATTTTTCTGTCTTTGCTTTAAAAATAAAACATTGTCTTCTATTCTATTCTACCTTCTTTTGCAGACGAATTCTCCGTATCTCTGTGGATCGAACCCATCTCTCCCTAAACACTCTCCTCCAATCTCCGAAACCTTGGAAACGGGCAACATTCTCAACGGGGATGCTGCGCGGCCTCTCAGCAGCCAGGGTACTTGGGCATCTAGTCTCACAGACCTTCATTCGAGCCAACAACCACTTCAGCTTCTTCACAGTGCCGTCTTTGAAGATGCATTCTCTAAAGTTCTGAGAGAAGACTCCAGCAAAGCCAACAGCGAGAACCTGATCCCAGCAGAGAGCAGCAGACCAGAGAAGAAGACAAAGGACATTAGCTACCGGCTGGGTCAAAGGAAAGCTCTGTTTGGGAAGCGCAAGCAGCTGAGCGACTACGCTTTGGTCTGTGGGATGTTTGGGATTATTGCCATGGTCATTGAGACGGAGCTGTCAAGAGCATTTTACAGCAAGGTACTACAGACCTTAGAAGGACTTCTCTTAAAAGTTGCATGAGTATACAATCAGACGAATATCTGTGACAGTCAATGGGTGGTGCGTGGTTTGCACCCCGCTCAGTCTGTCACAGTCATTTTTAGGCAAGACTTTTCCCCCGCCTTACCTGCTGGCAGTGGTCAGAGGAACCGGTGGCGCCTGCACGGCAACCTTGTCTCTGTCAGTGCGCCCCAGAGCAGCTGTGGCTACAATGGAGCTACTCACCACTAGTGTGTGAATGTGTGTGTGAATAGGTGAATGACTGATGTGTTGTAAAGTACCTTGGGGGTTTGTAGAACCTGGAAAATTGAAACTTGAAAAATTAGGAAATAGTGCATAAGTTCATTTGTCAGTAATTCAACTTAAAAGGTGAAACTAATACATGAGACAGACCATAAAGCCAGATGTTTGTTATAACTGTGACGATAATGGCTTCCAGCTTATGGAAACCCCACATTCAAAATCTCAGACAATTAGAATATTGTGAAAAGGTTCAATGAGACTGGGAGACCGCGGTTCAAATCCCGGTTGGGTCATACCAAAAACTTTTAAAATGGAACCCAGTGCCTCCCTGCTTGACACAGCTTTAAGAGGTTGGATTGGGGCCACCAAATGGTTCCCGAGCACGGCCACTGCTGCAGCTCACTGCTCCCCAGGAAAGGGGTCTCATGCGGAGATGAATTTCACCAGTGTGTGATGACAAATGGGACTTTAACTTTATTCTAGACTCAAAGTGTCACATTCTAATCAGCTAATGAATCCCAAACACCTGCAAAGGGTTCCTGAGCCTTTGGAGGGTCTCTCAGTCTAAGATGAATTACTGACATAAATTGACTTTTGCATCATATCCTAATTTTTTTGAGTTTAAGACTATTTACTATAGTCTAAGTTGAAATAGATTTCACTAATGAGGCTGGGGCATAATCTGTCACACAGGAGTTGTTGCTTCTACATCAGGTAAAACTCAGCTGATGTAACCTGTCAACAATAGGTACATTTCACAGTATTTTACATACCATCCATTCAAATCTGTGGTATTGCTCCACGGCGCAGGTGAATCCTAAAGAATTGTTTGTAACAGCTGATAAGAAAAAAATTCAAAGAACCTGATTAGGATTTAAAGTTTAGAAACCAGAACGCAGGAAAACTTTCTGATGGTTCATAAAGAAACGTCAGCAATAAACTTAGAAAAATCTATTTGTATCAGTTTTGTTGGGATTCTCATATCAGACTACACTCACTATTTATTTTTCTCCGTTTCTTTTTTTTTCTTCTTTTACAGGATTCTGTTTATTCTCATGTACTAAAGGGTCTGATCAGTGTTTCCACGGCCATGCTCCTTGTACTCATTCTGATGTACCATGCCAGGGAGATAGAGGTAAAATACCTTTAGTCTTCCTGTACTTTGAGCTTTCGACATGAATTTTACACACTGGGGAAAAAAACAACCAGTTAGTTCTATCAGATCATTTAGATAATCTTTGTTTCCTTTTTGTGTTCTGGACTTTCATTAATGTTGTAATTCTGCAGCTCTTCATGGTAGACAACGGCGCAGACGACTGGAGGATAGCCATGACTTTAGAGCGGATCCTTTTCATCCTGTTGGAGCTACTTGTTTGTGCCATCCATCCAATCCCGGGTCAGTATGTGTTCAGCTGGACCACACGTCTGGCCTTCACTTACACGGCGTCTGTGGCAGACGCCGATGTGGACATCGTCCTGTCTGTGCCGATGTTCCTGCGCCTGTACCTGATTGGACGGGTCATGCTGCTCCACAGCAAGCTCTTCACAGACGCCTCGTCACGCAGCATCGGGGCCCTCAACAAGATCAACTTCGACACTCGTTTCGTCATGAAGACCCTGATGACCATCTGCCCCGGTACGGTCCTGCTCGTCTTCAGTGTGTCCTGTTGGATCATCGCAGCATGGACTGTGCGCATTTGTGAGCGGTGTGTGAACGTCATTAGCAACCGAGTAACCAAACTTATAAGGAAGGAGAAATCGGTTTTCTGGTGAAACGTGATGTCAACAGCCAGGTGTCATTCCTCGGCAGGTATCACGATTCACAAGAAGTGGCCAGCACCTTCCTCGGAGCGATGTGGCTGATCTCCATTACCTTCCTGTCCATCGGCTATGGAGACATGGTCCCTCACACCTACTGTGGAAAAGGGGTTTGCCTGTTAACAGGAATTATGGTGAGATATGCAGACATGCAGTGAAAGATTATAACTAACTAACTAACTAACTAACTAACTAACTAACTAACTAACTAACTAACTAACTAACTAACTAACTAACTAACTAACTAACTAACTAACTAACTAACTAACTAACTAACTAACTAAGTAACTAACTAACTAACTAACTAACTAACTAACTAAAACATTGTGATTTATTTTTTATCTTTTAACCAAAGTTAGCTTTTTTCCCTTTTGCAGCTCATGATTCCAGTGCATTATTTATCCATCTTCAGTGGCAATGATAGAAATAGTGTGTTCTACTATTAACAGTGCAAAGCCTGCTCCAGAACAGCAGACTGCAGAGTTAACTGTGATGCTTTTCCTACAATGAGTGCATGAACACAGCTATGACAACATTTTTCCTCAGGGAGCAGGTTGTACCGCCTTGGTGGTAGCTGTTGTTGCAAGGAAGTCAGAGCTGACCAGAGCTGAAAAACACGTCCACAACTTTATGATGGATACTCAGCTTTACAAAAAGGTCTGTTTCCAAACACAAATGCACATTTCTGAGCCAGCAGTGGGTTTTACTTATGAGATCATCAGAACGGTGAGTGTGGGGTTTGCCAGATTTATGTCATAAGCAAGACAAATTCTTAAAGAGCAAGTCACCCCCTACCAGAGTCTTACACCACTCCCACTTGTTTGAAAAATGCAACAAATGCTGTGGCCTGGTAGACCGAGAGGGCGGAGCCGCTAATAAATACACACACAGGGTGTTTCTCAATGTCAAGGGACCTGGCCTTGCGAGGCGATGTCTTGCGAGGCCAGACGCCTTACTTACGAGGACACTGTCCTTCCTTGGTAAAAAAAAAAAAAACGGTTAAATGAAACAGACTTGCATCACATGACCGTGGCTTCCACGGCGGACACATAACATCACATGACACGGGAGACAACATTATATTTTATACGTATTAGTTTCAATATAAATATATAGCGAGGCTTTTACTTTTTAAATTGAGTATTTGTTTATTAAATCAAAAATATAAGTGAGTTACTACCCGCTAGCCACCAAAGCAGCAACTACTAAGCAACTAACCAACAATAGATAACTTCTTTGGATCTAAAAAAACATTTTTAATTAGTTGACTTACTTTTAAATTTAAAAATTATCCCCGAAGTAGCTGCCGGCTTCTGATCCGCCATCCTTTTGAAAATACTGCAGTGTATTATGGGTAATTTTTGACCTAGGCTAGGCTACAAGACACCTCTCGTGTTTCCTTGCTCAGCTAGCTAAACAGCTAACAAATGGAGAACACACGCCTTGGTAGAACATGAACATTGGAACACGTCTTGGCATCTCCCGATGATGTATCTCCTAGGCAACCGGGGCGGGGCCAAGACATCAAGGCAAGGTTCCTTGGCACTGACAAACACCCACAGGCTCACAACGACATTGTGACATCATAATGTACCAGCCAATGTCATAGTGTATCTCTCAGCCAATCGCGATGGCTGGTTGGAATTCAAATGCAGTGCAAAGTTTATACCTGAAGACGGCGCAGCACTGACAGTTTTACAAAGAATATTTAAATTTGAACTAAGATGCACAAAAGTGCCAAAGTATTGACTACATATGTCTACAGCATGATTAGACACTCATTTATATCAGCAAAGAAAGGTTGATTGGGGGTGACTTGCTCTTTAATGAGTTTTTGCATACTTTAAACATGAAGACAAACAATTTGCAGCACAGAAACATGACTTAAAGTACCTCATAATTTACCTATTTAGATAAAAAATACAGCAGCTAATGTACTGAGGGAGACATGGCTCATCTACAAAAACACCAAGCTGGTCAAAAAAGTCGACCATGCCCGCGTACGCCACCATCAGAGGAAATTCCTTCAAGCCATCCACCAGTACGTATTACTGTAGTCAAATTCAGCTTATAGAGTTGAGATACGTGCTTTTCTTAATGTTGTTAAGAGTAAAATCTGGAATATTCTTAAATTGGGTTATTGCTAAGATAAACAATTACCTTATTCATATAACTTTTGTTTGTTTGTTTGTTTACTTTAGACTGCGAAGACTCAAAATGGAGCAGAGGAAATTAACAGATCAGGCAAATACAGTTGCTGATCTTGCAAAGGTTTGTAAGTGCTGGGACATACTTTTAGATGTTAAATCAGAATTTTATTTTGAAGCTTCTTTTTTTTTTTGCATTGCGTTCATTTCACATATACCTTTGATTGTGATCCACAGGCCCCATTGTGACATTTTACATTTTTAGCTTTGTCTGCTCAATTATGATGTTTTCTATAGAAGAAATCGCAATTTACACATTAGGATGAAACCAGGCTAGAATCCAAAACTTTTCATATATACATGAAATAAGTAATGAAAAGGTTTGTGGCTAAGTGAAAGAGTGAGAATGACTTAAGCTATTATTCTGATGATGATCCAAACTTAAGACCTGCCGGGTTGTTGGACTTTCTCTCTGTTGCCCTCCAGACTCAGAACATGATGTACGATCTGGTGTCAGAACTCCAGCATCGGGCCGGAGAGATGGACAGGAGGGTTGTGGTTCTGGAAGAGAAACTGGACTCCATCATCCTGGGTGTGCAGTCACTGCCGGTTGTGCTCTCTCAAGCAATTGCAAAGCTTCAAAGGGACTTTCTGGATGAGTTGGCCTGTCGTGTTCATTTCCTGTCATCTTCGCTGAGCTCTGAATGCTGTTCAGCACCCCCCAAGCAACTTTATCGAGGATCCACCACACCAGAGACACCGTACAGCTGATAGGCTTGCATCTGAGATTTTTTCTTGTCCTTGTTTGATTTTGATTTCATTTTTTGAGAAGTTTCACTTGTTGAATCCAAAGGGTTTCTTTTTGTTTTCTCATCTTTTACTTTACTATTATAAAGCTTGGCTTTAGATGCAGCACATAACAATGCTTACTTTCATAGCAGTGATTTTCTCCTCTAATTTAAATAGAGCTATTTGGTATATTCTTGTCATCTCTTTTCAAAAAATACACAAAATAAAAATGTGTTTGTATCTGTTTGAGCACAGATTTTCATCTCAAATTCATTGTTTCATTTGGAGCCGATTCTTTTACTTAGCAATAATTCACCAAAATTGTAAACATAAATCTTTTATTACACTGAAGTCTATTGAACATTGAGACAGGTAAAAGCGGAAGTTAGTGCTGAAGCCAAACGTGTTTGGGAGTTGTTGACTACAACCACCACCATCTGTGGAATCGGGTTACTAATGTGTAGGAGCTAATCTCGCGATACCTTACCGAAGACAAGTCGCACCCACGAGAAATGCCTTTCGCGCGCTGACACTGAGCTCCAGTCATTCTTTTGATTGACAGCTCTGTTATCCAATCAGCATTCTACCCTAAAACGAAAGCAGCCAATGCTCAAGATGAGCTGTTTGCAGCAGGCGGGATAACGAAGTCTTGAAGAATAACTCATTGATCAATCTTCAACAACGGAAAGAGTTGGTTGTGCAGACCCTCTGTAGAACTTAATCGGGGAAAACGTTCACGTTTTTACCTTAAACGACAATTTATTGCTTCTATTTGGACGAACAAACAGGTAAACGACTTTCCGGCACGTTGTAATAACTTCAGAAAGTGTATTTTTGGTGAGTTCGTGGTTTACTGTACGCATTCATGGTGGGCGATGAACTTGACTGCTGTATATTATCTGGTTTTATATCTAGCACGGCTACATAATGTGAAAAACGTGTTTTAAGTTTGCTAGCTTTACGGTTTCGTTTCTTTCAGAGGATCAAGCAAAACGAAAATGCCATCTCTGACTTATTTACTTGTTTTTCCTGTTTTGTTAAGCCAATAAAAAAAGCTTACATTTTGTTTGCACATTTAAAAAAGCGTAAAGCAGATGAGCTAGCTGAAGTAGTGAATCACACGTTGGATGTAGTAGTAATTTTTTTTAGATGTTTTTGTTCACTGCCGTGGATTATTTCGACCTCAGCTGAGAGCGTCAAAGTAAAGCCAAGCAGCCGCCGGGCTTTTTATATCTGACTTAAGGGGACTTCTAAGCGGTACGTTGGTGTTTTGTATCTCAGCGGTAAAATAACCTTTTTTTCAGACCGACGCATAAGATGATATTTCACCGTGTTTTATTGTCAAGAAAGCGAAGGGAAGGCACATTGTTTGCTAGCGCTCCCTCGCGTCCGGATGTGCTTTTAAAAGTGCTGGGCGTGGCTTGGAGCTCAGTTTCCCGCACTGTATTTAAATCGGCCTCTTCCCTCCCTTTATGATAACGCTGATAGAGTGACAGCCCGCGGTATACAGTGCAAACAGAGAAGAGCGTGCTATTTCTGCTTCTGTGCAGCTGTTGGCTTTTCCTTTGGCTCAGATTGTGACTTTCACTCAATCAAACCTCTGACATGATTCAAAGTAAGATCTGAAAACATAAATCTGAACCTCAGGGCGGACAAAAGGTTGGTTTCAGATCAGCCTAGTTTTTGTTTTGACACTTAGATAGTTCACCTTAAAGTTTGGGGTGAATTTCCAATTTCTCAATATTTTTCTTTGCAGAGATCATGCTGTTTTGTCTTTAGTTTATTTATGTCAACAGTGATGCAAGAATAAAACAGAGCCCTGTTTGTCAGTTAGGATTAATTAGGCTCTGAATAAAAAGTTGCCCAGTGCTGCAGTTTGTTTGTTTACACAGGGCAGCTGCAATGTGGATCCAAGTGCGCACAATGGACGGGAAGGAAACCCATCGGGTGGATTCCCTGTCCAAGCTCACTAAGGTAGATGAGCTACGGCTCAAAATCATGGAGCTGTTCAAGGTGGAACCAGAGAGGCAGAGACTTTTCTATCGTGGCAAACAGGTGAGGTGCTCCAGAGGCACCGGTTGCTTTTGAGCACAAAACTCTTGGTATTTTACGAGTTTTTTTTGTTTTAGGCAATTACATTAAGACATTATGGTATTTTTGTGTATCTGTGGTTACTATCAGATGGAAGATGGCCATACCATATTTGACTACAGCGTGGGCCTCAACGACATTGTGCAGCTGCTTGTTAGGCAGGGGATGCCCCCTGCCGACGCTGTCAAGAGCAAGGACAAAGAAGCAGAGCTGTCTGACTCAGATTCTGGGTGCGGTTCAACACAGAGTGAGTCTGACAAGAACTCCACTCACGGAGAGGTCGAAGGTCAGACTGCTGGAACGTCCACTCAGACAAACACCTCCGAACTTGTCTACCCTGGATTTGGGTTTTTCAAGGTACTCCCCAAAGGTTATAGTCCATGCTTAATTGGTGTAATCATACAAACGTCATGTTGAAATCTAGATTTTTAATTTTCTCTAATTGTTTATGGTTTGTCCATATTTTTCACTGATCCAGGACAAGTTATAATTGGGACTAAAGCTTGTGTCTTAGGATCAGCTTGATCAATCTTTTATATCTCTGAACTCTGATGTTTTTAACTTTGTTTTCATCAGAGTGTAGTTCACATTTCAAAGACTGCACATTTCAAAAATAAAAAACCTGCCATCAGAGCTGTTCTGATGACACTGAACACATTAAAACATAACTTTCTTGTCTTGGTTAGTTACATAACTATATTTAAAGAGCAACTTGCCCCCTACCAGAGTCTTACTCCACTCCTACTTCCTGTTAGAAAAATGCAACAAATGCTGTTGCCTGTCAGACCGAGAGAGCTGAGCCGCTAACAAATACACAAACACAGGCTCACGACATTGTGACATCATAATGTACCAGCCGATGTCCTACCTCTTAGCTAACAGCGGTGGCGGATTTAAATTCAAATGCAGTGCAGACTTTTTACCTGAGGATCGCACAACACTGACGGTTTGGTTTTAGGCAGAATAATAACATTTTAACTAAGATGCACTTAAAGTGCCAAATTATTGACTACATGTGTCTCCAGCACGACACTTATTTATATTGTACTTACTTACATTTGAGTACTGATACGAATACTAATAAATATCATTACACTCCTGAAAATGAAGTTTTTAGGGATTCACGTTCTTTGGTCACATTAAACATAAATATGTTTACATAATATATAACTATTGTACATATTATAATTTACTGGCATAGAACCACACTCACCCCAGACCTGGATTTGTTACATTACCCGCCTCTTATGAAACCGATTAAAAGCTGAGGGGTTAGTTTGGAGTAAACAACGCCAGTATTTAACCCCGTTAAAACCTAATATTAGTAGCAAATACTTTTTTCTGGTAAGAAATGGCCACCAGTATGCTACAGCCTTACCCATTAAAAAAATCCCAGTATATAGATCTGGGTACCGGAAGAATTACGGACGCTGGAGGAGAAACACGTGATGAGATAATTTTGTAATATTGTAACATTGCTGCTGCATTGAAAAGTCAGAACAGGATTTTGCCCCTAGTGGTGGTTTGTTAAAGTATTCAATCCTATTGATCTCTCGCTCCATCTTTCTCTTACTTATAAACAAGGCCCTGAGACAAATAAACTCTTCCGTTTATTTTTTTCATTTTTTTTCAGCCTATTTAAGATGCATCATCGTTGCTGAGGGCTGTGCGATAAATTAAAATGTAGCTTATCAATGTTTCTGATGACAAAAGTTTTCCCATGTCAATAAGTTAAATAATAAAAAAACAAAAAGATGTGTGTAGCTTGGCAATGTTCATGTCCCTTTAAGAAGTTTCACCACCAATGTAATACACATGACAGCCCCATCTAGTGGACAACTTTTGTTTTTGTGCATACACGTAGTTATTGTCTATTGTTCTCAAGGGGAACTCCTCAGTATGTCGTGATGTTCATTTTTGGCCATATCGCCCAGCCTGAGCGTCTGTGCACAAATTAATACTGTCAGAGGGAATCGAAGCTCTTGTCAGGCTGAAATCTGGTCCTGTAGCCATGGAGCGCTCTGATGGGTACTTGTACATCACGTGGAATCGGACACACACACACACACACAGTGCCGGTATCTGCTCGGGTCCATCCCTATTTAATGCCATGTTTGCTTTTGGATGACCAACGTTTCAGTGTTTTTAATAGTATTAAAGGTTTTGAATGAAAATTTTCTCTAACTTTATGTTGTGATCAGTTAATTTTTCAAGTCAAATATTCTTAGAAAGTTAGGAAAGTTGTTAGTTGCTTATTTTTCTGGGAAAATGTTCACACTAAAATGTCTCTGAGCAGTTGGACAACTTTGTGTTCGTTTTCAGATAAATGAGCTGGTGGACGCCAGAGATTTAAACATGGGGGCGTGGTTTGAGGCCCAGATCGTAGAAGTTACAAAGACGCCTAAAGAAGAGGGGGCTGATAATAAACCAGATGATGAAGAGGAGATCTTGTATCATGTTAAATACGAAGAGTAAGAATCACTTTTCTGTTTCCTGTGACCTTTTATTATTGACCTGTTTTCAAATGGAAGTCATCTTGCAGAGATGTCCGATTTGATCATTTTCTCTATTTTTATTTGTAGCTTTTATCTTAAATTTAATTTTCTCTTTTAATTTTAAAATTTTCTTGTGTTTTTTTTAAATTTATTTAACTTTTTATCGTGCTTGTGAAGCCTCTTGTGATTTCTATCTTGAAAGGTGCTATGCAAAGAAAACTTTCTTCTTTCTATGTTGTGTTCAGCACTTCGGGCTACCTTGTTAATGGAAAACGCTTTATTAAAAAAGTTGGTGATGTTAATTATAGGGATGTCCCACTGCGATATCGATTTAGAAAGTAATCCAATATCACCCCCAAAACACCGTATCGGATTATATCGGACTGCATCAAAAATCTCCAATGTAAGCAGTCCGTTAAGCTTCGCATTTTTGCAACCAATGGTTAAAATATTGTCATTTTTTTCATACTTGAATGTTATTGGCTCTTCAAACCTTTCATACATTCCACACTGAAAAAGGTGAAAGTAAGAATGATTTGTGCTGATATTGTATCCGATTGATATCTATCGGTCAATACTGAAGGCTGCAATGTCTGTATGGTATCAGAAGTGAAAAAGTGGTATTGGGACATCCCTAGTTTATCACGTTTGTTAGGTGTTGCAATTTTGAAAGAAGAAAATTCATAATAAACATTTTTTAACTAAGCTAAAACTCCAGAAGTAAACAAATAGATTAAAAGATACAACTTGACCAACAAGAGATGGAAGCACACCCTTATAAATACCTACAGTCAAACCTAAAAGAATATTATTATTATTATTATAGTACAATCCCAAACAAGAGGACACATACTTGCAGTTAAACCTGGTAGACACATGAGGACATTGGAATAAATAAGTTGTTGTGCATGCGTCAGCTTTGGTTAAAAAAAATCAAAATGAACGTCGTTATCGGTCCAACACTGAAAGAGAAGCATTTATTATTTCATAGTAACTATAGTGATCTTTCTTTTTTCCACTTCTTCCGTTTACTCCCTCTTGCATTTTGAATTCGTACTTGCTTTATTTTTGGAAGTAACATTTATGTGATATAGCTGCTGAAAACCCACTCGGCCTCACAATCACTCAGACATTTTTGTGTGAAACGCCTGTGAGAACACGTGGCTTCTTCTCCTCTTCCTGATTATGTTCTCGCATCAACTGTCACAGCTACCCGGAGAATGGAGTGATCCAGCTGCTGGCCAAGGATGTTCGCCCTCGTGCCCGTACGGTGTTCGAGTGGGATCAGCTGGAGCCTGGCATGACCGTGATGGTCAACTATAATCCAGATGACCCCAAGGAACGAGGGTTTTGGTACGACGCCAAGATCCAGAGGAAACGAGAAACCCGTACGATACGGGAGGTTTACGCCCAGATCCTCCTTGGGTGAGGACACTTTTTAGCATTACACTGTCCAGAATCTGTTACGATGAGGTTTGTCCGGGAGTCTCCTCCCACTGTGACACCGACAGCATCTCAGTTTGTGTGGTTTGTAGTGCCACAACAGTTGGTTTAGTAGAAGCAGATTTCCTGCTGTGGTATCAGTGGGTTGCGCCATTGGAAGCAGAATGTGTCCCCGTGTCATAGTTGTGCTGAAGAGCCCTGACGTTTTTTTAACTGGCAGTGATGCTGGCGACTCTCTCAACGACTGCCGGATCATGTTCGTGACAGAAATCTACAAAATCGAGGAGCCCGGTTCTTCTAGCGACGCTCCAGCTGGAAGCGAGAGCCCGTTAAAGAGTAGGTCAAAGATTCTGGTTTGTTTGTTCTCATTGGTGTCGCTGGCTACTGTAAAGGCAGCTTCATCCAGTGCTGTTGTGTTAAAGCTTTTTGTATGTGATCTGCATCCCTTAGGATCAAGTGGACCTGAATGCAAGCACTGTAAGGACGATCTCAAGAAAAACTGCCGCTGGTGCAACTGCCACATCTGCGGCATCAAACAGGACCCCGACAAACAGCTGCTGTGTGACGAGTGTGACATGGCCTATCACACCTACTGTCTGAATCCTCCACTTACCTCTATCCCCGAAGATGAGGATTGGTGAGTCGTTTACTCGTGTGCTTCACATCAGCCGTCACATGGTTAAAGGCAGCATTTTGATTCTGATGGAGGCTATTATTACTATTGTGTTGCTGTCTGTGCGATGTTCGTGAGACTGACTTGCATTCACGCGTCTTGCTGCCTCAGGTATTGCCCAGGTTGTCGTAATGACTCCAGTGAAGTTGTCCTGGCTGGAGAGAAGCTGAAGGAAAGCAAGAAGAAAGCAAAGATGGCGTCTGCCAGTTCCTCTAGCCAGAGAGACTGGGGCAAGGTGGCGAAGCAGATTAAACCAGCGTGTCACATGTTGGGGTTTCTTGTGCACTACTTTGTCACTAAGGTCTAACAAAGGAAACTTTATTTTCCAGGGAATGGCGTGTGTGGGTCGAACCAAGCAGTGCACCATAGTCCCGTCCAATCACTATGGTCCGATCCCTGGCGTCCCCGTTGGCTCCCTGTGGAAGTTCAGAGTGCAGGTTTGTTTAATTCTGATGCGGATAAAAGGCATAAATGTATAAAATTATGTGTTTAAAATCTTTTTTTTCACTACAAATTTTTCATTCAACAAAAAAAAAAAATTATTTTTTTAAACAAACCACAAAGTACACATACACAACATTTCTGTACGATTTGGATGAAAAGGGCAGAAGAATAATCTTATATTTTCTGTCCCATTTATGAACCATAATTGCTCATCATAACGCGCCCATAGTCTCCTTGCAGACGACACATTTTCAAAGAGGAAATGGTAACAAAAATAAAGAAATAAGACTACCAAAAAAAATTTAAAAAGGAAAACGAGAATAAAGTCAAACCACAAAACATTCATAAATACCAACATTCTTTAATGAGATAAACGAGCCGTATAACAATTTACAAACCCTACTCTAGTTTTCATTTCCATAATACTTTGTTACCCTTGTTTTTGTACATTTTTGAATACATTCAGGAACTTTGATTCTTTTATGTCGGTGCTGAGGCTTTTCCAGAGTCGAACCCCATTTGCAGAAGTACTGACTTCCCTTATCCTAGTTCTGAGTCTTGGTTGGTTAAATATTTCAGATCCTTTCATCATATATCAACTAGTCCTCTTTTCAAACATTACCTGAATACTAATTGGTGTTTGCCTTAACTTTATACATTAATTGTAAAATTTTCCAATTAACCAAATCATGAACCTTCAGTCATTTATACTTGACAGATGATGGATTGGAGTGATCTCTGTAGCAATTGTTAACAATTCTCAATGCTCTTGTGGCCGAGTATGTTTTATATGTAGATCCCCAGATTTCAGCAGACATTAAATATGGTACAATCAACGAGTTATACAATGTCAGCAGCCCTGAACTATTCAGTAAAATCTTAACCCTAATCATATTTACTTTTGACGTAACCTATGTGTGACCTCCATGTGAGTGCTTCATTAAACATTACTCCTAGGAATTTGGTGTCTTTTACTCTTTGAATTTCCATCCAATCTATTTTTTTATTTTACATTTTTTGTCATTAAACAAGATGAAATAGTCTTTTCCAGATTCAATGACTGTTTATTTCAAACTGTTCTTTAACTTTTATAACTAAATTGCTTCCTTAATATCAGATCCAGAAAAGATAAATATATCAGCGAATAATCCAAGTAGCTTTGATACGTTCACAAGGTCATTAATAGGGAGTTCCCGATCAGGTTTTTTTGCCCTCGAGTCCGAGTCATTTGATTTTGAGAATCTGCCGATACCGAGTCCCGATTCGATACTTTCGATACATTAAAAAAAAGGAAGAAACGGTTCCAGAATGTTCCTTATTTTTTATTTAATTACCGTTTTATTTTAATTTTTAACCACAGATCACTTCTGTGAGATAGCTTGAACAATCAAGTAATAAATAACATAAATTCTTCACTTTTGGACGTTATTGCAAATATAAAAAAGTCTAATATAAAAACAGATAGCACTTCTACTTAAAATACCTGGCAGGGGTCTATTTTGCCTCGGCCCCCAAAATGCTTCGCTACGTCCCTGGGCATGGGACGGAGTTTTGAAGATGATCTGAATTGTATCAGCTATATAAATACTACATGCTGATAAATTATTACTTTATACAGGTAAAAACGTGTAGTGGGATAAATCTACTTACATTTTATTTTTTAAGAACTTTGTTTTCTTTTCTTGGTTTTTAGTTTCCTGTCTTCCTGTCCCGTCTGTCTCTGGTCTTCCTGCATCTCCCAGTCCTCCAGAAAAACTCCTGCCTGCTTCCTTCTTTTTCACCTCTCAACTAACTTTTTAACTAGCAGATCAAATTGATCTATTGACCGCAAAAAAAGCGGAGTGTGCGCTGCGCTGCCCGGCTGCGCCAGTGACGAGCGCTGCAGCGGGGGCAGCGTCCACACGTCCTGCTCAAATGCAGACAGAACTTACCAGAGAGAAAATGAACGGACACGAATGACTTTGTGTTAATTATATATTTTTTGGTGACACCACTTAGAAACTTGGAAAATGTTACTGTGGCCGTGTGCAGAACGCAGCTGGAGTTCATGAATGATCAGCGGTCTGCCTGCCGCTCTGCATCTCTGCTCAAAAGAATCTCCGCTACTCTGAGTCCATATAAATAATATAATATAGGTAGAAACTGGATCTTTTTTGTGCTCCTTCTGGGTGTGTAAGGTGAGGGCATCAGTGGAGCCTGACGACCTTTAAGGAGAACCAAGTTGCTCTCCTGTAATTTGAACCCAGTATCCAAGTCCGGGTCGGGGCTTGGATCGGGAAGTAAAGCCCGAGTGCCGATCAGTCAGAAACCACGTGACCGGGGCCGATTTCCGATCATGTGATCGGATTGGGACATCCCTAGTCATTAATAAATAACATGAACTGTTTTGGTCCCCAAACCGACCCCTGTGGAACTCCATAATTAATATTACACAAGTTTGATTTAATATCCTTTATCTGAAATGGTAAAATATAGGAAAGAAATTTCAAAGTTGAGACATTTGACACTGAATTTGATGCAGTCTGTATTAAATGAGTGAATTAAGTAAACACTATATTTGGTGTCTTACTAAAATATTATTTTAGGTCAGCGAATCTGGAGTTCACAGGCCTCATGTCGCTGGAATTCATGGCAGGAGCAACGATGGCGCCTACTCTTTAGTCCTGGCTGGGGGCTACGAAGATGATGTGGTGAGCTTTGTTCTCTAGTTTAAGACTTCTGGATGCTGCAGACAATCCAAGTAGTTCTGATGTTTACTTTATCTAACTTTTGTTTTCGTTCATCTGTAGGATGATGGCAACGAGTTCACCTACACTGGCTCAGGAGGCAGAGATCTGTCTGGAAACAAGAGGACAGCTGAGCAGTCATGTGATCAGACTCTCACTCACATGAACCGGTAAGATATTAGATGACTTAACATTAATGTCATCTTTTTTTAAATTTTTTTTTTATTTTATTTTTTTTTAACTTTTCAAAGATGATATAAATGTTTTATTTTTTTGCCTTGTCAGAGCGCTGGCTCTCAACTGCAATGTTTCTGTCAATGACAAACATGGAGCTGAAGCCAAAAACTGGAAGGAAGGCAAACCGGTCAGAGTCGTGCGCAACTGCAAGGGACGCAAACACAGTAAATACTGCCCCGAAGAAGGAAACCGATATGATGGCATATACAAGGTATAGTACAACATGGGTAGCTTCCTTTATGCATCATAGAAAGGATATAGCCAGTCAGTAAACGGTTATTATTTTGAGTATTATTATTTAGTTTCACTTGAACTCTTTGACAGGTGGTAAAGTACTGGCCAGACAAAGGCAAGTCTGGATTCCTGGTCTGGCGGTATCTGCTGAAGCGTGACGATGACGAGCCGGCGCCGTGGACCAGAGATGGCAAAGAAAAGATTAAAAAACTTGGGCTCACCATGCAGGTAGGGCACTTTAACTGTGTGTGTGTGTGTGTGTGTGTGTGTGTGTGTGTGTGTGTGTGTGTGTGTGTGTGTGTGTGTGTGTGTGTGTGTGTGTGTGTGTGTGTGTGTGTCTCAGAAGGCTGAACAATAACCTGTAGAATAATTAAAGTCATCATGCTAGAGCAGCTTTCTCTGTGGTGGACCACACCAACTTCTGCCACAATAAATCACACAACGTTGTAAACATTTTAATTTCCTTTCTGAACTATTTCTGTTGAGAGTTTTAATGTTTAAAATCTGTTAGATTGTTACTGACAGCAGCTACATTTAAGTTTCACCTTCTGTTCTGATTGAATGCTGCTGCAGCATGGAGGTGATCATCATGAGAGTTTCAGCTGAAAACAGCTGGACGTTTCTGGATATGTTGGAGACATTTAGTCTCTCATCCCAGAGGCTGCTTCCAGACTTTGGTTGTGGTCAGAAACAAACACACTGGTTGTGCTGCAAGTCTTTTTCTGTTTTTCTCCAAAACATGTTTTTGTCTGACTGAAGGTGATGTTATTGTTCATAGAATTAAAATTCATGTTGAAGTTAAGATTATTTCATCAAGCAGGACCTGTGGTTAGCTGGCTCATGTAAAGCATGTCATGTCTTCAAAGAATTGAAATCGGTAATCGATAGGAACTGGAGTCAAAACAAGGAATTGGAATCGGAATAGTTCAAAATCAAACGATGCCCAACCCGACTCACCTGTTGGTTGAGGCAGTTGCGGCTCAGTACGTTGTTAATTGACGCACCAAATAGCCAGTGAAACTCGGGGAAAACAATCTTTCACTTGCAGATCACAAGGGGTCTGCTTTTGCAAAACTCTGTAAGAACGATTGTGAGTGGTGAATCGCTGCATGCAGAGCATGTCAGATCCACAAATGTCTAATAATCACCTGCACAAATGCCCATCGTCGTTTGCTGGACTGATGAATTTCCATTGGAAAAATTTTAATTGTTGCTCAATCTTACTTGAAAACCTGCTTGCTTTTAACATTCATTTGCATAATAGTTTGGTTGTAAACGGGTCATGTTGCCTTGTCTTCGTAGTATCCTGCTGGCTATCAGAAAGAGAAGGAAAACAAAAATGAAGTGGAAGAGGAAGCAGCAACACCCAGCAAGGCAAAGAGGAAGAGAAAATCTCAGGGCAGTGGTATGTTCTTTGGCTTATTAGCATGGTTTATTATTATTATTTTATTTTTATTCTTGAGTGGTTATTTTGCTTGTTTCATTTTTGCAAACACCATGTATCGTAGTGAGCAAATGTTAATTTTGACAAGAAACTTTAATTTACTTTTAGTCTTAATTGTTTGACTACAATTCTTTTTGTTTTAGTCAGAATTGAGTTGTCCCAATTAGTTTTAATTGAATAAATTGTATTTTTTCGGATGCAATAATTTTCTACTTCTGTAAAGGGAAATGTTAACTACACTTACTTGAAACTGTAAAGAATTATGAAAAGTTCACATTTCACTCTATAAAATCGATAAAACTTGATATTTTTAATAAATATTTATAATTCTTTTAAAGGTGCATTATGTAGAAATAAAGTAAAAATGACATCCTGTGGTAAAATTTGGTTACTGCAACCACTTTAAACAACTGGAGCTTTTTGCCTGCAGCTGTCAAATTACAATTGTCTGTGCTGCAGTATTAGCTCACAGGAGACACGTCACCCACACACTAGTGTTGTCAAAAAAATCGATACCTAGATATAAATCGATACTAAAAGTGGTATCTAAATGAGATATTCCATCCCTGTGGTATCGATATTATGGACTATTATACACAGCCTTCTTCAAGTACACCGACACGCACGACAGCCAGATGCCGTAAAGCAGACTCCGCCTCCCAGACAAACAGAAGAAGACGCCGCCGCATGGCTACATTGCAATTTCCCACGCGAGTTGTCTCCGATCCAAGCTTTGTCTGCCAAATAAATAAATAAACAAAAACATAAACGACGAATTTGGGAGGCGCTTCACAGCCCAACTTAATTAGCATACCAAGTCCGACACGTAGTTGTATATTCACGCTTATATGCTTAAAGGAAACTCCCGTTTATTGCAACCCAGACTTAATTTCTAGCATGCAGTACGTTTGTTTACTCACGCTGACAACTTTGGTGCTACTTGGATCCCCCGGGGTATTTAGATCCATCGGTGACGCAATTTGCTGGGTTCCTTATATAGGAAACTTTTTTCTGATTGGCTTAATGACCTGACCTGTACTGGAATTTTTACTATGTGAAGTGCCTTGAGACGACTCTTGTCGTGATTTGGCGCTTTATAAATAAACTTTAATAATAGATTTGAATCTAAACTCACTCTGGTTTTAGATTTTTTATGTTTGCTCCTCTTTCCTTGTTCTCTATTCTGAGAATAGTAATGACATCTTCCGCCATTTTCTACTGTGCCATCCCCTCTGTGCCAGCAGACTGTTTGGCAACCGGCAATGGTGCCTTCTATTGGCTGGTAGATGTAAACATAAACCCAGTGCCAGTCAAAATAAATATTTCATTAGTTTTTTTGTTAAAATTTCACTTAAAAAAATTCTGTACCTTCATTCTGCACACCTCCAAATGCCCCGTGGAGGTATAATTTTTTTTTTAAATAGCTTTTCATTAAATTGTTCCATATTCAACCTTTAACAATGTGGTGAGACTGTTTTTGTTTGAATTCGAAAGTGTTTACTTATGTGAAAGTAGTCATAAACTCTGGGTCCAGGTGGGTTAAAATAAAAACATGTGGTTTAGGATTATATTACAATGTTTTCTTGGGTTCTTTCAGAATCTCCCAAGACCTCACCTGCCAAGTCTCTAAAGAAGATCAAAGTGGAGGTTTACAAGCTTTCACACGAGCAGAAAACCCTCATAAAGAACGATGAGCAGAACAAGAAGCTTTGGGACGAAGCCATGGGGTCGCTGTCACTTGGGCCGGTGCGATTTGGTTTTCTCTTCATTCTCTCAGCTTGATGTTGATGCATCAAACCACCATGAAATTATCCTGATTGTAAAATCTTTGTTAGTGGAAGTTTCTGATTTTAAAAACTACTCTATACTGAGACTTGTTTTAAAATAAACCAATTCATTAGATTTAACTATTAAAGCAAGATCCCATGTTTATAATTTTTGTCTTATTTCTACAGAAATTCTTGAACAAAGTAGAAGAGGTGTTTCTCTGCATTTGCTGCCAAGAAGTGGTCTTCCAGCCCATCACCACAGAATGCCAACACAATGTCTGCAGGGTAAGAAATATACGCAAACACTTTTATTTTATGACATAGGAGGTTGTTGTAAAGGGTGGTGGGACATACTTTTGGAACTCGGTAATCTTTACAATTCTCCTCCTTAGTTAATTTATCTTTGTTTGCACTTTGCGGAAATTTGTGGCTGTTGAAAGTTCTCGTAACTAGTGTTCTAAGGTTTTTTAAGTTCATACTTCGTAGTAAGAACTTCCTTAGATACTCAATAGGAAGCTTGATCATTGATTAGTCCAATTATAAGTACAGGTCGATTGCTCGGACAAGTTAAGCTTCCCCAGCACCTGCCCTTGTTCAATTCAGTTCAGTTTTTTTAATGAAGCACCAATTCACAACAAGTCATCTCAAGGCAATTTATAAACAATCAAATCAAACTCATTTATCGGTGCCTTGGGTTCAGTTTATTATTTCAATAAAAATTATTTTTATGTAAGAAAACCCGGCAGATTGCAATTTCCACTTGTATATCGCCTTTCAGAGTTGGAGGACTCCAAAGTGCTTTACACTACAGTGCATCATTCATCCATTCACGCACACATTCACACCCTGATGCTGATGAGCTACAGTGTAGCCACAGCTGCCCTGGTGTGCACTGACAGAGGCAAGGCTGCCAAGCGCAGGTGCCATCAGACCCTCTGACCACCACCAGCAAGTGGGTTAAGTGTCTTGCCCAAGGACACTGCAGCAGAATTCTCTGTCCAGAGCCAGGATCAAACCTGCAACCTTTGGATTACTGGACAACCCGCTCTACTTCCTGAGCTACTGCTGCCTTATTTCACTAAAATCTTTTTATGGAAGAAAACCTGGCAGATAGCAATACCCATACTAAGCAAGCAGTGAAGAGGGAAGAAACCTCCAACTAAACCTGGCTGATGAACTAGTAGAAGCACTTGATATGTTAAAGAAAGCAAATATCAGGAGAGGGAGAATGTTCAGTGGTTGGCGGTAGTGTGCCAGCCAGCTGCTTCCTCTTGGAGGTATCAAAGTTCAGCAGAATACCAGACTAGACGCCAGATGTCAAAGTAAAGCAACAAGGCTGTCCAAATTAGAAAGCTACTCAAATGCATCCTTGCAGGACTTGCCTGGTGCATCTCAATCCAGTTGAGGTGGCTTGGGGCATCTGATTAGGATGCCTCCTGGACCACTCCATGGTGAGGTTTTCTGGGTACGTACAACTGGAAGGAGGCCTAAAGGAAGACCCAGGACACGTCGGAGGCACAGTTGAGGCTGATTCATGCTTCTCCATCAGCTCTGCAAGGGACAGACACGCACGGATTGACGGAAGCGTTTTGCTCTCATACTTCTCCGTCTTCTGGAGAGTGTTGCAAAGCAATTCTCCGGCAGGACAACAGAGGGCGTAGCGCTGTTCTGTGGTATCCTGTCATGTATCGGTCCAAGATAGTGTGTTTATATTGTTTTTTGTATATAAGAGACTTTTTAACACGGACAAATTTGTCTCTCATTCTCCTCCACCTCTTCATGCTCGCCACCTCTAAACCCACGTTTCCTGTCATTTCCATCCACAAATAAAACACTTGCTGCGTATCTTTTCACTCATCCAGTCACACTTAAATGCTCATATTTTAGAGTTTTTTCGCGAGGTGTTCTTCAAGCTGCTCCTTGTCTGCCGCTAGTTATCCTCGGCTCTGTTTTTGTTTTTGAAGGCGCAATAGCGGCGGTGTAGACGACAGCGGTGCCCTGACCAATCACAAGCTTGCGTTCTCCGTCTCGTTCGACGGATGTTTAAAAAAAGTGGGCTCGACTCCGTCCGTACTTGCGTGCCTGCCGGGGCCCTACGTCAGGACAGACAATGGCGTTGAGTGTCTCCGCACTGGCGCAGACGGAGAGGCATGAATCAGCCTTTACTCGGCTAAACTTCAAACGCTAAAGAATTCCCCCTGGAGAACTGGCCCAAGTGGCTGGGGAGAGGGAAGTTTGGGTCCTTGCTCAAGCCGGGTGTACACTGTGTGATTTTTGGAGCGTTTTTAGCCGATTTTGCTCACATTTAAGAATCTTTGAGGTTCAAGCAAGTTTTGCATTGTGTAGTTTTACAGGGGGGTTACGAGAGGCGGTTAACACCTCATGACCAGCTCCTGATTAGCAATCATACGGTCGCAGGAAGATAAAACATGTTTGACATTTTGCTCGTTCCTCGTGAGGGTATTGCACTGTTGAAGCAGCGCTGCAACCCGGAAGAATCGCCCTCACTGCACACCGGAAGCATCAGCGGCTTAAACGTCATTACAAACCAGCTGCGACGTGGAAATTTCCAACACATCCCAGAAGCAGCGCACTGCGCCGCTAAAGATGGGATTGAGTTTTATTTTTCCTCTGAGCCGCTTCTGGAATGACAGGAAATCACATGGTTTTAGTGCAACATCACCGATGATCTTCAAAATAAAAGTTGCAGCAATGCAATTTGATATACATGAAGCTTAAGTGTGACCCAACGACCTATTTACTCACAGCGTCCTTCCAGAAGTTCAGCTGTTTTCATGGCTTTAAACCTGGCAGTGGAGAGGAACAACATCCTATATGACAGGAAACAACGACGTGATTTCCTTCTTTTTGGTTTAATGGCAGATTATATAAACAAACCGTAACCTTTGAAGTCTTGAGGGATTATTTGATGGCAGCATGGCAGAGAAGCCGCTTTGCTGCTGAGACTCGGTGTGAAATCGAGTGCAGTGATTGTCGCAAGTAAATTGTCCGCTGCCGTTTCACGCCGCCGATGCTTTCAGTGTGCAGCTAAGGTCAGAAACACTCACAGCTCATGCGCCAACCCGGCTCTGCTGTTTTGTTTTTTGTTTCCACACACATTGTTTCTTTTAATTTATACACTTTGCTCCACACACAATGACAAGGATTATCGAGAAAGAGTGTTTTCCATGTTTACTTAAAGTAAAACGAATCTCGGAACATTGTTTACGTCCTTTCTTTTGTCTTCCTTCTCCAACCCACATAAAGCCCTGCGTGTCCTCTTATGGCAAGCTTAAAGGATAAATGACATGTCGATAACCACAGAAAGTCTCCAGGTGTTCGTGGGATTTCAGACTCAAAGGTCTGACGTGTTGCTACCAGACGTACAATGTGAGCAGTCCGGTCGCACATGACTTGTGAGCATTGCTCCGTGAGGAAGTCTTACATTTTAGATGGAGCCGAATGCTACGAGTAAAAGCATCACACAGTGTACACTCGACTTTAGGCTGCTTTCCCGGTGACCCAACCCCGAATAAGTGGAAATGGATGTATGGGGTGTATTCTCAGGGGCAAAGGCTATCCCAAGATTCATTGCAAGCCCAACTGGAGATTTTTTTTAATTGTAATAATGGTGGACGAAACAAGAGAGGATTACAGTTTTAAAGTTTACATGTTAATGTCTGGTAATAAAACAACAGACTTGGAGGTTGTGTTTTTGAAAACTGTTTTCGGCTGTGTTGATTTAGGTGTTTTGGCCGAAAATGCACTTTTGGGCCAAAAATTCCTCAGTGCATCCCAAATTTGTTGTATAAACCTGAGAGGTTCCCCGAAGAAGCTCATATGGCAGGTCCAGTTTTTCTTCATGTGTTGCTGTTTAAGTTTAGTTTTAATTTATGTTTAACGCTGTCACTGTTGCTAGGCAACAAGATATACACTGAAAGTTGGGCGAGAAAAAATATGAAGCATGGCCGTCTAAATTTGGTCTTACTTCTGGGTCAAGCTGCTGAGGATGGACCTGACCTACGTGGCCTGGGCAGGACGCATCCCTACAAGGGATGCTACTCTTGAATTTGGACACGATCGTAGTCACATCAACACAAGCTGATGCCTAATGAAAATACAAATGTAAAACACAAATAGACAGAACAACGTCTTCTCCCTTGGTTGTCTTTTCCAATTCCTTCAAAAATTTCTTTTGCCATCTAAAGTAATTATGTTCTTTTCTCTTTAGGAATGCCTCCAGCGGTCTTTCAGGGCAGAAGTGTATACCTGCCCAGCCTGCAGACACGATCTGGGCAAGAATTACCCCATGTCTGTGAACAAACCACTGCAGGACATCCTAACCCAGCTTTTCCCCGGGTACAGCAACGGGCGATGATCGCCACTCCTGCCTACTCTGCTCTCAAGGAAGAGTGAGGAAAACTGTAAGGGGCATTTTCACCAAGGGGCAATAAAGAGTCCGTTCCTCCTAATATATTTTTGTTGATTATAAAGCTACAATATTTGTGAGCTACAAAGCAACAGTTTTTACTGTTAATCAGCCATTTTGTACCCATTAGTGACAAATTGAGAATTCTGAACTAAATTTACAATTACTCAGTTAATGGCTATTTTGGTTCTTGCTCAGTGTTTTGTCCTGGAATTAATGTCTGTATTTTAAACAGTGTTTTCCCATTGTTTTAGACCTTGGGTGGATATTTTTTAAAGTCTAAAGCAATTTGGTGGTTTCTCAGACTTTTTTTTAAGCTTTTATATAAGAATAGAATCTCCTTTTTCTTTTTCCACTATTGTGGTTTTAATTCATTATCATTTGGTGGCTGCTGTCCAGGAAGAATAAAGCTAATGAATGGCTGAGAGTTGTATTGGGTTTTTAGATTGAAGTTGTATCAATGTGGTAAGAAAACAAAGGGTACCGCCTCCATAAAACATAAGCCAAATGTACAAACGCGAACCGTTAGTTTGGCCATCTTAGAAGTGTCTTATCTGAAACGGTGTCATCAAACGTTGCTTTTAAAAATATATTTCTTTTACACATATACTGGTTTCCCAAAGGTTGCTGGTGTTCTATTTTTTTTTCTCTTGTGATTTGTATATGGAGTTTCTGAAAGTTGATAATTGTTTTATGAATTTTATAACATGTTGATAACCCTTTGAAAGGCAGTAGATTGAAAAGTAAATTTTTAGATTTCCCCTTTTTTCTGAGCAGTTCACATTTAAATAGTCCAAAGATACTGGCGCTTAACCAAGACTGTAAATTAGAAGTCCCTTTTATCTAGTCCTCTATATGTTGTCCCTAACACTTGAACTTAATTAAGCTTAGAAACTTAATTTGTATGTTAAAAGATGAAAAATTTACTTTTTCAACTTTTATCAGTTGTTTTCTTCTCAGTCGAGAGTCCGGTCTTTGGTTAATATTTGCATTTCAAGGTAATTAAATACACATGCTGTCTAAAATTTAACATTCATCAAAACTGAGCTCCACGTCTACCCTTTTCCATTACTGTTTATTGAATATTTTTTGTTTTGAATTTCATAAACCAGTTGAACCTGTTCATGTGTTACAGGACAAATAATTGCATATACAGGGAAATGTATATTTTCCGAAATTGTATAATTTTTGTAGACCGTTTTAGATTCCATGTGTAGTTTTAGGATTTCTTGCACATATTTGCAAAGATTTGTCAACGCGTTTTCAGTGTTCAATAAAAAAGTTGGCAAAAAGAAATTGAGTGGTGTCGTTTGGAATGAGAAAATGTGACAAAACGAATAACTGGCTTTATTTCTCAGGATACAAATATTGATCGATCTTGAACTGAAATATCTTCATTGATGTGTAATTTGAAGGTAGAAACCCACCTTCACTTCGAGATCGTATGAGGCTCGTAAAGGAAAAGAACACGTACAATTACTGACGTGTGTGTGTGAAGTGTAACTGGAAAAGCCCCACTTTGCAGAGGATTTTGTCTGCAGATCATTACCAACCTTGGCAAGCGGCATTGAGGACGTGCATATAGTGTACAAGAACCTAATATGGATTTTAGGATTGTGATTGGTTAGCTTATGTGTTCGTCACTGAATAGCCCAATCACGTGAGAGAAATCTTTTCCGACTGCAGCCATCAGCCACACTAAGAAGCCAATCACAAAGCTGATGAAGAAGGTGGGCGTCACCTACAAAACACCCTCATCTAGCAGCTAGCTCATGCTAGAAGAAAAATCGATAGGGGGTATTTAATAACGAAACCAAATCGTTTGAGCAAAATTGAGAGAACAATATTCTCCTGCAGGAGGTAAGATTATCGAAAAGGTTTGATATTTGTTTGCAATTTCAGAGTCAATTTCGTCGTTTGATGGTGATCTGTGTTCTTTCGTCGCGGTGTTGTTTTTTTTCTTTAAATGGAAGACGTGAAGCACTTAGCTCGAGGCTAGCTGGTGTTAAAACACGGTTAATTGTACTTTTAAATATCAGAGCTGTTTTGCACGTTTTCGGTATTTAAGAAATGAATCGTTTGAACTGGTCGTCAAAAAGATTTTACAGTTGAGGTCTGTTTGTTTCTGCCGCTTTCAGTTCCTTGTCATTTGGAATGCTAGCACAAATAATGTCAGCTGTGCAAGGCTTAGGCTAGCATCGCCGATAGCGAGTAACATCCCCCCACTACTGCTGCTACATTCAACTGAGAACCTTTATTTGCACCATCACAGGATTCTAAAACATGTAATAGTGTAATAAACACACGTCACCAGTAAGTTAGGGACAGTAACGTAGCACAGAAGAATTGCCGTCAGGCCTAGATCCGTTAAAGAGTCAATTTAGGCCCTTTTTGTTGTGGTTTAGATAGCTGGGGTTTATGTGTCCTTCCTCCTTCCACGCTATTAGTATGCCAGCCTGTTTTGTGAACATGGATTTTTTAAGAGAGTGTCTGTCAATCGTGTCATTTTTATTTGCATTACTTTAAAACGTTTTACAGATCTTCATCTTCGTCTGTATACAGTACTTAAAACCAGACTTATTTTTTTCTCTAGCTTGTGGCATGGATATTTATTTCTTTTAGATTTTTTTTTCAACTCTATTCAAATGGATTTAAAACTGTAGTCCAAATTTGCCTGGCCTTGCCCTGCACCAAAGTAGGAAGTCATCCCACAACCAGAGCTGTTTTGTTTGAAAGACTGCAGGCAGTGCCGTTTCTTTTTAGATTTTGGAAGTTTGTTCAACTTAATAATACATTCCACAGTATTTGTGACTTTTCTTAAACGAATAATTAAAATGTGTTTTCTATCTGAAGTTATAAATGATAAGTGCAAAATTTAGGACCTTTGTCTCACTCTGTGAGGCCATTTTGACCAAGCTTCACTTGTTGACTGGTTTTTCATTTATCTGTACAGCAATGGGGTAATACAGCAAATTAACACACACAAACACACACTGCCTAAATGAGCCACATAAAATGGCAAAAACCTGCAAACAAGAGTTTTCAGTTTGTAGAAACTTAAATCAAGGACACCACATTTTATGCACAAGTTCAGAACCACAGGACTACAGCTTAGGACTGGATGATATAGAAACAAGGAAATTTGATTTTAAAAAGTTCATACATGAATAATTATTGAAACTATCAAAAAAATTAGAAGATGCACTTTTAAGCGCACCCCTGGCCTTTTTATGCTATCCCTTAATTAGCTGCGTTCAACAAAGAACACCAAAACACTGAATTCAATTTAATATGTCAGGTAAACATAAATTTAAGGAAAAGATAGAATAGCGATTGTTTTTATGTTTATGTTTATTTATTTGGCAGACGCTTTTATCCAAAGCGACTTACAATTTATAACCTATAGGGCATGTTGTGATCTGTGGCGGAAACCGGAGTACCCGGAGGAAACCCACGCATGCATGGGGAGAACACGCAACTCCACGCAGAAAGGCTGCAGCCGAGTTTCGAACCTGCAGCCTTCGTGCTGCGAGGCAACAGTGCTAACCACTGCGCCACTATGCAGTTTTTCTATCAGAAATGGTAATTTCAGTTTGATTCCCGGTTTTCTTCAAATCAAGGTTCAGCACAATATTCGCTATTGTGATATTCTTCTAGCCTAGCAAGCCATCCTATATATGTGAATATATAGTCTGGCCATGACCTACAAGCCTCTTTTAGAAAACAGTGTTGCAAATTTACTGCAACGTCGAGACGGAATCAGGGATCCTTAGGTCGTTTAAGTGGTCGGAGCATGGCGGTCAAGAATAATTACACAATGGTGGTATAAAGGGGTTATAGGGGCAGTCTCTGCGCTGCCGTGGACTTCTGTTTATCCTGGATATAACTTGCTTTTTATTGTTATCATTAAGTTTTTGGGATGAGCCACTCCTAAATGTGTCTGTGCTCCACAGTTCCAGTTTAATGTGATCTCCAGCTATTAACAAAGAGAAGCTCTTGGAGCTCTGCATCGCTCCAGCTGATTCTGTTAACAAAAGCCAAATTTATTGCCCATGTTTACTTTCATTTTCAATATAGTTGCTGGCTGGAGCTCTGCAGTAACATGTGATTATGACACCATCCTCTGTTGCGCCAAGGTGTAATATGTAGGGCTGAAACAATTCCTAGAGTACCTCGAAAAATACCAGTACAAAAAAATCCTCGAGTCAAATTCTCTGCCTCGAGGCTTTGTTTAATTCATGTTTAATTGTTTTGCAATCGCCTGGGGTCATGTTTCATTTCTGCAAGCAGACTCTGAGCCTCTACAAGATAATGCATTTTAGCCTGTATTTCTATATATTCTGCAGACACTGTGCGACTTTTTCATTTGTAGCACTCAGTTTCAGTTCACAATGTGCGTCTGCTAGCAACACGTCGGACCTAAAAATGTGCTAAAAATAACAGTTTTTACACAATGCTTCGGACTTTTTATTGTGTTGTTATTGATGACTGTTGTCCCTCGGGATTGCTGCAGGAGGACAGAGGTATTTATGAGAGTGGCGGAGGAAAACGAAAGAAAGTAAATAAATGTTGTGTGATCAGTATAATTTGACATGACCACGGCAAACATGCTTTCTCGACAATCCTTGTTATTGTGTGAGAAAAAAAGTGTAGAAATTAAAACGGACGTGTGTTAATAGGGAAATAGCTGGCGAGCCATGTTTGCGCATGCGCCGTGAGCAGTTCTGGTGCTGTTTGGGCCGCAGCCGCTTGCAGCCCTACTTCAACAGTTATCCTCCTTGTTTTTGTCTGGCATGCCAGGCTAGTAGATTCTCGCACGAGTGGAACATCGGCTCAGGTTGTATACTTATTTTTTGCACAGGCATTTGTTTACTGTGAAGTAAAGTTGAAGTGCTGATGTTTTGAAAACTAATTTTGAATAAAACTTGAAGAATAACTGGCAATTGCTTGCTCATTTTAAGAGGTCTTTCATATTTTATAACATGCTATTTGATATAATGGTTCACAAACACAAAAGGGTAATTTATTAGAGTACTGGATTAGTAGATAAAAGATTCGATAGAGTACTCGATTACAAAAAATATTCGATAGCTGCAGCCCTAATAATATGCATTCACAAGTCTGGTGTTGCGGCAATATCACCGCCAAGCAAGGCAACACGAATGCCGGAAAATTCCCACAAGGCTATGCCACCATGGCATATTCATCAGCCACACTTTTGTTCAGCAGTATTACATAGGGTTGTCACGGTGTGAACATTTAATCTCACAGTTATTGTGACCAAAATTATCACGGTTTTCGGTATTATCGTGGTATTTTTTTAAACGCGTTACATTTTCAGACAGCTAAATAAACCCTGTATATCAGGAAAATATTGTCCTCAGTTTGTGTCTAAATTTGGCCTAAAATGTGTTGTAATTATGTTGTTTATTTGTTTACATTTTTCCCCTTTAGTCTTTAAAATACCAATATTTGCCCATAACTTTTTTTTTTTCTGTTTGATGTCTTCATTTTAAAAATATTAGACCAGATGATACTCAGTACTCAAGTAGCCTTCTAATCAGATACATTTTTTACCCTTACTTGAGTAATAAACCCTATATCAGGAATAATATTGTCTTCGGTTTGTGTCCATCCAGTGCGCTTTGCAGATTTGGGAAAATGTAACCAGTGAGTGCATTTACATGTAGCCAGTAACCCTTTTAAAACCCGAATATTCACAATAACCCGGTTCCGCAGGTCCATGTAAACACCGCCAAAAACCCGGATATGCTCATAACCTGGGGTAACCCTTTTCTAACCCGGATGTTTGGTCGTGTAAACGCATATCGGGATATCCCCATCAAAGCGTGTGTTCTGTGCATGCTCTGTTCGCAAGGAATCTTGGTCTTTTGAGTAGCGAGACGTCTTGTATGCGCCAGAACACCGGAAGTAAACAACAAGTTGGGAGCAACATGGCGAGTCGCGGCGCAGTACCACACTTTTGGAGTGACGAGGAAACTAAAGCGCAAACAAACGCGGTCGCTATCTCTTCCAAACTGGGAAACATGTTGTTGTTTTCACGGATACCGGAACAAGAAGAACCAGAAATGACGTATATTGCGTCTGGACGTAGTCCATACGTCCTGATGCTACCCCAACGTCCGCATTTACATCGGGTCATGCAAGTTAGTGGTAACTCTTTCTATTTATGCTTGTAAACGGGTTATTCTGATAAACTCAGAAACCCGAATACCGACCTTAACCCGATCATAACCCGGATATTGGCTGCATGTAAACGTAGTCACTGTTAAATTCATAATTATTCTCGGAGAGAGACCAACTCTTATCTGCCCCTGGGAGCCCTGTAATGCATAGATAGCGTCATTTCAATATGGGGGTGTCCGCAACACGGTTTATATGCAGGTAGCGGGCGTTGCGGCTGCTTTATATAGCGACTCGTTGCATTCTCCCTCAACCCAAATCCTCGGATCACGCATTTTAGCTGAAACGCTAATGTTAACTTGCCTTACGTTGACTGCAGAGTTGTGGGTGATGGTCACACAGATGTGTCATGAGATTTGAAGCGTTGCTGCCTTTCACACTTTTCCTGCACGTGCTGCAAACAGGATAGCTGTCTTCTATCAACTGTCCCTCGGCATTCTTCAAATATTCAAAAAATGCCCATACTTCCGACTTTGTCTTTTTTGGGGGATAATAAATGTCCTGAGCGCTGCCGTCTCCTTCTTCGGCCATTATTTCAGCTTTAGCTTCAAGAAAGTTTAGGTTGTAAACAACAAAGCGCGCATATGCCACCGGCAACTTCAGCAGATGATACAGTGACTGGTAAGGGTCACCGCGCCTACACCACAGCCACGGTAATCCACTGAGATAATATATTAAAAACAAGTTGGTTATTATTATTGTCAACTTTTTTACCGGGGTTTACCGCTACACCGGTTACTGTGACAACCCTAGGTTTACACTGATTTGCTGGAATGGTGTGTCTTGTGAAAAGGGCTGTAGTCAGTCGTAGGACGGTATCTATGGTTGTCTTTCAAACTTTCTCCATAGGCTGTTGGACAATAAACAATGTGACGTACTCACCGCTACGAACGTCAGACAACAGGGATGTCCACCATTCACTGTTGAAAAAGATGCAAATATAACATTTTTCTAAATAAAGAACTTAAGTTCAGTTCAATTCAGTTTATATATACATATATATATATATATATATATATATATATATATATATATATATATATATATATATATATAAAGTACCAAATCACGACCAGGGTCGTCTCAAGGCACTTGACAAAGTTCCAATACAGGTCAGTTCATTAAGCCAATCAGTAAAAAGTTTCCTATACGTATAAGGGAACCCAGCAAATTGACTGGTGGCAATGTCTTTATAGCAATCCTCATACTAAGCAAGCATTTAGACACGCGCACACACGCACACACGCACACACGCACACACACACACACACACACACACACACACACACACACACACACACACACACACACACACACACACACACACACACACACACACACACACAGTGTTTCTATGACTACATTGTATCTGAAAGCCATTGTACTTCTATCTGTGCTTGACTGAAAGGAAAGCCCAAGCCTAAATAATCCAAAGTTAATGCCAAAGCAGTTTCAAATGAGCCGTCGCCATCTTAGTTTTACTCAGTCGCAGTAACATCCCACCTACCAAACTGAGGCCCACAAAACCAATGGAGTGCTGTGATTGGTCAGCCACCAGACTGAGCGTGGCTAGACCGAGATGCAGAGCTAAATTATTTAGCTTCTGCTAATTTCCATCTAGATTTCTGGGCAAAAATTCTCCCATTAAGAAAAATAAAATAATAATAATAATGTTTAATGTGTTTGTGATTTTTATCAAGAGGTGCTATATATATATAACTTTCTTGTTGTCCTTGCTCTAATCTAATAATGCTAGGAGGAAAAATTGGGGGTAAAACTTAGATTTTAAAATATATTTATTGACAAAAAACTGGACGTTTTTCTGGACCACCTGATTTGTCTTTTTTTTTCTCTCACAAAACGCCGCTTATTGAACTCTGCACAAGCAGGCGCAAAGCAGAAAGAAGATGTGAGGCTGTGCGTTCTGGCCACATTGGGTGAAATGTTCCTACTTTACATTAAAAAGATAATAAGTGGAAAAGCGTGTGGCTTTAATGTTTATATGGTATGATTTATACCACTATATTGTGAATAATGTTTTAAACCTTAATTTGAAGAAAATTGGGAATCAAACTGAAGTTGCAATTTCTCCTAGAAAAATGGCAGTTCAATATTTTCCCAAAATCGTTCAAGCCTATTACAGGGTTAGACTCGCGCATTCTAAAAATCATACCTAATTCCTAAAAGGGGGAAAACTCCAGGTTTTAGCTTTAACAATGTATACAGAGTAGATTAGAATAGATTAGAAAATTCTTTTATTGTCCCTCATTGGGAAAATTTTGGTGTCATTACAGCGAAGCAGGTTGACAGGATTGTGTACATTTCACAAGAGGAGCAAAGAAGAATAAAAATAAACATCAGTGATTTTAACTTATTCTGTAAAAGTTGAAAATTTAGGAAAGTAAATATTTCCATCTGACCTAATTATTGCATTGAGTTCAGTTCATTTTCACAATTAAAGTTTCTTATAACCCAGCAGATTGCATTGAGTCACTGACTCGTGTTATTGGCTTTACAGATATCCTCATGCTAAGCAATCACGCAGCGACACAAATTAATCACAGTACTTAATTTGCACACGAGATAATCCAGTCAAGCATAAAACTGTGTTAATACTAATTTATGATAAAAATGTAAAAGCTCCTAACATTAGATTATACTTTGAAAGTTTTTTAGTGATCACATTGAGCTTAGTGCATCCCTTTTGCATACAGTTTTGAGCCTTTGAAACCTGTTTGGTTGTCGTCATTTCCGTTTTCTGTGTTTGTTTTTGAGAGTAGAGAAAACTCAAATAAATTAAACTGTCTTTAACCACCAGTGTTGTACTTGACAGATTTACCTGCAAACCTTCAAGCTTCCAATGGCTACTGACATGCCCACGGACATGGAGTCGGCCCCAAACCCTGCCCCATCCTCAGCCTCCGATCCGGCCCCAGCCTCTCCTCCTGCTCTGGACTCCGCTGCAGCCCAAGACCAGAGTCCTACCCAGGAGCCAGCAATCACTGAAACTCCTGATGTTGTGACTTCAGAACAAAATGTTAGTCCACATTCCCCCCCGGTTCCGCCCATAGACCCGGGAGCGACATCAGTTCCTGTCCCTGGTTCTGAGCCATCCCAGGTTCCTCTGCCAGCACCGTTGCCTCCAAATGCTGCCAAGAACCCAAGCTGTAAGATCATGACCTTCCGGCCCACCATGGAGGAGTTTAAGGACTTTGCAAAATATATTGTCTACATGGAGAGTCAAGGAGCTCATCGTGCTGGCCTGGCTAAGGTATTACAACACCTATATGCACATAACATAACCCCCACCTACACATTCAGGTGTGTTTCACTCCAAAACAAATTATGAATTATAATTTGTGATTATAATCGGTCAGCAAACAGCAGAGAACATCTCGACTAATAGAGGCTAGCAGTTAGCATTAGCATCTCCACCACACAGCAGAACTCCTTTGGGCTTGTTTTTAATAAAGCATTAATGTTGCAAAGAAAACTGAGTCGGTGGTAGAGTCATCTTGCTGTTGGCCAATCAGAGGCGAGATGTCAAAATATCATGAGATAAGATAAATAATCCTGTCATCTGAACTAGCTAATTTTTCCTCTAGCTGAATGCTCCATGCTGAAACAGGCACATCTGAACCCCCCCCCCCCCCCCCCCAACACACACACACACACACACACACACACACACACACACACACACACACACACACACACACACACACACACACACACACACACACACACACACACACACACACACACTTACAAGGCTTTCATTCCTATAGAAACAACTGCAAATGTATCGATGAAATGAGTGAACCACTCCTAATAAAACTTGCTGTAGTCTTGTCATTCCTTTCCTACCCTATAAGGAATCTAGAGCATTAGCCTATTTATCTGCAAATTAACATGACCAAACCTTTCTTTGTTCAGGTGATTCCTCCCGAGGGCTGGAAACCACGCAAGTGCTACGACACCATCGAGGACATGGTGATCCCAGCACCCATCAGTCAGGTGGTGACTGGTCAGTCAGGCCTGTTTACCCAGTACAACATTCAGAAGAAATCCATGACTGTTGGTGAATTCCGCAAGCTGGCCAACAGCAAGAAGTAAGTTGGCCTCTAGTCCTTCAGCTTTATTCATACATTTGATCTTAAACACTGAACTGTGCAAAAGTTTTAGGCAGGTGTGGAAAAACTGCTGTAAACAGGCAATGCTTAGAAAAATGGAAGTGTTGATTATTTGTTTTCATCAATCAACAAAAACAGTGAATGAACAAAAGAGAAATCTAAATTAAATCAATATCTGGTGTGAGCCTTCAAAACAGCATCAGATCTTCTAGCTACACTTGCACACAGCTGTTGAAGGAACTGGGCTGGTAGGTTGTTCCAGACATCTTGGAGAACCAACCACAGTGGATGTAGGCTTCCTCACATCCTTCTGTCTTCATGTAATCTCAGAAACTTCACGATGTTGAGATCAGGGCTTTGTGGGGGCCACACCATCACTTCCAGGACTTCTTCTTTAAACTGGAGATGGATCCTAATGAGTTTAGCCTGATGTTTGGGGTCACTCACTTTGTGTTTTGCAAATTGATAAAAATGAACAATCATTTATATTTCTGAAAGCGTTCTTTGTTCACAGCATTTTTTTCCACACCCGCCTAAAACTTTAGCACAGTCTTGTATGTTTACTTCTTTGTGTTTGAATATTCAGTTTCTTTTGTTAAGTCAGCAATACATAACAGATTTATTTCCTTTGGAGTGAAGAGAAATGACTTTTCTTTAAATTAAAACAAAACAATCACAACCCTACTTGCAAATCACAAGTTAAGACCGAGTTTGAAAGTCTAAAAGTTGCTTTTAGGGCTGCAGCTATCGAATATTTTTGTAATCGAGTACTCTATCGAATCTTTTTTTCGATTAATCGAGTACTCTAATAAATTACCCTTTTGTGTTTGTAAACCATTATATCATATATTGATGAGCCAAGATGGCGTCGAGTATGGCTGCCTCGTCGCGAGCTCCACCAAGTTCCAACATTACACGCTCCATACTGTACATTAATGCCACTGTTTTGCACATACCAACCTCTGTACATTTTATATCTCTTATCTTATTGTTTACTTTATTCATTTGTATACTTAGATTAGCCATTTTTATATTTTACTTGTTTTTACATTACTGTATTTTTGCACAACTCTGTTGCTGTGAAGCGCGCACACAAGAATTTCACTCGCATGTACTGTACCAGTGTACCTGCACATGTGACGTGACAATAAAAGTGATTTGATATCAAATAGCATGTTATAATTATGAAAGACCTCTTAAAATGAGCAAGCAATTGCCAGTTATTCTTCAAGTTTTATTCAAAATTAGTTTGCATAACTTCAGCACTTCAACTTTACTTCACAGTAAACAAATGCCTGTGCAAAAAATAAGTAAACAACCTGAGCCGATTTTCCCCTCGTGTGAGAATCTGCTAGCCTGCAAGCCAGACAAAAACTAAGAGGATAACTGTTGAAGTAGCGCTGCGAGCGGCTGCGGCCCAAACAGAAACAGAACCGCTCACGGCGCAAACAGCTCGCCGGCTGTTTCCCTATTAACACACGTCCGTTTTAATTTCTACACTTTTTTTCTCACACTAACAAGGATTGCCAAAAGCATGTTTGCTGTGGTTTTCTCAAATTATACTGATCACAAAACATTTATTTACTTTCTTTCGTTTTCCTCCGCCACTCATAAATACCCGTGTCCTCCTGCAGCAATCCCGAGGGACAACGGACATCAATAACACAATAGAAAGTCCGACGTGTTGTGTAAAAACTGCTATTTTTAGCACATTTTAAGTCCGACGTGTTGCTACCAGACGTACGGTGTGAGCTGAAACTGAGTGCTACAAATGAAAAAGTCGCAGTGTCCGCAGAATATATAGAAAAACAGGCTAAAAAGCATTATCTTGTAGAGGCTCTGAGTCCGCTTGCAGAAGGGACATTTACAGGTGATGCAGCATGGAGGATATGGTGTTGTGATAGGCTAAATCCATTTTACAGTATTTATACTGGACTACGTTTTCCACCTTACGACGTGAAAGATGGTCCCACAACTTTGACTTTTTCTGTCTTTTTCACACTCCACCGGGGTCCACGTTGTTAAGAGAAAGTTAAGTTACATTCGCCACTCGCGTGTGCATTCAGTCCAGTGGGCATGTGCGTCACTTATTTCGGTCCGGGTGAAACATGACCCCGGGCGATTGCAAAGCCATGAATTAATTAAATATGAATTAAACGAATCCTCGAGGCAGAGAATTTGACTCGAGGATTTTTTGTACTCGAATTATTCGAGGTACTCGAGGAATCGTTTCAGCTCTAGTTGCTTTGAGCATAAGTAGTAACCGAAGTGAATCTAATCGTTGGGTTTTCGTAAAATAATGGTAAACTTAAACATGTCTCTGCATTATTAAAGTGTTTTTGGATTTCAATTTGGACCATAGTGTTGCATACATGTCTCTCGTTCTTGTAATATTTTTTGCTGCCCTCTTGTGGCCCAGAAAATCTTTAAGGTTTAATCAAATGACCTGGATTTGCTGGTAAGTACATTGATGTAGGATTAGGGTCAGCTTGGCTGCAGCTATTAGATATCTTTGAATATTCCATAAACTCTTCCATTGATTAATCAAATAATCTATTTGATATTCCAAGTGAAACGAGACTGGTCTGCTACTAAAAATATGAAAATAAAACAACAAAATTATAAAAGGCTTAATAATTTGTATGCGCTAGTATTAGCGTTAGCCAATCTGCTCGTAGTTTAACTTTTGATCTGTAGCTTTAAATCACTTCTGCCTTTTACAATGGATGTCTCTTTGCTGGTTTCTCTGTTTTCCTCCACAGCATGTTGTGCTCCAGTAAAATGTCTTCAGACTGTGGTGCACACATTTAACGAAGCTTCAAATTAGTGAAAAATAATTGAAGGAATTTAATGACTCAAACCATTCGATGATTCATTTCAGCCCTACATTGATGGTCAGCTGATATACTTCTACTAAAAGAATAATTTTGTTGGTGTGTTGTGAATGGAAACAAGAGTTGTTGTCTGTGACTTTTGCCCTTTTTGTTAATCACAAAGTTGCTTTTCAGGTTTTAAAGCTTCTAGAGGAACTTCAGCTGTTGCAAGAATCTTTTTTTACTTGATGCATCCTGATTTCTGGTACAAAAATGAGCCCAGTAAAAGCCGTTGGCTGACATAAATGCTAGCGTTAAAGGCCCACTTTAAGAGTTATTAGCTGTCATTTTAAATATGGTTCCTGAACTTTGTGTTTCTTTTTTCTTTTTTCGTTTAGGTATTGCACACCTCGCCACAAAGACTTTGATGATCTAGAGAGGAAGTACTGGAAGAACCTGACGTTTGTGTCGCCCATTTATGGGGCTGATGTTAGCGGCTCTATCTATGACGAAGTGAGCAGTCCTACTTACTTTCCTTTTCAAAATGTACCTAACAAGTCGAACATTTGGACACATAAAATCAATAATCACTGATAACATTTTAACAAATAAGGCATTAGAATCAAGCTGATCAGATACGGGTTTGCATTTTAGTTTTTGTCTTCTTTATCTAAAAGATTCTCTTTACCAATTTGGGTAAATTTGAACTAAGTGCTGAAATGTTGATGGTGACCAGGGTCTTCATTTATCAAACGTACTTACGCACAGTTCTGTGCGTTTTTCGTGCGTAGGAACAATTCTACGCATTGTGTGGTATTTGTCATTCTGTACTTGTGGTAGAAACGTTCCTAAATGTAAGAAGATCTCTGACCGTGCGAATGCAAAGCATCTAGTGGCAGAACGGGGAAGCACAAGACAGAATGTCTCAGTCATCCAAATGTGTTTCTCATCCACAATTTATTTATCTAGTATGTAATTTTGTCAGTGTGGAAAAACGGCTTTTTCGCATAATTGCTGCTAAAACCAATAAAAGATACATGTGACCGATGGGAATCTGACATTGTGTCATGGCTGATCTGAGTTATTGGAGGATTTACCAGAGTGTGCTCTCTGGAGGGAATGCTCTCTCCGTGAGCGCTCTGATCTCAAAGGAAATCCTTCTGCTACGCTGGGATTTGGGACCCTTTGTGGCGTGACAGACAAAACTCAGGAGTCCGACCCCAGTTCATATTTTATACGAGAACCCCCCCAGAACCTCCTCTGCTCCCCGATCATACACACCGCGTTGCTAAGGTAACCAGACTGAATGACAGCTCAGAGGCTGCACTCTCAGACAACATTTCCAAATGAAACAAACTCCAAACAAAACGACTCCTTAAATGTAAACGACAACCCGATACTCAACGATTTACCAGATAAATTTTTTAAATTTTTTTCCGACAGGAACCTCTCCTCTGTCCCGACCACATTTCTAACCTCTGTAACTTGTTTGGTTCTTTTGCGCTTCGGCAGCCAGTGTTTCGATCTCGTTGTCAATAAAGTTTTTGTCATTTTTTCTGAAAAAAAAAGGGGGATCCCTTCATGTGCTGAGGATGTAGCATATATAACCAAATATGGTTAATTGAGGACGCTTCTCTATGCAAAGTGGCTGTCAACAGGCACAAGTACGCACAAGTGGGATTTATCAACAGCCGATTGCGGAGGAACTTGCGGACGAGAGGCCACCACACGTTTCGACTTTGGGCTGTTCGTACGAACATTCTAAATTCCATTCGTAGGATAGAATATAGGAAAGTTTCTACGAACAAATGAGGCCCCAGATCTGGGATTGGTGGCTAGCACAGAAAAGACATTTAAAATAGCTTTTCCGGTTAGTTGTGTATGACAATGCACACATTTGTTTTGTCCAGAACATCCAAGAGTGGAACATTGGCCATCTCAACACGCTGCTGGATATGGTGGAGCAGGAGTGCGGCATTGTGATCGAAGGTGTCAACACGCCATACCTGTATTTCGGCATGTGGAAAACCACCTTTGCCTGGCACACGGAGGACATGGACCTCTACAGTATCAACTATCTACACTTTGGGCAGCCCAAGTCTTGGTCAGTCAAGTATTTTCACCTTTACACACACAATCGCACTTAAAAACTCTTCACTTATGGTATTGACCCGAATATAGGACAAGGTTTTTTAATTGAATATCATTTTAAAATGTGGGGTCATCTTATAATCAGGGCAAGTTAACAAGCTACTAAGGCAGAGTTATGATGCTAATTTTAAGAGTATGGTGGCCAATGCAGCAGAGGCGTCAAACAGTGCAGGCATGGATGCCTTGGATGGCAATTAGGATGACGTTCTGTGGGAGGAGCTGGGCAGGACCGCAGCAGCATGAAGGTGAGTACAGGGAGGCAGAGGACGTCCGTGAATAAAAGCCTCACTTGTTCTGATAGTTTGCATAAAAATAGTATTTTTTTTGCTCAGTATTTGTTTTCAGATTTTTAGAAAATTTGTTTAAAAAGTGATTTTTTTTTTGTCTTTTCCCAAAGATTAGTCTTGGAAAGGGGGGCTGTCCTATAATCGGGTCAATACGGTATTTTAAAACTCATTTTTGGTGCTTTTGGAGGACAGTACTGCTCTGTTTTTGTGACTACAAGCTGCATAAAGATGTCCACTGATACTTCAACATTTCCTTTATAATCATGTCTTATCATTGATAAACAAAATGGCTACCTTGTTTGTTTGACAAAACATTCAGTTAACTGCTTTGGCATCTTTCCCTGCCATCCCACTTGTCTCAAATGAATGTCAGTAATATCTTTACACAAATGAAATTGACCTCCTAACTTACAGCAATGACTGAAAAGGGTTTGGCTGAAGTGAAACACTTCTCTAAGGCCAAACCTAATTACAGCTTAGTGCATGTAGCACACACAATTTTACTGTCGACCGAATGACAACAAAATAGTTAACATCAGTTATTTACAATCAAATTAATGATTAATTACACATACATTTCATCAATAAAATTATTTCTAAAGTAGTTTTCCAAACACAGAATTAATTTTTGATTTATTTCTAATGCTGCATAATTGTTTATTATATTTGATTTAAACCTTTTTAAATGCATTCACAGATAGTTTTTTAAAGTGTTATCCAGATCATTCCATACATCTGCTCCTCTGAGACACATCTGCCGTTCATATTTGTTCTAAATTAATTAACCTTTCTGATAAACATGGATTCCTCTCAAATTATATCAGAGATTATGGGAAACAGCACCATCTAGTGTTATTCAGGCACAAGTACCCTTCTGAGTTTTTTATTTATGGACTTGATGGATAAAATGATGCTAGTTCTGTTTAAGGCTGAATAAAAAAGGACACTAGGAAGGAAATTAACATGTCAGATATTGTAACCTAAAATGTAAATTTATGTGATTTTCCTTCCATTTAAATTAAAGGGTTTTATTGTTTTTAATTAACCTGTAAAATGCAAATTTCTGTAAAGATTCTAGATATTTTGAACACATTTTTATGTTAAATTAAATCAAAAAACGTTTTATTGTTTTTAACTTACTTGACTGTGAAGCCATTCAGCGCCGCTTCTGAAACTCCTAACGTGTTTTACAGAGGTGTTATAAGATTTTTCACCAAATCCACAATCTGTTGAACTGATGACGCGGTTCATGCTGCACAGGTAGCGCTGAGCTCTGGTTATGGCTCGACTGGGTCTTTTACTTGGACTCCAGGTTCTTGTTTCTGTATAAAAGCACAGGTGTAAAACTGATTATTGACCGAAGGCCATTCGGCTCTGTTAAAGGTGACAACATGCTGTGCAACAGTAAGTGCTGGGCTCCCTCCCGTTGACACAGCGTGTTCTAGTATAAAATAACTGGCAGGTGGTTTAGCTTGTCTCAGATTGGTTATCTCATGTTAGTCAGTCAGCTCTGTGTGTGCAGCGGGCTTTTACTGGTCTGGATTTTGCAGCATTGTTTCAAAGTGTGTTTTAAGCCTTTTCCCAAGCCTCTTGTTGTTTTCCATTGCTGTCACGGTAGGAGGGAAAAGGGCTGATCCAGCAGTCCGAGTCGGGTGTGTGTGTATGTGTGTGTTTAAGCTTTTCTTCTTTTTCCCGTCCACATCCCCACCTCCTCCCTCCTGTCATTCCCGTCTCCTGTCCACCTCCTGCTGTGTTGGATGTGTGTTGCTGTTTTCTGCTGTGATGTGATCTCATTAAAATCATCTATTTCATTTTCACACCTCTCACTGAGTGTTTTTTTGTTGTTTCTACAACTTGCTGTCAAAGTATAAGCGTGTGTGTCAGTAGTTAAAATCGAGATGCATCAAGCTGCGCTGACACATCTGAAATGAAATCATTAAGGTATGTTTAGTTTTTTACACGTTGTTTGTGCGCTAGAACTTGATGACGATGGCTGTAAGATTAGCTAAATTCGATGTTGCGTTGCTGCTTATCCTGATGTACCCATTAGATACCATTACCAATCTAATGAGATTTCTCCGTTTCATATACATTTAACCATGTTTGCATCATTTTTAAACCAGATCTTGCAGAGCGTTATATTGAATTTTTTATTTGATTGCTTCAAATATGCAGTGTCTTTAATCTTGTAGTTTTGTAATTTTTATTTTTACATCCGCTTAATCGTTATAAAAGGTTAGCTTTTGCAGTGATAAATAAATATGTATATCTTTTTGCATTCTTCATGCAGCTTCTTTGTTGTTTTCTCACCCTCCCTTGGTTACTTTCACTCTTGATTTCTCACCAAGCACTCTCACATTTTTTTTTTCTTTTTTTATGAACCAAAACCGAATGACTTCACTTTTATACTCGTGTGTGACGGGGTAATTACAGGCAGTTAAATAAGGCAAATTCCTTTAAAACACACAGACTCAAACACTTTGTTTTCCTCTTTCACTCATAGTGCAGCGGTTTGTGAAATTAAGTTTATTCCCTTAGCCACTCTGTGCCGATCAAAGTCAGTCTTCATCATAACTACCTCTTCTGCCCACACACACATGCATGCACGCATGCATGCATATTGTTGTCAGTGCTAAAAGTCTTTCAACTGCTTCTGTATCCCGACACACACAAGAGTAAATCTGCTGTCAGGTGAAAGAGTAGCCTTACAGCATGCAGGTGGAAGGCAAGGAAAGGCTGATGTAAGTGAATTGAAAGTTTGATTTATTTTTATATTAAGAGTATCCCAGCCATGTTTCCTGCAAAGGGAGGAGTTTATTATGATCCTATCAGTTCCCAACTCCCTGTGTATTTTAGTGGTTTTGAACCATTATTGTTTGACAATTCTCAGGAGAGAAATGGAAAGCTGAAGGTTCTGCATTGAATTGCTCCTTTAGCGAGGACACTAGCTTGGGCTTTGACAAAAAAAATCTACAAAATATGTAACCCTTGGAGTATTGCATCTAGTTACCATAGCTCCAAAATTTTACTTAAAATCTGTAGATTTGACCTGTAGATCTGTTACCATGTTTGCTCTGTGATATACATGGTAACAGAAGAAAGACCGTAAACAAGAGGACAAAACACATACAACGTGTGTGTGTGTGTGTTTTGTGTTTTGTGTGTTGTGTGTGGTTGGCTGCCGGGGGGTGCGGAGAAAATTGTTGCCTGAAGGGGGGGCGTGATGGAAAATAATTTGGAACCACTGCTGTATATGTTGAACTTGGCTGGTCCTTCCACATCCCAGCAGGAACCCACAGGAACGGGCGGTGAAACAGGACAGATTGAGAAAAGCGTGAATAGCTCTTCTTGGTGTGGAGTCACTTTCTGATGTTCGTGTCTGGGGGACCTGTTGATGAGTGGGAGTTAAACATGTCTGGGCGCCGTTGAGCAGATTGAGAAGGAGTCTGCCTTAATGGGAACACTGTAACAATCTGTTGTTGAGAGGAGAGAGCTGAGGCAGAAAGCTGCACCTTATTTACTGAATATGTTGAAAGTATTGATGCCACAAATAGATTAAGTTCCTGTGGATTCGCTGCAGTGATGACACCTTAATTCCACCTGCCAGGAATGCCGCCCCACCAGAGATTAATTACACTCATCTTAGAGAAGATTCTACACTAAAGACTTCCCCTTTTTGCATGCTGCCTGATGTGTCCGTTACCTTTCCCGCTGCCAAAGTGACATGCATGTTGCTGCCATGGAAACAAGGGAAGAAGGGAGCTAGAGGACATGTGCTGAAAAGCTGATTTTGCAGCTTGTATGAAACAGACTTTCAAACAGATCTCAGGCTAGTGGCAGTCTGAAATTTGTGCACATTTGTACAGAAAAGTGTCACGCTGTGTCGGCTAGTTGTGTAACCTTTAAAGGAACATTCAAACTATTTAGAAAATGTACTTTTTCTAGAGAGTTGGATGGAAAAAATCAATACCAGTCTCTCTCCTTACAGAAGGCTGGCATTAACATTTTGATCCAGCTAAACAAAAACACTAACACACATTACTTTTCTTTGGTGTGTCATAATTATGCTCTGATCCCAACTTAATTTGACCCACAAAGTCCAGTAAGAAGTGCATCCCAAACTATATTTAAATAGTTTGAAGAAGAGCTAATGACCTTGTTAAAGCTTCTAATATAAGAGCTGAAGCTTGCAATATGAAAAATTAAAGGGGAGGATCTGATGAGTGAGCTTAAAGTTGGAAAAGGTCAACGAGGAAGAGCGGCCCCCGTGTGGAGTCAGAGTGCATCATGGGATCTCATTTTGACACTTATGAGAATGCCTGGTAGGCACACACACACACATTGTGGGCTTGATAATGAAAAATCGTAGCCTTAAGTGAGGTTAAATTTGGAATAAATGCAAAGTTTCCAGCTGTCTCTGAAGGATAATTGAATCTGCCTGCAGTTAGAAGTTATTACCTTTTATTGTCTTTGTCTCACAGCCACAGGACCAGTTCATGCTCTTGATTGTACACCTTGATATGTTTTTATTTTGTGCTTTTGTAAAAAAAACACACATAAATGAGGTGAAGTAAACTATTGGTGCAAACTTTCTCAAATAGATCATTTGTGACTCATCGGATGACCGGAAATACGAATCACTTGTTTTTATTGATCCTGTTATTGG